ATATCCTCATATCTTAGTACCTTAAACAAGAGCAGCCAAGGCGTGAGATAATTTCTGATTGTTGTGCAACACATTCTGTTAATACAAGAAATAACTGATTAAACATCAGTAGGGTTCCAGTTTCTCTAACTCTCGTTGCAGATGATTCTAAATTAAAAAAATATCTTAATTAATATATATAATTAAAATAAAACAAATAATAAATATGCAACAACAAAAGAAATGCTGAAATTTTGATTCATATAATTCTACACCTTACAAAAAATTGTGTTATGTGATTTTTTCTCAGAAGTTATCTGACGCTCGTTTAAAGAAAAAGAAGAAGAAAAAAAAGAAGATATAAATGTAGGCTTGCTACACTCTGCTAAGAAAATCAGCAATTTATTCTCAAAAAGTTTCAAAATTAGTAAAAAAGTTCATCAGCAGATGGGACTGACGATAGGAAAAATATATAAGACGATGTTTTCTTCAGTACACCAAATCATTTGAAAATAAAATACTTGCATAGGCATATGTCAATTTTATAAACAGATATACATGTTATTGTTGCAAATGACACATATTTTGAAAACATAGTATCTTTTAATGATCTCTGTTACAAACTTTGAAAAACTTCAAGTGAATTCGAATCTTTAATGCTCAAAAGAATAGCATGTCTCACCGGAGTATGTAACTGTCCTGTTACTTGTTTTATTTTCTAATATTGTAATGTTTATGTAAAATATAATGTTTTGTCACTAATTTATGTTTATGCTAATAAAATATTTTTAAAAAAAATAGTGAGCTATTGTTAGCAAAATAATTTTGAATAGCTCTGGAGTTAGGTCACTAAAGATTCATTACTACACAATAAATACTGGTAATTTTTATTTCATTTTATAACCATCGTCGAACAGCCACAGACCAAACTTTTTTGGTTTACAAATACTAATGTTCAACTGTGCAGCCTTGCAATTTTGAACCCAGTCCATAAGACAAGGCAACTCCAGGATCAAGCATTGAGAGAAATTTGCCTTTGTGGAAGACTTTTTCTGATCTATCATGGATCAAATAATGGTAATTGTGGAAATGAACGTTGGTTTTATAATTTTTAGATCATAAAAGCCAATCAAATTTTTCTAAATAGCTACTAGGATTTTTATGTTAAGCATTTATTGCAATTATAACATGCCATAAGAGTTTCCGTTTAAAACTACATGGCAGTCAGAATTTTCTGTACATTAGATACAAAATAAATAAATTAATTAAAGTGCAATCATAATTTTCTTTTTTTTGAATTTTTACAATATTGTGGAATAGTACAACTCACAATAGACTTTAAACTTAAAAACTAATACAGAAATACAGTTTATTTTCAGAATCTAAATGATGAAAATTATAAATAATGCATTCTATTAATACCTATAATAATCTGAATATAATCCACTATAAGATCTGTTGCTAACCCGCAACACTGTTTAAAATTTGTAGCAAAATTTTCCCATCCTTTATAAAGTCTGGTAGTTCTCCTCAGCCATTGTTGAAGCATAGGCAGCAAAAGGTGATTAATGCAAAAAATTCCAAACTCAGGACCTTAAAATTAAAAAAGAAAGACACGTCTGTCAATAAGAAATATTAATTATTAGAAAATATTATGCAATACAGAAAATATATATATTATGGAAAATATTAATAATCCTTGTAATGTAAGTTAATTATTTAAATAAAACTAAATTTTTCATTAAGTAAAACTAAAAAAAAAGCAATTATTCCACAGATATTATCTATAATTTAAAATTTATATACATTAAATAATAAATTAAAGCTAATATAAAAAATTCCCTTTTTGATGTTAAATATAGAGAGTAATGTGTCATAAATTTTAAACTTAGTGTTATCAACTTACTCTAAAAATAACCTTAGCTCTTATGCCAATTTAAGGTTTCTATATAAAACCAAAATATTCAACAGTCTTCAAATGTTGGATATTAAGATTTTTTTCAAAACCATTATATTTTGGTTTATAATTCAATATGCTCTAATAAGTTCGAAGTATATCTTAGTGAAAAACTAAGTTTTTAACTCCATTTTTCCTTAAATACTAAAAATTTTGCTAGAAAATAATTTTTAATTACTGTATCATCAATAATTTATATTGCCCTAATTCATATGACAACATACATTCCCATAACTTTTCTGTATTTATATTTAACTAATAAACAATTAAAGATTTGTTTAAATAATGTTAAAATCTGTAGTCAATAATATATGTCATTATTACATAGAGTCTATTAGATCTAAGATAATTCCAACCACTTAACAACAAATAAAGGTAGCAAAAAAAACGTTAAAAAAAAGGCTTGTCTTCACTTTCTGGAGTTTTAGAAGAAAACACGTTTGAAAAACTAAGAAAAATAAAATTAAGTATACAATGACCCTTAGGAGAAAAAAAAGAACTGAAAATATGATTTTACACATACCAGGTACATCTTTTAAATTGTGCAGCATTTTGAAAAGAGTTTCCATTGTTGCTGACTGATACTGTTTAGGACNTTACTTTTTCCTTGGGAGGTATTTGTCCAAACTTGCCAGAGAGACTGGTACATCATTAATTCCAGGAATGTCATTAAGCTGTGAACAGGATTTATTAATAATATACTTCAGGTTTAAACAGGTTTAATTAAAATTGAGAAAGTATATAGCAGTAACCGACTTAATTACAAAAAAGGCAAATGTTTAATGCACAGTCGTAAAAATGACACTTATGTGACTGACACTTATGATTACTTAAATGACTTAAAAATGACAATGACTTTTTTCAAGAAATTCAATAATAAGTTAAAAATTGCAATTAATTGTCTAATAAAGGATTTATTATCTCTTTTGACACAAACTATCTTTTACCATTGCTTAAAACAGTTTTAAACAATTTAAAAGAAATTGATTAAAAAAGATTCGAAAGAGACAGTTTGAAATAAAAGCAAATCAGCACTATAATAAACTAATAAAATAAAAGACTTGAACAAAAAAATTAAGCAAGCAATAATAAAATTTTTATTGAAGCTTGAGGAAAATTAATAGGTACTATACTTAATTTAACTATACATTATTAATGACATGATTGAAATTATCTCTAAAACATGTACTTTATATCACATAAAAATAAAAAATTTCAGTAATTCAACTTATTTTTATATAAAGGCATTCTTACTGTTTTTAAATCCCCCATATCTTCATATCTATGTTCGTAATCACTTCTTGTAGAACTATTCGATATTGAATCTGGCTCTTCAAAATAAATAACATCCATATCAGGAATTATTGGATCGACAAGACTAGGTTCAGAATACAAATGAATCCTAGACAAAAAATTTTAAAAAAATTTTTTACAATACAGATTTGATTTTTATTGACTTGGGATAATACAAAAAAAAGAAGAAAAAAAAATCTAATAATTTTTTTTTGACTCAAAAGAAGAGTCTCTCAACTGCTAGTCCACAAAATACAATAAAGACTTGTTTACCTATTTATAGGAAAAAACAAAGCAGAAGGATTTCCTCTTTTATTTATTTCATATTCACTTGTATGCTTTTGCTACTTGCACACAATTAAACGATTTGGTCTCACTATTTTGTTATTTAAATAGCTAAGTTAAGATTTGTATTAAAATTAATATATATTTTATTTATATTTTAATAAGTTTGGTTTCAAAACAGTTTTCATTATAGAGACTATGCGAATTATCAAAAAGAAGCTGGTCAATAAATTGTAAAGAGCCACAGTTTTGTCGAAGTAAAAATTGTCCCAACAGTCCAAACTATGAAACTTACCAATCCATGTTAAAATACTGAATTATTTTATTGCTCTTTTGAGTATACCAGGTAAAAAAAATTGCCCTCCTGTATTAAACTAATTCAAAAGTAGAAATAAAGTAAAAATACATATTGAATGCAAAAGGAATGTATTTTATTCAAAAATTTTAAACTATAAAGACCTCATTTCGTTTTCATTTCGTACCTGTGTGCAGAATTGAAAACTGGACAAGTAGGTATTTGATACATGGATGATAGGATGTCAGAACATTTTTCTAAGTATTTCAGAGCAGCTAAACACATGTCGAGAGGAACACTTGGTTCATTGGAATAATCAGCCATAACTTCTGAATTCGATGAATCCAATTCAACAGCTTCAAAATTTAAAAAGTGTTTAGTATTTATGAAATTTGTAAATGACAGTTTTTTCAACATCAAAGAAAACAGACTACAATTTTACAATCATTTTTAGTTAAATATCACAATAAGAGACTAGTGGAATATTATAAAGCAAAACACATTAATTATTGTTAGATTTACAATAATGTACAAGATTATAAATTTCAAATATAAAATAAAAAGCAATTAATAAAATAATTCAAGTTAGACGAAAAATCTAAACATAAACCTACTGATAGTTCTGAATGAAGTATATCGTTATTTTTTTTATCATATCAACCCAAATGGTGGTGCACATAAGAAACTTCACAACCAACATATCATTTATCACACAGAAGAAAAAAAACACTGATTTTTATGCACCCAAATACCCACCTATCTAGCTGATAGAAAAATGACCCTTCATATCCTAGTTTTTTGCCTGAACTGTTTGCGCAGGATATTTTATAACAGTTGTTGAATAGCCGACCCAATTTTCCGTTTACGATGACCACTGTTTAACTCCGCAGCCTTGAAATTTTGAACCCAATACAGAAGATAAGGGAACTCCTGGATCAAGTATTGGGAGAAATTTTGCCTTTGTGGAGGACTTTTTCATGGAACTAACCTGCATTTGAGTTAAATGGGGAGGAAAAGAATGAAAACCTCTTACCGTTAGCCTGATCACAAGGGGACTCTAACCCATGATCCTGAGGATATTTTACCTTATCACTGTGGTGGATGCGAGTCGGGTGCGGAATTTTGTATCGATCAGTCATCTTTAGTATTTGAACCCCCTTGATCTCATTGGATGCAAACGATCTACCCCCTGAGTCGGCTCTTGTGTAGGATATTTGGAAAATATGTGTAACCAATTCTGTTGCAAATATAGGGGGGAGGGGAATGTGAACATCGTAAAAGACTAAAAACTAAAATGTCAAACTTGCCAGCGGGTTAACTTTAGTCTAAGAAGCAAATATTATTATAGAGTAAAAAAAAAGATACAATGACAAAAAAAACTCATGGCAGGGTGTGCAATCATCCAACTTACATGATTTCTTAATAGATTTGTTCAAATATAGAAACAATCTTGCAAACAGATAAAAATTTGATACAAATAGACACTAAAAAAAGTACTTTTGCAACATGACTGCACAATTTTTAGAGGTAAAATAATTTATTAGAAAAACCAACAGAGTCAAAAGGCACTGATCTATATAAATTAAACTAAATTAATTCAGTCAAAATTCTTCACATTGTATAGTGCTAGCAAATTCACATTTTGGTTTAAACTCCAAAATGATGAGTATCATTAATTTAGAAAATGGAAATTTATCCACAAAAATTTAACAATTAAAATTTTTTTAAGCCAGCACTCATCTCACAACTATTTAAATAATAGAATGTATTACTAACCTGGACCACGAACATGTTTCAAAAGACACAAAAGGCAATCCACAGCAGCATAAGCAAACACAAATACATTGTCCGTAGCCAAAAAAGCCTCAAAGACATCTAAAACAACTCGCAAGTGATCGTTTCGATCTCGTTCAAAGCTGGAATCACTTCGATTGGACACGGCACTTGGTATCTGAACAGTCCTTAAAGCTCCGAACAGAGGTCGCCAGCCTGAGCGGATTTCTGTTGTGCAACCTTCTACAAATTCACAAATTGAACTCACAATCTAGAACCGAAATTAGTTTTATAAATATGAATTTAGGATTTAAATAACTGTTTTGCAGACTTTAATTTCATAAATTTTTTTGTAGAAAGCAGAAATGCAGATTGCATTAATATTAAATAATTTAAATAGAACAAAAATTATTTTATTCATTTTATTGCCTGAGGAGAAGCAGAAATGCAGGTTAAATTACCAAATTAAGATAAACCAATATTGCTGATTTAAATTCTGAGGATTAATATTTTTATTTCAAACTTATGTTCCAATATCTTTAAAAAATTATTAGTCATACAAGATATACAGTGCCACAAATAAAATATTTACACTCACTGTTCTAGTAACTTTCTCAAGATACATAGATTGTTTATACATCTTTAGATGATAGATTTTTTATAGAAGAGAATATAGTGTATTGTATAGAGATAGATTGTTTATATATCTTTGAAAATAATATAATTAAATCTAATCGGGGCTCGAAATTAAAAGTAATATGTACGTTTTCTCAGTCTCAAAAAAAATATATATATTATAAAGAAATTACAGGTAAAGTTATTGTTGCACTGCTACTGATCACATTTCTTTTGTTATCTGAATAATTAATGGTATATCTGAGTTTTGTTTCCCAGTAAAAGTTTCTTCATACGTTAAAAATAGATAAAACCAATTATTTTCAAGAAATAACAGATAATTTATGTTAAGTTTTAGTCTTTATTTCCACTTCGTCTATTTTTTCAACAGTTTTGGGAAGAGGTGAGACAAAGCATTCATTTACCTTTCCTTATTACCTTTCCTTATTTTTTTTACTTGCCATATATTTATAAATATTAGCCCATCTGTGTAAAAGCCAAAGAGTAAACATTTCCACTTTTGTAAACCCCTCTCTTCCCTGCAAGCATTTCAGATGAGCAGTGCAGATTAATGCTACATCATCAGCCCAACTGGTTTTTATCCACTGGTTCAATCAGCTCTCCATGCTTTTCACCATTAGAAATTAATCTCTGCAACAGTTCAACTTGGTAGAAAGCCAAAGTAAAGCATTATGGCAATAGCTATCTAAATTTCATGTGGTACTTTTTTATTGTTGTTTTCATTTTCTGCTGCTAGTAGTCCAGTGCCCACAAAGCTTGCACGCACTACCAGCTGAACTAGAAACCAAAATGGAAACCTTTCAGAGTATTTATGCTTGTAATGCCTTCCTGGAATTTTTCAAGGTTAATGAATACGATTATAAGCCGATCCCCTCCTTTGCAAATTAAGCTTTCAAAAATTTTCTAAAAATTCTCGGCTTATATTCAGAAATATACAGCATTAGAGGGTTGTATATATAAAAAAAATGCCTACATATATGAATAAAAGCTAAATGAAAAAGCCTATATGAATGAATAATTAATTTAAAGAAATCCATACCCTTGCTTATCACAAAGAAAACAAAACAGCAAACAGAAATAGGATTTATTAGTAGGAAAAAATTTTAAATAATCTTTACATAGAAGTGAAAAAATTATGAGTTCTGATATTGTTGAGAATATCATAAAAGATTTGAAGCAGGTTTTAAGTTGAAGTTATTAAAAGGATATCACTCTCATTTTTCCTTTAATTTCTTTTATTTATTTTTTATGCACAGTGTGATAGAGGAAAACTTTTTTTTAAAACAAAAATAGTATCATTAGAGAATAAAAGGAGCAAGCTAATATTTAAATTTCATTTTCAAATTTCAGGAAGCATGTTTCGTATTTTAGAGTACCTCTAATTAAATACTAATAACATGCCTTGGTCGACCCTGTGAAAACAAAAATATATGCCTCAATTTTTACACACCAGGCAATATTAATTTCAAGTTCTACTTTTCATACAGCCAAATCAAATCTGCTTAATAATATCTAAAAAAAAACTTCTATATGAAACTGAACTTACTTGCTCTTGAACATCAATATCGCATAATTCTAGGCACAAAAGATTTTCAAAAGGCTTAAAAAGTGCTTCGTTGAAATGGAAATGAGGAAGCTCCGAGTTTGAAGACAACAATGCGCTAACAATATCATGAATTGTAGAAACACCTTTTTTGGATATTAAGCTCTCTTTGTGGCAAGAAGCCTGAAAACAAACACATTTAGCTTTGTAAATTAAATTTCATTTCAGATTGAGGATAAAAGAGGTTTGAAAATTGATCAGGGTTGATACTTAAAATAAAGAAATTTTTTCCCTAACATGACCAGGTTTTCCAGGTAGATTTACAAAAAATTCCAGAATTTTTTTGAAAAATCAAAAAAATTTATATTTAAAAAAAGGTAAATTAAAAGTATAAACAAAACTGCAACTCTAAGAAAGCATTTATAACTTATTTTTATTTTTTTTAAAAATCAAAAGATTTAAATAATGTCAATTCTGATCAAATATAATAAATTGTCAGAACTATAAATGTGATTGAAAGGGAAAATAAGACTAAGATAATTTACTGGGCCATATTTTAAAAAATATATATATTCGTACGAAGTGGTTGAAAAAAAATATATACATAATCTGTGAAGTTAAATCAACATAAGAACATTTTTTAAAACAAAAATGCAATAAACAATTAAAATCCAATATATTAGCATCGATTAAAAATTAATTATGGGAAAGATAAACACCAATAAGATTGCAATACTAGTTTGAAAAGATAATAATTGAAAAAACATATTTTTAACAACAATTATTAAACCATCCTAAAAAGAAACCAACAAATACATAAACAATCCATATCTAATAAAAACTAATCCATACTTATTAAGTAAAGTAGAATAAATAACTAAAAATTAATGCTTTTTATCAACAGACAAGCAAAAATTAATAAAAGAATATATAAGTAAATCAAGGATAAAAACATAATATTTATAATCTTTAGCTATAAGATAGATGAATTATCCTAAAATTTGAAGCAAAGCTGCAAGAAAACAAAAATTAAAAGTAGAACTTATTAACCATTAATTTAAAAGAATAACTTTTCAACAAGTAATCCTAAAAAGATAATTAAAAAAACTAGATAAATAAAAATATTATACAAATAATCTGTATTTAATTGAAATTTAATAAGCTGATGAACGTTTTTAAGAATAGAAGAGAAAAAACAAACAAAAAAAAGCAATAAAAATGCAATATGTTACGATTTTCTTTTTTAAAAAAACAGTAGTTTGATAAGAAGTTAAGTTCCCTAACATTTTATTCAATTCACATTTTCCCTGACAACTCCCGGTGCGTACGAACCATGAATCGAAAGAATAGAAAGTATAATTTTAATTATAATCTGTATTGACTGTCTATTGTCATCTTTCAGAAGAAAAGCACCCTTTCTAATAAACTAAAAATGTGATCCCTTATTTTCCCCAATTTCATGAATAAAAAACTTTGATTTAATGAATTATTTCAAAAAATTAGAAAAAATTATGATAATAAATAAATGCTCCTAATATTTGCATCGCATTTTCACTTTTTGAGTCTAGAAGGTTTCTCTTCATTCATTCTTCTCTTCATTCATTCTTCTCTCATCCATTTAATTTCTTGCTAGAAGCTTCATCTAAATCTTAATGCTTTATCTCTTTAAGATATTTTTTTTAACTACCATTCAATAGAATATTTTATACAGCAATTAATAATTATTATATTGTTCAAAAAATTAACAATCAACACTATAAAAACTATATTAAATATAAATCAATTAAGCAGGATTTGTACAACTTAAACAAAACAATATCTTTAAAGCAATTGAAGAACAATTGCAATGAATGGTGTAAAAGTGCAGTTGGTCCATTATTTAACCCACCTTCATTTACTGAGCTTTGAAGTATAACAAGTTTTATTTTTCCCTCATTATAATGAAGGCTCTATTTCATAGATAATTAAAAATCCCAAAAATCGCATTTATTTCAAAAATTTAAATAAAACATTTTTATCCTTTTTGCAAAACTTAATGATAATTTCTAGTTATGTACATTTTATTGTAGTTACAGAAAAGCTGTTCCATGAAATTAGTTAAGAATTTATTTCATTTTGAACCCTGATATTATTAATACTCAGATTGAACAAATAAAGTTTTTGTTTGAATGAATTTGTTATATCAAGTTACAAACTGTGCAATGAACAAAACATTTCATACTTCTACAAAATGGGGAGCTACAACACTCCAAGCCTTCATGACATGTACTAAAGGTCTCCCCCCTCTCGCAGATCGCAGCATCACGTCTCCCAAGTGATACAAAAGTAAGTTACTACCATGCCCTCCAGAACAAGACACCCTTGCATGACTTTGAGTAAACAGCTGTATCTGACTTGCTGCACATAACTCCACTAGAAAACTGATTAATGCAGAGAGATTTAACCGACTAGCAGCTTCTTCAAACAACCTGCAGGAAATAAAGAACAATAAATGCTAAGAGGTAAACAAATGTAGAAAAAGTTTCAATAGCTATCTTATTAAATAAATTTAGTTTAATTTAAATAAATTGGAACATTGGTTTACATTTTGCATAGATTGCTTTTTGTGATTTTTTGATACAACTAAACAATAGAATGCACTTGAAAAATAATAAAACCTCAATATAATATTTAAATGCGGAACAAAATATTAATTATACGAATACAATGTACTAACAACCATTTTTTTTATAGATAAACTGCAAACCAGCAAAACATAAATGCCTCTTTTTAAATACATTACACTCATAATAAAGCCCTGAAAATAAAAACTACAGAGAAATTTATTATGTCTTTTGATTAAAATAAATATTACAAAACTGATGAAATAAATATTAATTATAATGATTTTAAATCTTCTGAGTGTTAGTTTTGGCTATTTCTGAACTTTTAGGTACCGGTATTCCTGCTTTAAAACACCAGATAATTCATGTTATTTAATGGGAGAGCAGAGAGCTTTTTAGCCAGGGGCTCAAACTTTCTTTGTCTGCTTGCTCTACAAATCTAAGGTAATGCGACTATGATTAACAAAAATATATTCAGATATAGCTATCATTACATAGATAAATAGTGAGAAAATTGACATTCAGCCATGATGGTACTTCAGCCTTGACCTACCAAACATTCCTTTTGCCTCAATACATACTCCCCAACTTATTATTTTATAAATATGTGGCATGGATTTCATATCTTCTGAAAAATATCAAGCATAGTTTACAATGAAAGGAGCTAACTATATGTTTACTTTTTGAAATATTTAGATTTATCTATAACCTTTAAAGTTTTGCATTCCCAACACCGTGATGTGTAGCTACATTAGTTTAAAACTACACTTTTATATTAATATTTTAAAACATACACGTTATTAAAAGTTTCTGTAGGATTACTGCTTGTTAATAATATTAATTTTTGTTTTATGACTTTTAACTAAATTCCGTCACAAATCACAAAGGAAAAAAAAATCTAAGCAACAAATTGGCAAACAGTAAATCAATTTTGAAACAAAAATTTTTATAACTATAGGCTTACAAGCAATCAACAAAAATTTGCAAACATCAAGATTTTTTTTTAAATTCCAAAATAGCAAAATACATTGAATTTTATAACTAGAGTTTTATATTTATATTCCGGATGAAAAATAACTTTTAATTTGTTAAATAATTTAAAAACATTTGCTTCGTCCTTCCGTTCATTGATCAATTTTTCTCTCAATGATGCTGCTTTCAATTTGAATAATTTTGTAAATCTATATTCAATCTATATTTCTCAGTAATCTGTGTTTCAACTCTGTTCACAGACTATCAAAACATTGGTATTGCATTCCTTTTTCATAAAAAATAGGAGATTCAATGGTGTAAAAAAACAAGCGTATACCTTTATTATGTATGATATGTTAAGAGTCAATGTACAAAACAGGGCATTCTATGTAATGCATAGTATAGAATACCTAAAATCCTCCCCTAAAGTATGAAATTATTAATATTTTAAGCATCATGTAGGCATTTTATAAAATACCTATCAACACAACAGGAAATCCAGTATTCTACATTATGCCACATCATGGTAGAGAATACCTTGAATCAACAGGCAAAGTATAAAATGATTCATAATTCACACATAGCTCAGACATTCTAAAGAATGATTATTGACAAACTGGCAAAGTATGAAACGATTACTAATTCACACATTGCATTCTTTAGAATTACTTTCTTCGAATGAGGCCTCATTCTTTAGAATGACTAAAGAAAAACCTATTATGCACATTGACTAGGCAAAGTAAAAAATAATTTTCATGTTTCATTTTAAGAGCATTTAGTCATTGTATAGAATGCCTAGTTGGATTACACAATGATTAGACAAAGTACATAATTCTGATATGTAGTAGATTGCACAAAAGCACCCGTTCATCGAATGCCGCCATTTCAAACATAGGTTTCATAGTTAGGCTACCTACCTGTCTACTTGTTGAGAAAGTGCTTCTATTGCTTCAAGCAACTTGTGATCTTTCAATACATCTGAAGTATGGGAAAAACTACTATTTTCTTTAATAATTTCAGATATATCTAGTTTACGCGAAGTGGAACCAGGCATAGAAGGTGAATTGTAGTCACAACTAGAATTATAAACATATTTATTACACATATTAAAAGCATTTGAACAATATTTTCATAACTTATAATATTAATTAAATATATATAAAGCACTCCTTTTTACAGGTACAATCGTGTGAGCTAACAAAGAGATAATATCTTTTCATTATTTTCTTTTCTGGCTTTTTAATAATAATCTTTTTTTAAATAAAAAAATTTTCAAATGTTTTTAAAAATATTTCATTTTATTACTTTTTATTCTTCTCTTTTCATAAATCTTCAATATTTTCCATGTTTTGTTTGTTTTCTCTATATTTTTAACTATATATATAACTTAAACATATACTCAGGGTTCGCACTCAATTTCAGAAAAAGAATTCCTTGACTTTTCCAGGTATATTTCAATGAAAATCAATACCATATTTCATCAACACTACGAAATTTTTCATCAGAAAATTTTGATTCCTTTACTTGTAATGCCAAGTATTAGATTTTCTATGTAAAATAAATATCATTATATGAGGATGGAAAAATTTCAGTTTGTCGAAAATGTGAAATTTTTATAATAAATAATTGTAATAGATCTTAGAATTATTTAACTCTAATCTCAACAATTGGATAGTGTTACTGGCGATTTTAAGACTATTTTATTTCCAGGTATAATGAAGGAATNTTTAAAAATATTTTATTTTATTTTCTTTTCATAAATCTTTAATATTTTCCATGTTTTCTTTGTTTTCTCTATATTTTTAACTATATATATAACTTAAACATATATCATCCCCACCCCCCATTAATCACAATAAAAGCTGGAGGTCCACTTATACACCACTGCAGTACACTTGAGTGAAATTTATTTATTAATATTTTTAAAGCAAATGACGTAGAGTTTAAGAAATGTATAAATACAGATGAATACAAACACTGATCAATAGCATATGAATAAGAAAAATAATGAAATTATAATGTAATCAAAACTTTTATGTATTAGAAATAAAAAACTTTTTGCGTTATTCTATACACTCTGTGAGTATAGAACTCGTAATCTGCATCGGTACTAGACTCCATCATCTCATCTCATCCCCTTGCATCATCCTCATAAAGGTTTATATCGTATTTTATAGTAAAAGATGGTATTAATACACCTTTGAGTTATTTATTTAAAGTATTATCAAAAAATAATTTTTTGAATACCTCCGAATAACTGGAGTTTCATAGTTGATAAAAACTTTTTTATTCAACAAGTTTGAATTCTAATGTCAATTTATTCAGCCAATAAAGAAAAAATTTACAAGCCAAAAAATGGATAGTCTACTTATACACTTTTATTGATTTACACTTTGGAATATATAGTAATCTAATTAAAACTAACTAGGTAATGCAAATTTTTTAAATAGTAGTTGGTTTTAAATATTAGTTTAAAAAAAATTATATTTCTAATAAATCATACGGTTTTAATAAATTATTTCACAAACTTATTAAAGAGTAATAAAAGCATTTCTTATTCAGCAAAGTAAAGAATGCTTAACAGCTAAACTGGCGCTCACAAACCTTGGCATGTTCAGTAATTGTGTATCTTGAGCAGTATTTAAAACCGATCGTGTTACGGATGACTGGACACTGCCATGACCACTGAAATAAGTATTTTCTAACTGAAGAACAAACAAACAGCACCTAAAAAAGAAATTATAAGAATAAAAGGTGAATGACAGAATAAATCGATAAATAATATCATGGTGAATAGAAGAATATGATGATAGAATTCAATTAAAATGCAATTGAAAATATTTAAAAATGTTTCAACCAATATAGAGGTCAAATGTTTTACTGATAATGCAAATATACCTAGGGCAATAAAAACTCATAAGAAAAGTAATAGAAAGAAAAGGAAGTAAGTCTGCTAACAATCTCTCAACTTATTCCAAACTTCCTTTTTAAAAGGTTTCATTTTATGAAAAAGCTACCCATAATTTTATAAGAAAAGTCCAATTTTCGCAAAAAATTCCCCACCCCCCTAAAAAAACAGTAGTCAGTCCAAACCTTTTGTGAAAGGCTCTGTTCATGTGAAAAAATATTCTCAATTCAAAATCACTATAGGATGGTGTTTTTTCTGTCAGGATTCTGTTTTTTGAAATACGTGAAAATAAGGTATCTATAAATGAAAAAAAATCACAAAAAGGGTGTTTTCAAGAGTTTCAATATTAAAGTCAGGAATTATTACTTAAAAGTATGAATTAAAAACACCATAAACTCAATTTTTAAAAAGAAAATTTTTATAAAGTGTCTGTTCAAAAATAAAAATTGTTGCGAAGGGTCAGTCCACTGACCTAACTTTTGGCAAAAATGACCCCTGCTTCTTAAAAAATTTCACTTTATATTTTATTTAAAAATGAAAAATTATATCCTATATTATAAAATAATAAGTGAAATAAGTCATTATGAAAAAAAAAAGAATCAAATATTTAGAATTTATAACCGTCATAGTTCACTTGCTTGTAGGAAGAAGAAAAAAGAGAAAAGTGTGTTAAAATTTTCAGTTTCAAAGTACGTTTATTAACTATGAAATTTTTACAAAAATATTAATTTATGAAAGAAATTATGAAAACAGACTCCAAAAGAATAACACATTAAAAAAAATAATAAATAAATAAGAATTTTATTCACATTTAAAAAGCAATCATATACAAACAAAATCTAGAATTGCGACTATAGGAATAAAAATTAAAAACAGTGATATAGATTTTTATACTTCTATTTCAAAAAATAAACAGTTAAGATTACGATTTGCTCCGAGTTTCAAAAATAGCTCATGATAAGATATAAAGCATAATAAAAAAATGTGTTATATGTGAATAAATGATTCAGCAAATAAAAAGCAATAAAAAGCATCTTCATATCAACAAATAAAAAGCATCCAAAAGAATAAAATAAATAAAAAGTAAATATTCATACTGAAAAACATATTTCCAGCAGTCTGGACTATGACTTCCAAGCTCTAAACCTTTACTTAGAAGAACATCCATGCTCAATATCTGGGATGAATGCAGACGCAAAGTCTTAGAACGACCCGGCAACAGAGTCTTCTTGAACTGGCGACCCTCAAATTTTGAAGATAATTGAGGAAAAAGCATATCTTCAGAAAGAGGACAAGATGCTGTGGCCAACTGAGAGAATACAGAATTGCAGCAAGATTGCAGTCCTGAAAAATATGGATCAATAAATGGATTAAAGAAAAATATGAACAAAACATATATTCATAGTTAACATAACTTTTTGTTGAAAAACACTAGAATTGTTACTGAAATTGGGAAAAATTAAAAAACTGTTTATGCCATTACGTAATTATTCAAACTAATAATCTCCAAAATTACTGTCATTTTCAATAGTGACCATCTGTAGCAGCGGGTGCTATAAATTGATAATATTTCCAAAGTCACAGTCCAAATACCAGTAATCTGACATTTAATATATTCCGAAATGAAGTTACTTTTTAAAAAAATTTAACTTAAAGAATCTTTGTAAAATTATAGACCCCATTCTACCTTTAAAACCATACAGTGCCAAAAACGTAGAAATGCATAAGTTTATTAGTCACATTGAAAAATGGTTTAAATAAATCCTGAAGCACTGTATCATAATAGAACTAACAAGCACAGCTTTACCTTCTATTGTGTAAAAAAATAACTTGACTTATCAATATCAATCAATTAGAAACAGAACTTGGTATAAAACAAGTTTTTTACACTACAATAGGAAACAGTTCGTATTAGTTACGAGTGAGTTTTCGCTGTACCATTTAGCTAAGAAACACTTACCCAGATTGTTACAAAGTTTAGCAGCTCTTTGTAGTCCATCTAAACTATCTGCAATAGCATCCTTTGTTCTTCGATGCTCTTCTTTGGCACCCTCAGTACCAAGAAGAAAGCCTAGTGTACTAGAGATACCACACGAATTGGTACCATTTAATAGCACGGACAAAACTTCTAAGATAGTTTCCCAACAGCAAGTCAAAATTCGACGACTGAATTTTTTCCCTGAAAACAGAAAATTAATAAAAAATATATGCTGAGTAAAAGTTTTGAATATTACTTAAAACAATCTCTGTAAGGATATTTTAAAAAAATCAAGTATCTACCTGCTTCAATATTTGGAGAAATTTGGTTATTGACAACAGCCTTTTCAAGACGCCTATAGTCAGCCAACTGCTGAGTACCAGGCAAGGAATCACCAAGCCCATCTATATCTGAAATATTTTTAATCCACCAATCATCACTACCAAAGAGCAAACCTAATAACAAAGCAAGAGAAAGAAAAACAATAATAAAAGCAAAGCAAATGAACTAAAGGAATAAAGCAAAATGAAATACAAAATAAATAAAATTGAAATACAGACGTACTAATAAAAAAAAACTTTCAAGATAAATAATAAAAAAAGCTGAACATAATAAATGCAAGCATGATAAAATTATAAATTTGAACAGAAAAGAAGCAATAGTAATGTATAGCAAGAAGTAAAATAACCTAAATATAAAAAGATGCAGCAAAAAAATCATGTTTTTAGAATCATAATGACTAAATACACATATATATCAAAAGGAAGAAATAATACCACAATCCCTGGTTCACAAATACAGCTTTTAAAAAATGGAAAAATTACTAACATTCCTAACACTTAAAAACAATTTTTACAAATGTTTTCAACGATACAATGTCAAAACTCAATGAACAGTTAGAATCGCTCCCTTGTTAAGATTATAATTTATGAGGTTTTTCTTCTCATTTCTTTAACAACCACATCCATGTAAATAGTGACAATTTAACAAATTAAATATAAAAATAACGTGTGTGAGAAATTAGGCATGAAATAATTTCTCAAACTCATAATTTCACTAACTGCACTAAGCTTAAAACTACAATCCTCAAATCCACACCCAAAATTTTAAGTACCCTTAAAAAGAAAACCAAATATTATTTTTTATTTTATTTCCAATGCCCACCTGTGTTAACATTTTGTCAATTCAGGCACTTACTGGCCAGATTTGTTGGCCACTCTTTCAGTGGCACCATATTACGTGGGCCAACGTTGCTCCCACAGTAAGGACAGTTAGAACACAGAATGAAAGAACATCAATGCCTTTCCCTGGATTCGAACCCAGAACCTTTCTGGTGCAAGGCTAGTTGGCTCCCTGATTCCTACACATTCCGGGCAGCAAACAAAATATAATATCAATTATAAAATATTTATAGAAAACATTAATAATTATTATTCAGGCCATGTGACATGTAAGTAAAACTGTATAGATAGAAAGAATATGCAAACATATACAATATTTAAATATATTTTTAAAATCTTTTTAAAAGAATGATTGAAAAGTTGACAGGTAGATATACCAGATAGTAAATTGATAAGAGCAGAATTTTCAACAGATGCAGGATTGTAACCAGCTTTCTCCAGAAGATTACAGGCTAAGACTTGTTGGAATAGTTCAGCTAACCACGTTGCTGATAAATAAACCAATACACCACTTCCATGAACTTCTTCAATGAACTGTTGCTGAAATTTTTAAAACCATATTAATTAAAAAAAATAAGTTATATTCTGAAAAATATATAAATACCGAGTAAAAATCTTAAATTTAATTGCAATAATTAACATGCATTTCGACATACATTTAAAAGTAGGTCGGACATAAGAATTTTTCATCCTTTCTCTCCTTTAGCGATCCTTTTCCCCATGAACTTTCAAAAATTGTGGAGCCAAAACATTTACCAATCTAACGTAACTTAATATAAGTACTTAGTAAGCATAGCCTAAAGCATACTTATTACTTTTATTTGGATTTGATAAAAAAAGAAAATATAAAGTAACCTATTCATTATAATACAATTCTTATGAACTTTCAGTATTACACATCTATTACACATAAAACACAATTATATAAGATATAAAATAGATAAAAATGACTAACTTCATTGGAAATTTGATACTAAAAAGGAAAAAATAAATAAATAAACCTATATTATCTGACAATGGATAAATAGCTAATGAATGCTCTAATTGTTTCATAATATACCACTTTTATTTATTTTTGTACGAAGTAGAATCGGGCAAAAACGTTCTTAACAAAAGTTAATAAATAAAAAAATTCTTTAGAAATTTCAATACAAGCTTCCATCTGTAGTTTCTCAGAAATTATTGGATCCATTTTGTCAATTTTAAATATTGCCATTAAAAATTGCATAGCTTAAAATTCTAATCACTATTAAGTTAATAAAAAAAGATAGGAAATCACAAATTTTTTCAGGCGGAATTGGTTTTTAAATAACAAGTTTTATTAATTATAAGTAGAGCCCGGATTTTGATGACCTAAAAAATCTCAACTAATGCCCTTAAAAATGCACAAATTGCACAAAAAATGCCTTAAATAAAATAAAAATATTGAATTAAAAAATGTTTTGCTCTTTAAAATTATTACGAGTCATTTAAAAGATATAAAGCAATGCAATACTTGTTTTACGTTCATTAAAGTTTGAAAAATATGCTTTATATCCTAAAATAACAAAAAAAGGAAAATATATTGACACCAAAATATTTTTCTTTTGTAGAGAAACTTTGAGGGATATAACAACTCCCATCTTATAATATTACTAAATATCAGAATTACATTGGATTATTAATTTTTTTTTGATAATTTGAAATGTAAACGAGCGTCTCTTGTCTGAAAGCAAATTTTCATTCCTGCAGAAGCTTCTTTCAATGTCTACTGATGTTATAGGTTTGTACTTGAAAAAGACGGTCTCACTTACTGACAATTCTTCTTCAATTTGAAAAGATTTTGCTTCACCTGTTAATATCCTATAGATTTTCTTCATTGTTTGGAAGCCAGTGTAATAATGAAAATTGATAAAAAATAATAAAAATTGGAAAAAATTAACCGAAAACTTTAAAAAATGCATTAAAATGCAAAATACGCCCCAAAATTTAAAGAAAAATGCCCTATAAATCTAAAAAAATGCTCTAAAAGACAAAAAATGCCCACAAATGCAAAAAATGCAAATGTCATCAAAATCCGGGCCTTAATTATAAGTAAAAATTTTGATCCCTTAAACAGCTTCTGAGCTTTTCATCCACAGATATTTATTATCATTATATTAACATTGTTTCAAACCTTGAACAGCTCACTGAAATAAGCTGTTCAATACTATATTTGCCAGATTGTGTTTGCTCCCATGTTTGTTGGAAACTTAAAAGATCTCTTTACAGTACATAAAAACTTGATCATTAAAGCAAAAGTCAAAATCAATTACCCTGAATATTTCCACTTTTTTCCCCATACTGTTTAAGCCAAGATCACATATTAAACATAAACAAAAAGTTTAAATCTGGACACAAAAAATTATCTGGATAATCGAAATTTTAAAATTGAAAAGAAAATAATTAGATGGAAATTAAATTTTGAGTTAGTAGCCAGAGGCCGGTAGAATCTGATAACTTAGCAGCCACTTTTTGCTTGAACTCAGTGAATCAGTGACCTATATAGATATGCCTTTTTCCTTTCATAGCCACTTTCTGCAATTTTTTTATAATATGTTTATAATAGGTTTAAATTATGTTTATAATAGAAATATTCTATGACTATAAAAAAGTTATTACTGACAAAATTTTGTAAAACAAGCTGACTTAAAAGAACTTAATTTAAAAATATCTGGGAAGACAAAAATCATTTAATGTAAACATTATAACTTTAAAACATATGAAATGTTAAAAAACTCTCCTTCCACATGAATTTTTCTACCACAAAATGATGGATTCTGAAGGATCAAAATTTAAAAAGACATTTTAATGGAAATTCGGTTTATCAGAGTCTCTTTCTACATTGAAGAACTTTCATCATTAAACAATTTAAAGAAAAGAACGAGTAAATTCTGAAGTGCACAGAAAAGTTATTTTTTAAGTATGAAGTCTAAAATTTTAAGAATTAATTTAAATTCAAAACTAGTAGACAGTTTTTTATAGATATTTTTTAAAAAACATAATATTTTTTTGTAATTTTGAAATTTTGCTTAACATTATATGAGAATTTAAGTTGAACAGTGCGCCAAAAAGAAAAAAAACGGACGACCCTGAATAACTTTTGATCTATTGATCAGATCTTCAGGTTTTAGAACTCAGTCTTAATGGTTCGAGGAGGTGACTTTAAATGCACTAATTAATTAATGCAGACGATATTTTAAGTTACAAAATCAGACACAAAATTATACCTTCTCTGAAAAACACACACCTTTTTTTTCCCTCGGATTTTGTAGCTGCAATTTTTAAATATTATTTGATCGGGACGGAGATTGAAAGCTTGGACCTCAGAATATTAATTATATTTTTGCGTGTTTCCCTATATCTTGTGAACTTTTTAAGTGAATTCAAAACATTTTGCACACAATTTCAAAATTTGTTCATCCAAAGATAATTTTTTTTAATAATATTATTTAATATTAGTCTGAAAAACTTTGAATTGAAAGGTAGACAAATGTTTACATCATTTTAAAGTATGTAATTTTGCATGGAAAAATACAAAAATTGAGCAAAATTGGTTAAATAGTTTTTGAGAGATTAGATTTAAAAAAAGTTGTATATTTAATATTTAATTTCTCAGGAATTATTCAAATTTTGCATTTTGCAATAATTTTAAAATAATAAAATTACATACTTTAAAATGATGTAAAAAACTGTATATCTTACAATTCAAATTTTTTTCTATTATTATAAAAATAATAAAAAATAATAAATGTAAACTAAAATTTATTCTTTGCATGGAATTATGTTTGTATAAACGAATTTTACAATCACAATTTTTTTTATTTGCTTAAAAAAAAGTTTTTGAGATCCAAAATTTGGATCGCACTCTTGACCAAACAATGAGGACCATGTTTCCCAGATTGCGGCTACCTCTTATATTTTGGGGGTCAGAAATCAAAGTCCGTTGAAAAAAGGTATGTTTATTCAGAGAAAGTATGCTTTTGTGTCTGACTTCATAACTTAAAATATTGTCTCCACTAATTAATTAACATAATTGTGGTGATGTCACCCCCAAACCATTAAGATTGAGTCCTAGAATGTGATAATCCTATCATTAGATCAAAAGTTATTCAGGGTGGTAATTATTTTTTGGCGCACTGTACGCATGTTCAATTAAACCAGAAATTTCTTTCTGTATAACTACTCTTGACTGACTAAAATGACTATATAACTACTCTTTAAACAGTAATAAAATTCCTAGAAATATATCCTGAAGTTCCTTATTGAATAAATAAGTAAGATACATAAATGCAAATTTATACTTGAAATGAGAAAAAATTAAGGTTAGAGAAATCAATCTCTCACTCAAAATAAGAAATGATGTTAATAAATATTTAAAGCAAATATTTAAAGAGAAAGTGATATTTCTTAATGATTGCAATTATAGTTATTATCATTTTGCATAGCTTTCATAAAATTTTGAAAGCAGCTTTTAAAACAGTGTCTCTAAACTTCACTAGGTATACTTTATTTCACCTCAGGGTGCCTTAACTGGAATACGCAAAAATATAGTATATAAAAATATAGTAACATGAAAAAATATCTACAGTAAAAATCTTAAAATGAAAAATAAATCAAATCACCTCAGTCAAAGGAGCTTCACCAGCCATTTCTTTGTAATAATTATTTCGCACCAATTTTAGATTTAATAAAAGAGCAGAATACAGAGCCAAGTAGATACCATCTGCATTTAGAATAGTAACATGAGAGGGGATAGTTTCCTGTTCCTTTTTCATTATTTGTTGTGATTGCCACAAATCTAAATAATTCAAAAATATATATTGTAATAATGCAAGACACATATTATACCACATTTATTGTCATTAATAAACAAAATAATTTTATGAAACATAAGATTCAACAAGAGAGAAATTTAATGTGGATAAAAAAAAGTCTGATAATTGCAAATTGCACTTGAGAAATTATCCAATATTTGTTGTCAACACCCAAGTAAAATTATACACAATAATTTTGCTTTAATTCATACAAATATATTATTGATTAGTAACCAAAATGCTTATTTTAGTAAAGCTTTGTTTGAAATTTTTGCATTTTTTTTGGAGAATGATAGGATTTCTAAATGGTAGAAAATAAGAGTTAAGTTTAAATTTTTAAATTTAATTACATATGAACTAAATTAAATAAAATTATAGAACAAATCAAATTTCAAATACTAAAAATTTTAAAATACCTTGTTTTCTTAAAGAGAGGTTGTCACAAAAAAAGTTTTTTTAGCGTTTAGTATATTGTTCATGGAATTTGATTGTCAGTGATTGCTGTACTATCAGGCAAAATTAGGAAATTTTACTAATGGACTAAGGCAAATTGTAGCATTCTTAACAGGAGCCATTTTTTAAAAATATATAGAGACTTTTTAAAAAATTGAACATTTTAAATGATTAATAACCCGATTGATATTAATAACGTTAGATATTTCGTTATAAGCATTTCTCAAAAAAAATAATAAAAAAGAATACGAGAGATTCATTTCTAAAATGAAGAGAAATTTTAAGAAACAAGTTTGAAAAGTAACTGTCAGAATATTATAAAATTATTACATAATTGTTAAAAAGATAATAAAATCAAATTAAAGCTGCATTTTTGACCAAAAAACTATAACATAATTATTTTTTAAAAATAATAACATCTAAAAGGAGCACATTTTCGACAAAAAATGTGGTGACCCGGATGCAACTGGCAGATAATTCTTTAATTGCCATTTGTTATGTTTAGTTGCCACTTTAACAGTGACTATAGCTTGTCTACAGTAAGGACTCCCCCCCCCGCCAACAAGTCTGAGGCCGGCTGCTGCTATGGAAACAAGAATAGCACATTTCAGGAGGGTAACTTCACTTCACTCTAGGGCTAACATAATAGACCTAATATTTCTCTAGCCGAACTGAGCCAAAACCTTTTCTAAACAATGTCCCTACACCTCTACTTGAAATAGATATACCTCGTTACCATTATCACAGCCACAGGTCCAAACCAATGGCATAGGGAGTTCCTACTTTAGACAAAGTATACCATAATTTTGCTCTAAATACTGAACTATTGACCTCTTCAGGATATAATTAAAATATAGTTAAAATTTTAACTAGACAAGATCATGCTAATAAGCAAAAAATATTTAGTTAAGATTCTTAAAATTTTCTTATCATGAATAGGAGACGAAATCACATACAAGGTGAATTAATTAACAATTTTCATTGACATTAAACATTCATATTTAAAAACTATGTCATATTTTTAAAAAAAATACCTTCACAGTATTTTGAAGCGAATTCTTGGAGAGCCTGATCTGCTTCAATGGAGCTACGTATAGCAAGAAGTTCTGGAAGAAAAGACTGAAGTACATTGACAAAATGCTGAGCATTCTGTCGTTCTTTCTGAGCAAATTCAAGTCTTGCCAAGCATAGCTTTTCCACACGCTCTCGTTCTTCTTTACCGGCATCTTCCTGTCCTAGCAATGTGCGTGGAATTCTTTTCAAGCGATCAGCATCATCAGTAATGTCGTCAAGTTCATCCTCCTGAAAATACCACTTGTAGATTAGAAATAACTTTTAGACACTCTATATTTTTGTAATTCATAAAGACAACTGTGGCTATCTTGTACTAGCAAGCAATGCCAGAAAATCATTTTGGAAATGAGGTGACACTGGTTCAACACCTAAAGTTCGCTTGTTGATTTAAATACTGCTCCGAACTCTTACAGACCACAGTCTTGATATAAAATATCCCTAGTTGTAGAGAGCATCGAGTCCCTCTGTATGTCAATGACTTAACTGTGGCCGAGTCATGGCCTAACTGTGGTAGATATTTCTCTTCATGTAACATAAATGTTGGTTGGTTCACTCAAAAAGGAATCCACAAAGAAAAGTTTATCCTAATATTAATACAAGAATTCGTTGTCTTCTGGGTAGGGTAAAAAAATTACAAGGCTACAGAATTGAACACTCATAGTTGCAGATCTGCTACAGATCAAATGTTCCAACACCAGTAAAAAAGATGATATAAAATATGTCATGGCATTGTAAAAATACAGGGGCTATTAAATTTTTTTTACCAGTATACAAGAGCGTTTCAAGCAAATTTTTTAGATACTTTTTATTCAACAGAAATTAATCAAACAGAAACAAAGTATTGTGCGGCTTTGAGGAAAGCTCTTCTAGACTAAAAGTCTGGGCTGTCTGCTGCTTTGGTAACAAGAGTAATGGGAGTTCTATGGAAGAAAGAAGTTGTTGATTGGTCTACTCACGCTGACCTATGTCAAGATCAAGACAAAACTATTCACCCCATACCTCTATTCAAAGTTACTTTTCCTCATAACCATGGTACTCCCCACGATGCGAGACCAATGTCTGGAGGAGTTCTCCTGAAAGTCTCACTATAAATCTCATTTGTTTAAACTTATAACATTTAATGTTTTCAACTTTTTGAGATAAATTGAGCATCAGCTATTATTTAATGAAACTGTTAAACTAACTGCTTTTGGTTTGCATGCTACAGTTTCTATGCAACTTGAGATAGAAGAATTCCACTGGTAGATAAATCCTCAAAAAGAATTGAAATTTGATAAGTTTAAATTAAAATATAGAATGAATTTTAAAATGGCAAGACAAAGTTCCATAATAAAAAACTTAATAACCATACAAATTAAATTATACAAAATATAGATGAAGCTATTACTGAATTAAGCTCATGGTGGAAAAAAAATCTACAATATTATACACAAACATTAATATAATCAAATAATGCTAGAATTTATATCACATTAAAAAAAATTATAAGAGATCAGATAAAAACTATAAAAAAAGAAAAATCCTTTATGCACTTTCGGATTTGAGGGATCCATATTCACCTAAATCACACTCATCTGATTAGATTTAATCTTGATTATTTTGAATTAAAACACTGAATTTATATAAAATTGTAAGATTAATTTTTACTCTATCAGAGGAAACTAAAAATGCTGATAAGTTTTATAAAACACTATTTATTAGTTATCGTCACATAAATATAGAAGAAATATTCTTGTTTCTTGAAATAGCAACAAGGGAAAGCTAGCTAGTAATAAAAAATTTAATGTCAATGCAACTTAAACACAAAACTTCATGTGCAATCATCTTATCTCAATTTGTTTTTATACTTACAAAATCACCTCCTTCCAAATCTTCACTCAAATCGTTAGTAGAATTAGAATCAGCATAATTTAAGGCTTCTTCGGCACTTTCTGTTACAGGTGAAACAATGTCTTGAGTCTGTAGTCCAACACTTTCATTATTATTGTCTACCACCACATTTAAATTCAAGTCTGTAACTTCCCCCCTCTTATTTACATCATCAGCCTCTACCTCATCTTCTGATGAAGTCGAGCAAGAATCTGAAGATTTGACAGATGTTTCAGCACTTATATAATACTCAAGAGTTCGCTTAGGAGATGTTTGCTGCTCTGAAATATTCTTCGGTCCATCGGGTTCGTGAGAATCATTTTCATGCGATGTTTTAATCTCCTCTGCATCCGTATCTAAACTAGAACTCTCTGGTAAATTGTGTTGACTGCTTGTGGTTTCAAGACTATGATGTGCTTCGGTTACGGTAACTTCATTCGTGATTTGATTATTGTTAAAAGTTTTAGTTTCTTTAACATCTAATTCATTTGTATCCTTTTCATCAATACTTTCATTAGTCGATTGGAGTTCTTCTGTTTTCAAATTTAAATCATCCTCCCTCACGTGCTCAGTGTTCTCAGTAGATATTTCCTCCAAAATTGTGATCTTAGAACGAAGTAAGTCTCTTTTTGTCTTGTCGTCTAGCATAGATTTTAGTTTAGTTTTCAACCATCGCTCAGATTTTGCACCTAAGAAAAAAAAATATTTCAGTATAATTACACATTAGTAATTATACTATTCCATAATTATACAGCTTTCATTTCACAAACAATTCAGTTACATCATTTAGCATACATTAAAGTGTTAAAAATATTTTGTTATCAATTTTTTGAAAAATATTCATTGGATTAAAGAGTTTTGCTAATGACTGGGACAACAAGTGGATTAGAATAACAGCCTTAAACATGCTAAGTAAATTTATAAGGTTAATATCAGCAAAAAATTTTGTCCTTATTCTGTAAATATTCCGAGTATAGAAGGAAAAAATATCAATAATTTTAGTGTAATTTGATTGAAAAAGCTAACCTATGCAGACAAATTATTTTTAGTGCACAATGGGCACCCTTATGTGGTGTAACATTTTAAAGAGATTTTTCTCCTTCATATTTATTATTACTTTATGCAGTGTATACTTAGAATTTAAGATGAAATAATGGACCAAAAGAATCAATTTGATTTTCTTTTAACCTTAGATTAGTTAATAAACTAATGATATAAATATAGTTTGAAACATTATGACGATTATAGGTCAATATACAAAAAATATTTTTTGATTTTATTATAATAGTTTTTAGGTATAACAAATAATTTGTAAAATAAAACTTCTATTTGAAGTTATCAGACTTATCTGAAGCCTTTTCAAACTTTAAACAAAAAATTCCTAATGTTACTATATTAATACAGTGGAACCCGCTTAAAAAGTTCCCTTTTAAGAAGTTTTCCCGCGTAAGAAGTTATTTTTTAAAAAAACCAATTACCATAATGTTAAATTTACTTTTATAAGAAGTTTTTTTCCCGTTTAAGAAGTTTCCACTCCTAATTTCAATTTTTTAAAATTTTATTTAAAATGTCTTATTTAGTTTTAACTTGCCCTTACAAACNAACCAAAAAATTGAAAGAAAAAAAAAACAATGTGAGAAATAAATTTATTTTAGGATTAAAAAAAATATTGAAAAACTTTTGATAAGTTTGGAAGCAGTTTATTGTGGTCTGATGATGTAAACAGTTCAATGAGCTTTTTATTTGTTCTAGTATTTCAAATTCTCTAAAAAAAAATTTTTTTCTTCATTTCTTTAGTTTAAATATGCTAACTTTCCTTCGTGTAGTTAACAAACCAGCTGGGCCGGGATAGCCTGGTCGGTAGGGCGCTGGGCCGACGTCCGAGAGTTTGTGGGTCCGAACCCCGCCGGCCGAAGACTCACCGTGTAGTTGGTGACTGATGCACATTAAAAATTCTGTCGAGTCGCAAAGTCCTCCATGTTCCCATAATAAATGAATACCTCTGGGGGTACTGGATTGGAGATCAATCGTTCTCTGATTCAGGTCATAATTATGATCTGTGATGAATGAATGAATGGGTCCGCCTTATAACAAGGTGTGACGTATGATGTGGCAGAAGTCAAATTCTTGACATAGATGGCGCCACTGAAAAACAAGAATCACACACTGTGCCTTAAATTTGCTCGGTTTCACCAAGTAGGCTCGCCCGTGTGGCAAGTGGCATTAGAACCAACCAACCAATCAACAAATCAACTGTAGTACTAAAAACTAATATTCACAACGGAAATCAAATGATTTTAAAAACAAAATTACAATAACAATAAAATAGGTTGAATGCTGTAAACTACTAAAATTATTTTTCAAGTCAAAAAAAGTGTTTGTATTCAGTTTCAAAAATAAAACTCTCCCACTTTTCCAGATCAAGTTGAAATAAAATTTTTTGAAATTCTGAGTTTTCTCCAACACATGGGAATCTTACACAGTGATTCATGCTAGACTTAGGGAAACTACAGGTTCTTAGGACTTTTGAATCTCTAGGTAACTATGTTTTTTAACGAAAAGTGGGGCCATTTTTAAAATTATACAAATATCTACTTTAAAGATATCCATAAGAAATAAAATATTTTACTAATTAGGAAAAGTATGATTAGCAATTTATTCAACAATAATATTTTAACAAGGAATTAAAGCCAAAATTTCGTTATCAAGGGAGAAATTATTTTTTTTTAAAGTTTAGTTTAATTTTATTTGTTTACACAAATCTGCTGGCACACTATTCTATTTTATTTGGGGTTTTTTTTAAACAGAGAATTACGTGCCTGGGAGACGTTACATCTAAGGAGGTAAGTAGGAAATGATTATGTGCACATGTAAACCAAATCGTTTCCTGCATACACTATTCAAAATTACCTTTGTAATCAGAACTCTCAAGTGTTTTGAACTGGGAATTAATGCAAGAAATAAGTTCCACCTTCATAGACTCCCCACAGCAAATGTCTTCTAAGGTTTTTAAAAGAGCAGAAATACAGCTAACGCTGGCATAACAAACATTATTATCACTGCTGTAGCAACATTCTCCCAGAGAATCAATGGCTCTAATAAAAATCAAACATTTAAAAACATAAAAATGAAAACATTTTATAAAATAAGAACAATAAACATTTCATGTTTTAAACAAGTGCTATTAATTATCTCAACAACTGTTTATCATGATACAACAAATTAACTATAGAACTCTAATCATTCCAATCATTCATTTCCCTGGATACATTTGAGAAATCAAAAAACAAAATACAGTAGACTCCCGATTATCCGATTTAACCGAGCTATCAAATATTTCAAGGAATTTTATTGTTCAAGTTTATTTTTTATTCTTAAAACTACCGATCAAGTAATTCTGAATTTTATTATAGAAACACTCAGGAAAAGAAGCTAACGGTCAACACGAGATTACCGATGAAATGATCATTAATATCGTCAATAATGAAAATAAATCTAGCAAAGATGGAGACGACAGTGACGATGAAAATCAACATATTAAAATCTCTCATATAGATGGACTAAAAGCTATCGAAAGTGATATTGAATATATAGAACAACCAGAAGAAGTGACATCAGCCTTCCTGTTATCCCTAAGAAAATGGCGAAACATTGCTGCAGAAAAGTGCCAAAGTAATATAAAACGAGAAACGATTAAAGACTTTTTTAAGTAAAATCTCTTTAATTTTCATAAAGTATGCTCTTTAAGTGTTTCTGAGTAAGCTTTTTAATTATAATATTAATTGTATGTGGAATACTTGTATAAATTTTGTATTTGTTTTGAAAATACTTTGGCGATTGCGAATCGCCAACAAGATTGTGAGAATAAATATAACCATGCAACTGAAACATATTTGTGGTAAGAAATTAATAATAAAGAGTTATAAATAGATTTTTGTTTTCGATTAGGAGCGGCAGTGAATTAATGAGTCTACATTAGTATTGAAAGGAAAAGTTATCTGTTACATTGATTAATAAGAAAAGAAAAATATATTTTATGTTCGCATTTAATAAAAATTAAATAATTGATTTAATTTAATTACAATTCGATTAAGAAGAATGATTAAAAAATAATTTAAAGTAATTAAAGAAATTTTAAAAGCTAGGAAATATGTAATGCCAATTGTGGCATCATATTGTTATACTCTTCGTTTTAATCACGTTTTTCAGTTATCCGAGTTAGTCGTGGTCCATATTAACTTCGATAAGCGGGACTCTACTGTATTACAATCTAAAGGCAAAAACTAGAATGTTATTATATTATAATATAGTAAGGAATTTTTATAATACAGTAATTAAACTGATGTCCTCAGTAACAAACTCTCTAGCACAGTATTGCTGACACTCCTTTTTAAATACATCTAAACTTGTTTCAAATAAAAATTAAAAAGCTGAACTGAACGCACATCACAAAGAACAAAAAATTTAGATTTTTTTGTTAATTGATTACAGGCTGGACTGAATAAGGATTAATTCTATTTTTCTAGTATCATACATAAAACCCAACTTAAATTTAAACAACAAAGTTTTTATGTATAATTTTTAAGTATCTTAGATCAGGAAATTTTGTACAAAATTCAACTTAATGTTACATGCATGTAACATTATGTTGAATTTTGTACAATGATAATCTTTCTCTGACTGCAGACAAATTTGATTCATGAAGATTATGCTAAAGATTCACTATGTAAATTCTACTAACGGGCTTATAACTAATAGCGAATATTATTATTTTTTTGCCTAAAAAAATTACCTTTGGCCGAAAGTCAAGTTCTCTTAATTGGGTATGATTCACATTGCTTTAGAAATTAGGTTCTGCTGTGCCATATAAAAGAAGTTCTGAATCTAAATAAAATGAGCTAATAAGGAAAATATTAGAACAATATTCCTGCCAAACATATTTCTATTGAAGAGAAAAACTAGTGTCCAGCAAAGAAACTTGAAGTAGATTGTAGCTTGAATTGAGTTTAAGAAAACTGTAAATTAAAGAGTGGAAGATTTACAGAATTAACCAACAAAAATTTTAGCATGATTTTTTTTTTTTTTTTTTTTTTTTTTTTTTTTTTTTTTTTTTTTTTTTTTTTTTTNTTTTTTTTTTTGAAAAAAAAAATTTCCTTCTTGTTTATAAAACTTTTCTTTTTTACAGAATAATATATCTTACAAAATTTAAAACAATGAACAAAATAAATATTTATAAAGCATCAATAATTTATAAATCATAATCAATCTAATATAATATATAATAACATATATATACATGTAAAACATCATCATTTCAAATAGGACTACATTTACAAAAAGGAAAATAAAGTAATAAACATTTTTTTTTAATATAGAAAAATTGGAAGAACCTTTGCAGTAAAAAAGTTTTTCAATTGATAATAACTTGTTTAACAATGCATTCTAATCCATTGATATAGTTTACTACACACACTTCATTTATTTACTTATTTATTTTTTGTGAAAAAGCTGCAATTAATAATTCAAAATTAACAGTGAAGTCAATGTCATTAAAAAATATATAAGTAAATATACATAATACCCACATTTTTATCAGATCCAAATCCAATGAAATCCAATCTTTATCACTAGTTGCATGCAAAGGAGGAGCAGCAAGCTGAAGGAGCAACTCAGGTTTCGAAAATAACTGCATAACGGGTTAGTATGTTAATGTGTTATAGAATGTAATAAGAGATTAGTATGAAAATGAGTTTTAGAACAGAAATTAGTAACAGTTAGTTATTTATATGAAAAGTATGTGGAAAAATTTAAGGTTAAAAAACACAAATTAACATAGGTAAAAACATAGCTTTCTTAAGAGAACATGTAACAGTTTCAATAAAACATATAACAATTTATACTCATCGGTAGCCTGATGACTGGTAAAAAGACAAGCGCTTTGCGGATAAACAGTCTTTGCAAGAATTAATATCACAAACTTGCCGTTCTTTCAGAGTCTGATCAAAATGTTCTCAGAACCCGCTAACTGTCCGCTGACAGTGATGCTTGACTAAAGTGATATACAAGAAACTGAGTTTTAGGATGAATATGATATCGGCATCTTAAAGAATTAACACTTTTTAATGAAAACTAGAAGAGTTAATTTAAATCTCTTACATCTGAGTAAAATTAAAAGCGCTCAAAAGAGAGATTTTTTTTGTTGTTGATAAGATGGAAATCCCTGCTGTAGACAAAATAGAGGTAACCCTAATAAGTTCTTACTCTAAACAATTTTGAAGTTTCACAGAAAATATTAGACTCAAAATTATTAACAAATTGTATGTAAATAATACATCTGAAGAAGTGGTGAAAAAACATTCTTTATGTAAGTGAGAACAACTTAGATAATAATATCGATAAAATTACTTCTTTAATAGACTTTAAGGCTTCAAGTCTATGTTGAACAGGAGGGTATAAAAGCATTCTGTGGAATAAAGATTCTAAAACAGGGCGTAAGGAGCCAACACTTCCAACGAGACGAACAAGCTCTACAGCTATGCTAAAAGAAAATAATAATTTTAAACAAGTTTTATAATAAATTTTAGTATTTATTTTAAAATCATTAAAATTTGTTTAATAGATATTACATTGATTTTCAATATTTTCTCACTTTTTGTTTGCAATTTCAGATAGTTCTTGTAGAAAAATTTTTTTAGGGGTATCTATCAAGACCAGTTACTTTAATATATAGTATTTTATAATTATTAATTTTAATAATTATTAATTTTTAAAGTTTTGTAAACATAAATTCCTTAAAATTAGATTTTCATAAAATATTAAAGAAAGAAAGAAAGACATGAAAAGTGATAATCTTTCTGGAAGTAAAAATAATTGTGCCAGGTGAATTCAAAGCATTTAAATTATAACTTAAATAAAAACCTTTCTCATCATAAAGAAAAGATCAAATAAAAATCTTAATTATTATAATAATTATATCAGGGTGCAAAGCCAAATAATCGAACAAAAAATAAGCATCTTTTAAGCACTTTTCAAGCACTCAAAAAATATTTTTCAGCACTTTAAAAAAATATCATAATTAGGCAGGGTTGGAAAGTTTTGATAATTGACGCTTTTATCTTGTTTTAACCGTCATGTAAAAAAAAAACTTTTGGCATTGTTACAATTGTCAAAAATCATGAAATTTTGAATCATGTAAAACGAATATCGTTTTCATACGCTACGGACTGACAATACGCCGAAATAGATCAGGGTTGAATTAATTCTGAAAACGTTGAATAGAACGATGTGAATTGTATCTTTTTGCATAATTCGAAGTGAAAAAGTGTGAAGCATTCACCCTAGATTTTTAACTTTTGAAAGCAATTTATAAGTCAGAGTCTTAAAGAGAAATTCTTGGATATCATTTATCAATTTTACTAAACTAGTCTTTACTATATTTTTCAAAGAAAAATTTTAACAATTATTAAATTAACCAGTTAAAATGTTTGCATTTTATAAAACAAGTTATATAAGGAAATTTGGGAGCTATATTTTAACTTTATCTACTTAGCTAGACTCACAACATGTAAATATCAACTAACTTTAACTAAATTTTTCCAAATGGGATTCTAAATCAGTAACAAACTTGCTATTTAAGGTAACTCAGCATGAAAAAGAAACTATTTACAGAAATTAACTACCTTAAAATAACTGAAAATAGATAATATTCTTGTTTTAAAAATTTACCAACCAGCCACACACCTATAAACTGTCTTTGCTTCAACTCCTAAGCATGATGGAGCAGTGGCTAAACACCCAGATCCACGTCCAATTTCCTTTACATCACAACTTTTTTGCGATGAAATAATATTTTTATCAGTCTTAGGTGAACCCAACAGAGCAATTAAGAGTGGACATAGTTCTTGCCTATTTTGACAAAAATATAGTAATAATCAATAATTAAGAAAACAACATTATTGTAAAATCTATCCATTATGATTACGCAGTATACTTCGCTGATAGGTTATCAATTAAATAATAATGAAATAAAAAAATGAATGATAAATAAACAAAAATTAAATGATAATAGAAATTTATTTAAAACAATAGTTTCATCAAAATTGCTTTAACTTTTATTTTATAAGTTCAAAACATAAACATATAATCAATACATATAAATCTAAAAGCAGCAAAGATATATATTACAATTGTTAACCTATTAAGCGTTAGTCCAAGGTTTTTTTTAAATTATCAAAAGCAGGCTTTCCTTAATTTAAAAAAAAGTGTTTTCACTGTGTCGTTCAATAGGAATGCAGTACAAAGCAGGAAAATTTTAATTTAATTTTACTTAGGTGCTCGGAGAGTTAATTGTTTGCGTAACATAAATAATCTAGTACCATATATAGCAAAATTATGAGCATAACCTTAACAATTTGGTCAATTGGGAATATAGTTTTGTTATTCACTTGTTATTGCCTCTGCAAAGCAATGTTTTTATATTTAAATAATGTAAAGAAACCACAGCTTTCTGTGATAAAAATCAATCAAATTATACTTCAAGATGAGATCAATGTCAACAGTTAAAGATATCCCTTCCAAAGCATCAAATGTTAATAAAATAATATACTTTTTAAAGGTATCAATACTGTTACTATGATAGTTCTTGTAGAAAAAGTAATTTCATATAATTGTGGACACATAAAGTAATAATTGTTTAACCTAAATTAACAAAAATGGTTTATTAACTTCTCCCAAAAGTATCAAGGGATAATTTTAAAGTAAAAAAAAAACGAAAAAAGTTTTATACACATATTAAAAATAGTATAAATCATAATATCCTGAATTTTTAAAGCTAAAATTTACACAATCCCCTCTTTAAGAACTGGGATGGCATAGATTGCCTTTAAATGAGGCTGCTCTTATTGATCAACAAAAGCTTATCAATTTGTATACTGCTTCTAGTTCATACAGACCACAGTGCCAATGAAGAATTCCAGTGGTAGACCAATTATGGATCAGAATCCCTTTGTTATTAGGCTAACCATGGGAGGTTTTATTCTCAATAAAACATTAATGAGACTAAGGCAAGTTTGTCACATTGCTTGATTCTGAAGTTTCAATGTCTGAGGGATTCAAAATCAAGAAACTACAAAATATATATATTAAATAATAATATAATTTATATAATTGTATATATATATATATATATACAATTATAGCCATGTATCCAATGTAAATTAGAAATTTGATGTATGTAATAAAATACCCACTACGAAGCACATCAACTATGACCAGTAAGAAAAATAGAGACAGCAGATATATTTCATTTTAATAAAGTAAAACACATACCATAGAAAATTTATTAAATCTTCACTCTCATAAATGTCAATTTTTAAATTCTTAAGCACTGATAATATACACTGCAACAATAATGCACTTCCATTCTTGCTCCTATTGCTAAAATATAGATAAACACATTTAATTTAATGGAATGCAATAAATAGTGTATATTAGTATTGTTTCAATATTTGATATGACCTACCAGTCAATATTTTTCAGTTTTTCACAAGTACAATGCAAAACTGGGTAAATTTCTTCACTGACACTTTCCAACATGTTGAATCCTAAAACAATTTTAAAACAAACATTCAAGTCAGATAAATCAAGCGCATGAAAGAAATATTTGTAACTGATCATTGCAGACTCTACAGTTCAGTGTTGTAACATGGAACTGTACATGAACTTATTGTTCTGTTACATGGGAGCATATGGACATAATGACTTTTTACTATACACATAAATTTTATTTATTGTAACTTGGTTAATATTTTAATTTTAAAAAAAATAAATAATTAATTTAAAATACTAAACTATGCAGATTCAACAAAAAAATTTTAATTAAAAATATAAATATTTTTTTATATATATATATATATATAATAATAATTCTTACCATTCTCTGTGTCAGAATCATCAGTTTGATCCTGAAAAATAAAAATATTAAAATAAATATAAAGTAATATGTTATGAAATTTAAAAAAAATGCTAAGTTATTATAGAGTAAAATGTTGAAAATATAAACTGCTAAAATCCAGAAACCTCTAAAAACCGGACACAAGGCAAGAAATTTTTTTTTTAATCGACATCTAGTTCAAACAAAAAAAATTTCTGCTCTTAATGACGAATTATTCACAACAATCTACCTCATTTTTCAATAGTTTTTCAACCACTTCCACAAATTTTCTTAAATGCTCTCGGCATAGAAATTTTGAATTTAGTGTCATCCTTTCTTACATGTTCAATTCACAATGATTCCCTCATAAGTCCTCGTCGTTTGCTGATCATTTTTCGCTGGTTATTAAAAAAAATTTCAGTCATTCCCACACGTTTTTTTCTTCTTCTAATTCCAACATATTTACTAGGAAGTTAATCTGGAATGATTTTATCGTATATTCACATCATTTTTAATCAGTTTATTTTGCAATTATTATTGTTTTTTCAGACATTTCAACAATTTTGTAAATGCTGATGTTTTTAATACAATCCTATTATAACACATGTACTTAAAATATTAGGATGCCACTTTTCAACACTCGACTTGTAATGATTACATCATAAATCCATGTCGTTTTTCAATAACTTTCCCTCTATTTTTACTGCTTTCAAGTGATTCTTAAAATTTCAATATTATTAATTTGACAAGCGAAGTACAAATTTGAGTTATCTCTTCTTAAAACGCTTAAAAGAAGAAAAAAAATTCTGATTTCGTTCAAAAAATCGGGACTTTTGTAACTCTATTAAAACTCCTCACCGTCACGATTTTTGTTAAAGGTAGATGCCCTACTGTATTTAAAAAAAATACTGATAACCCCCGAGCAGTTTGATTTTCAAAGTGATACTGTATTATCCAGAGCAAATAAATTATTAGTTACAATTGCCAGGTTGCAAATTTAGAGATTAAAAATTTTTGAAAGAATTAACAACAACAAAAAAAATTTTTAATGTAAAAATATAAGTTCTAAGAATCTAACATTTTTTAAAGTATTCTTCAACATAAATTTCTATTTTAACAGAATTTCATAAAAATAAAAAATAAAACAAAATAATTTTTGAGGTAAACTATTCTACATTAATAGTTTTTATATTCTTCATAACTTACCTACACAAGAAAACTTATGTCATTTTAATTTTTTAATTTTTTCAATCTATTATGTTATACATTACAATAATTATGTACTACAATTATTATATATATTTTAATTATTTTATATATCATCATTATATTATATATTATCATTATATTATATATTATCATTATATTACATACTACAATAAAAAAAAATCTCTCAAAAAATACTAGACTAAAATTGCGTTAATACCTTAAAGGAAAAAGAAAGTATTTACTTTAAAGGAAAAAGAAAATCCTTATGCAGTTTTATAAAACTAATTATAAAAATCAATCAAAATTCTGTGAATATATTTGAAATAATAACACGCAAAATAAAATGCATTTAAAACGAAACAAAAATATCTAGTTTTTTCTTCAACATATTTAAAAACAAATTTCTACATCAAAATAAATAAATAAAATTTTAAAAAAATCTTTCCAAAAAGTGAGATGGTTTTAAAAAAAATATAATAAAAAATATTTTAAATTATTTAACTATTGCTAATTCTTTATGTTTGTACTAATGAAAAGGTTAAAAAAAAACTATAAGTTTAGTCTCATGTTACCTCTAATCCTACATCTGTTTCTTGCAGCATATTACAAAATGAAGTTAATGTTTGGTTGATTGTGACCTGAGCAGCAGTCCTTACACTAGATGCATTATTACTGTACACATCAGAACACAAAGATATTAGCATAATAACTGATCGTGAAGTTAAACTTTGTCCATGAGTAGTAGTCATATTCAAAAGGATCTAAAATAAATAATCAAATACTATTAAAAACAGAAGTTTTTTAAACATTGCAAATGCTTCAATCCCTCAGCAAAATTGTACAGAAATTTTCTTCTTTCCCCATTGAATAATAACACTCTAGTTTTTTGATGCAGTAATATTGGCAGTATAAAATTAGGAAAAAGTCAAAACTAACATTCAAAAGATTAAAAAAGGAACACATTAACAAATAAAAATAAGTGTAATTAATAAAATTATTAGATCTTAGAAACACAATTGATATAATTTATGCAGATGCAAAACTGAGAATAATAAAAATTTTTGATTCAAATATTTATCATAAAATAACACACGAACAAGTCGAACAGAAACCCTAAAGTAAATACAATTGAAACCTATAACTATTTCAGGTGTTTGAAATTTTCTGATCATTGGCACTCACTTTTACAGTTATCAAGCTCATATAGGCAAATGGAGAGAAAATGAAGATAATCTTAACGAATAGCTTGTCATTAATTGATAAAAAAAAATTCAAATGAAATTGATAAAAAAAATTAAAATTCCACTCAGCAAAATTAAAAAACAAGAGGTCTGCCCCTTATCATCAAATTAATAATGTATTTATATTATTTACTTTCTTGGCAAAGAGAAGTTTTTTCATGTGTAACAGAGAAAAAATTTTTTAAAAAAACTAGGCGGTTCATCCATAGGGGTACAGGATGTAGTTGTAGTAGTTCATTTACGCCGCACTAGAGCTGCACAATGTGATGTTGGAGAAGGTCTGGGAAACATCCCTGAGGATTATCCGAAGACATGCCATCACTATTTGGATCCTCTGCAGAGGGGATGGCACCCTCGCTCCGGTAGCCCGACGACCTGCACGCAAAGTCGAGCACTTCACGATAGAACAGTTTAGCGATGATCAATACTGCACACCCTCGGTCCCTAAGCAGACTGTTCCAAGTGGTCACCCATCCACACACTGACCGCAGCCAGTGATGCTTAACTTCAGTGATCTGGTGAGAGCCGTGTCTTAACATGAACTATCCAGGGGTACATGAACTATCCCAAAAAAGCTAATACAGTTGAATCTCACTAACGTGAAACGGCTTAGTGGGAAATATAGCTTTACATGAAATACATGTTTGGTCCCATGAGTCAGCAATCAATTATTGTTGTATTTTACATGCTTAATATGACATTTTTAATGATTATCACTTAACATGAAACGAAACTGCATACAACACAGATAATAAATAATTAGATATGGTAGCATAGTATGTTATAATACAATAGCTGACAGAGTTATTGTATTATTGTAATGAATGATGAATAAAATCCCAATCATCCATTTTTGGGGGAATGCTATTTCTATTTTCTTCCTGTGTTAGGAGTAGCAGATGAGCAAATAAATAAAATAGTTAAAGTAAAATAGTTTAATAAAGTAGTTAAATTTTAAAGCTAATTTTAATCTGTTTTGGTTCATAATAGAATTGTTTTCATACATTAATGTAGTACATAACATGTATTAATAGTACGAAATTAATTGTTTTCACGACCTACCGTATAAAACAAAATTCGGTTAACATGAAATAATTACGATAGTCCTGCCGATTTCACATTAATGAGGTTTGACTGTATTTGCAATAATTGACATAAAAACTCTAACATTTATAGTAGCAATGTAAACAAATTGAAAAACAAAAGAAATACAAGAAGTTTACCATTCCCCAACAGAGAAAAAGAAAAAAGAGTCGACAAATATTTTAAACCAGTAAGTGTTTTTTCCTTTCAGACTCAACAAGACATGATCGCCTAGGTTGTAAGTTTACAAATGAAAGTTCAAAAATTAATTAAGAGGAAAACTTTGATTTTCCATTCCATTGGTTAAATGTGATTTGTGATGTTCAATTATCTAAGCAACAGAGAATGAGACAAAACAGTGTCTGGATAGGTGACAAAAAATAAGTATTTCTCTTTTGAATGACATTGTTGATAGTTTATTCTGAAAATTATAAAGCACCTACTTCGAGTGAAAATGATTAAATAAGGTAAAGCACTCAATTTCTGTTTTCAATAAGTTAGATAGTAAAAATGTTGGGGATATTAGATAGCAGATGAGAAATATAGAGAGCAAATTGATTCTGGCAATAATTTATTTTAAGTTGAACTGTTTCTGCTTAAAAATGAAAATTTTTAAAAAATATTATGAGTAAGAAGAACCATTATTATTTCTTTTCTTCGGAAAAGCAATGTTTTTTTTTCAGAAGGGTGCTCTTTTCAGTTTCCAAAGTCTTGCCTTTTTTTATGTCTAGAATGAAATCCTGATTTTATAACAAAACATAACAATTTTTAGAATAGAACTCAAGAAATAATAAAATTTTCAACCTATAATACTCGTAGTTAAAAGAAAACTGGTCCATTTCTAGAATTTTCTAAAAAAAAATTTCCTTTAAACTGAAAGACAAATTTATTTCTTAAGAGCACAGAATTTAGGACAACATAAATCATACTTTTCTAAAAGTGACAAGTTCTTACATCAAAATGTTCATTAGAATTGTTTTCAGATAGTTAATTAAAAATAGTTTTCCAGAGTTGTTTTCTAAATATTAGCATATTACAAAATTTTTTTATTGCCTACATTAATAATATTTTTTCCCTAATACTTTCCAGAACAATTTGAAAACATGCTTGATAATTTTACTGTCCTGTGCCCTTCAACTAAAGGATATTCACTAAAACATCAACAGATTAGTTACCTTCAGTATTTCGATTTGGACATCATCAGATTGTGTATTCAGAGAAGTTACAGCATTCATTAATTGGATAGGCAGCCAATTTTCTTCATTATCTACTTCATAAACAGACTGAAAACTCTTGTCCCAGATCATTCTCTGATTGAATAAATAAACATATGTTTAAAAAACTAAAGCGAAAGCTATTGTTTTAGTCATAAAATAATAAGATGAACAAATTGTGTTAAAAATAAAAATTAAAATGCCTGAAAAGATTAAAAAGACAATAATTTATATTTAAAAGGTTAATTGTGAAGGCACAAAAAAAATAGAGAAATTGTATTATAAAGATTAGAAATAATCTGATCTCTCAGTAGTTTTAGAATTTCGGTTTAGATAGAGGAGCTACATTCAACAGAAATTTATGAATAAAAATTATCAAAACATCAAAAGAAAATAGCATTTTAACATTAATTAAAACCGTGGTTTGATGCATCATAATTGTTAATATAAATTTCTTAATTGAACAATTAATTTGTTACATGTCATTAATAACCTTTTAATCTACTTTTAACTAAACTAAACTCAGTGGCGCGACAGCCCATACAGGGCCAAGGCCTACTGTGCCCATCTCAGTTTTTTGTCCAATAGGTCATGGGTTCGATCCTCACTGCAGAATACGTGTAGTAAATGGTGACTGGTGCAGGCTAAATCTGCCGGGGTCACAAAGTCCTCCAAGTTCCCAGAACAAATCAATACCTCTGGGGGAACTGATCCAGAAGTTCTCTTGTCTTCTGGATTGGGTGCAAAATTACAAGGCTACGGAGTTGAACATTAGTAGTCGTAAAACCAAAATTAGGTTGGCTGTTTAACGACAGTTATAAAATGAAATATGAAAATTTTATGATTTAAAAAGTATTAAAATACATATTTAATCATAAATAATTTTATAATATCTTTTAAAAATTAATGAAAATAAATATACAGCAACACTAAAGATGGCATAAATATTTAAAAAATAATAATGGTTGAATAATAATGGCCATTATTTATACTAAAAACAGTTATAATTATACAGATAAATATTTACTGTCATAATAACATTTAAACAATTAGATTAATTGAAAATATATAATGATATTATAATGTATAATGATATTATAATTATTGAGCTGTATTCTGAAAATATTTAGTAATTTTCCCATTTTTTTTAAACAAAAAAAAATAATAATTAATCAAACAATAAAATAAATAAATTACTTGAAAGCCATTTAATGCATCAGAAACTAGTTTGCTATGTTTGGATTCCAGTGCCAACTGCAATGTTTCCAACATTTTAGCCCTGTAACAATGGTATAAAAATAAGCAATGTTATTATATTTAATAGTTTTTAGTAAATAAGAACAAATACTTCCTAACAAGTTAAAAATATGTATTATTATGTGAAAAGGAAACGACCATAACTAATTTAACAAAAATTTATTAACAAATGCAGGACAGAACACAGAACAATTAACACAAATGAAGAGGCTATCTACCTCATAAGCCTTCATTCACATTTGCCATGCAGGAAGTACATGGGCATCTAACAGTTGTTTTAAATAACGGGTTAGGAGATGCGCGATGGGATGCACACGTATAAAGAGGGGAAATTATTAGTAGGAGAAGCAGAATGATTAAGTTATTTTTGACATACACAGTGAAGATTTTTTAATACCTATTTTAAATCTATATGTATAGTAGATAATGTATTTTATTTAAATGCATTTAATAAAAACTCAAAACATAGGGATAAAAACACATAATATCTGTCTCCTGAAGGTTTTTATCACATATTATTATATAGTCAATTATGTAAGAATATTGTTATAAAAAATTTTTTGATAATTTTAGAGATTCTTCTTTTTGAGAGATTACACTTTTTAAAATCTCTAAAAATATATGACAAATTATAATAACAATTATCTTCCTTATTTGAATAATTAAACACAATTATTCATTCTAAATCAAGTGATTAAATTGTTGATTTTAGTCACTTGATTTAAGTTTTTGATTCACAACATCTAGACATTAATCATATAAATATAAAAAACTAAAATAATTAATAAATTATGAGATAGACTAAAAAAATACAAAACATAAGTACCAAAAAATTACAAATAATCAGCTTTAGTTATGAAATGTCATTAAACTTTGCTGGGTCCAGGTACCCAGTAAAAATTTAATCTTTTTCTCGACTGGTTCCAGGTACTTGGAAAAAGTTTTATTTGTCAACTGGATTTTTCTTGGCATCAAGTGAAATTCTGATTTAGTACCTAGTTGGATATAATTACATTTATGTAAAACAATATAAAAATCACATAGCTCTAAGTTTTAGCTCAAAGGAAATTTTCTACACGCTTATACAAATAAAAACAAGTTTTTATTTTTAAATTTTCTAAAACTAAGTTTTAGAATTTTTCCTAAGTTAGAATTTTTCCGGGCCTGCGACAAACTTCCCTAGCACTAATATTTAGCTTTAAGATACTTTTAATTATAATAATTACTAACTTAAAGTAACAGAAACGTGTTTACAAAAGAAAGTAGGTAGAATAGAAATATATAAAAAATTTTAAGAGTAAAAGTAATATATTTTTAATTCTAATATTATATGCAATATTCTCCTATTTTGTAGGCGGAAAAATACACTAATTATTTCCTCTATAAAATTTTGTAAATCATTACACAAATTAAAATCCGGAAGTAAATTAAATGATAATAAATTAAAATAAGTGCATGAATTAAAAATCATAAAATACGTGCTGTAAGACTCAAAATAAAGATCGATGACGAAATCTCGCGAATAGGACTATTTAAAAAAGAGATACTCAAATAAGAGTATGTAAAACGTCATGTTCCTTGAAAGAAAAAAAATGGAAGAAAGAACATCATTTCTGACGCGAACTATCTTTTAAACTTTCAAGATTGTTACATTTTTTATTTTATATCAATAATTGAGAAGTCCCGCAATGGACTGATCGTTAAGACACGGTTCCCAGCAGATCACCGAAGTCAAGCATCATTGGCTGCTGTCAGTGTGCGGGTGGGTGACCACTTGGATCAATCTGCGTAGGGACCGAGGGTGTGCGGTATTGGTCCACGTTAAACTGTGCTACCGTAAAGTGCTCGACTTCGCGCGCAGGTTGTCGGGCTACCAAAGCGGGGGTGCCATCCCCTCCGCAGAGGATCAAAATTGTGATGGCATGTCTTCGGATCATCCTCCGGGATGTTTCCCAGATCGTCGCCAATAGCCCATTGTGCAGCTCTAGTGTGACATAAATTAACAACAACAATAATTTGAAATTCTAACTGTAGTCAGTCATTACCGATTTTATTTTAAATCTCAAATGAGAATAGAAAATCTTTCTGCAAAAACTCTCTATGGTTCTGCGACAATGTCACCGTAATTCTGCCACAGGGGAGTTAAATTTAAATAAATATTAATGTAATTTACTATTTCTAATTTCGTATGTATTTAAAACTATTATGTTAATTAAGATAAAATGCTTTTTAGCATTATATATCTGAATATGCATCTCTTTCTAAGTAAACACCTTTCTACAGAAAATATATTTTCTTTGTCCCAAATCAATCCACTTCAATCAAATTTTCACTGAATTTAAATTCTACACAAGAGTAAAATAAGCCTAAATTAGTTATTTCAATTTGATTATCAAGAAACTGATATATTATATGGATTTCCAGAGCTACAACTGTTATTATGAATAGTTTTAAGATGGCTTTAAACCTGAATTTGCTTGATAATGAGTGTTAACCGGTATTGGATACCCGGTACAATTGGATGCATCCGGGTACCCATTACCAGGTAGGAAATATTTTGACCACGTCCGGGTAATAAAAATTTGGTCATATACCAAGTAATTGCCTGATACTAGATACATTTCTAATCAGCTTAGTAAGTAATCTAACGTGCATAAAAGAGTATAGTGTTTTCAATGAAAAATAAGATTACAACTAAAACAAAGAAATAATTTAACTATTTTGACTGTAGGTAAATTAACATACCTTAATTCGAATGGTGGGGAACGCATCAAGCCATGTTGGTTAGCTAACAACTCTGAAACATAGGGAGATTCATTAGAAAAACATAAATGAAATTTACTTTAGCAAAAACTTATCAATTGAATAATTAATAAATATCTAACTATTTAGTCTTATTCTTGGCAGTCATAAAATAAACACCCCAATTTTCCTGCTATAATCTATTCAATTAATAGGTACTCTTGTAAAAGTTGCAAAACATACAGCTTCATAATGAACAATAAAAATGAATTTTTCATAATTAACAATTAAGTTATTAATAGTCATTTGCTGTAAAATAATTTAAAAGATTTTACTTTTCTTAAAGAGTAAACATTTTTCATCATGGAAGAATTTTTTTTTAAATGCACCATCCTACAATATCTTCAAAAAACTCTTTTTGACTAATTTATAATTGATTAATATCATCTTATAAAATGAAGACACTGTAAAGATTAATAAATAAACTTTGACACAATATAAAATTACTGAACTAATATTTTCAGTTTTTATTAAAGTAAACAAAATTAAAAGCAGAGAAAGGTAAAACATGAAAACTTCATTCTAAGGATTAAAAATAAATGAAAATATTATCTATCTTTTTAATTATGTCTATAAAATTATTTTATAAATCATTTTACATTAACTTGAAATCATACATTTTTTAAAAAAATAATAGTAATAAAAATGAATTAGATAAAATAAAATAAAGGTTCATTTCAGTGAGATGGAAGAAAGTTAATTGAACAATTGCTTACTTATTTTTTTTAACAAAAAAAAATGGATGTGCTGGTGATATTACTCTAGCGGCAGTGTTTTCATCATAGAAAAAAAATGGGTGAGAATTTCTCACCCTTTTCTCAAAAACAGGGTGAGATTTCAAAAAGTTAAGTGAGATTTCTAAAAACTAAAAAAACAAAAACTCTCGGAAGAAAAATCATTTCTTTAATTATAATAAATTTTTAACGTCTTCTATTTTTTAAAGCATTGAATATTCTTGGTGCATCATCATAGAAGATTTTGCCTTTACAAGGTATTTGTCCATCTTACATTAGCACATAAAAAATCTGAATATCTTACATGAAGAAACCTTACGGTATAAACACGTGGTTGCAGAGAAATGTGTTCTGAACAATACTGGTAAATAAGGAAGATGGAACGGGGCAGATGTTGGAAATATAATGAAAGATCCAGGAAGAAAAGTGAAACGGATTTTATTCTAAATGGCGTAATTCGAAGCTTTTTCCAAAATGCGAGAATTTTCAAATTGATTTATAGAATGCGCGAATTTCTCGCGGTAATAATTTTTTAATGCAAGAAAAGAAAAAAAATATGCGAGATTCTCGCGTTCTCGAGCTCTAGTGAAAACACTGAGCGGTACCTGTACATACCAACTACAATCGGCAAGGCACTAAGGGGGTTTCAAACAAGGAAAAAAAAAAATTTTTTTTAATAGGTAAATGTGTGCTCAGGGGTGGCTAAAAGTTATACCCTATGAGCTGGTCCTCTTCTGTGGTGGTTTTTTAATGTTGTGTGTGCTACAGAAAGTCGCCAAAATTTAACTATTTCGGCTCAGATATTGAATCTTACCAACATTTTCAAAAACAAAAAAAAAATACAAACATAACATTTTTATTTTATTTTACTAGCCCCTGGCTAATTGAAAAGTATCGAAACAAATAATAAATTTATTATTTGTATTTATACAAATAAAATTAAAGTAAATACATAAAATAAACTGAAATTAAAGTAACTAAAAAGCAGGGGTTACTAACCAAAATAATTAGCTGATTCAAATCAGTTTCATTCATAATAATATAAAGTTATTTGCTATTAAAATTGAAAATAAATTTCATTATTATTTATTCTTTTATTTTGGCTCTTGTATTCATCAAAAGTCAATCATTTTACACAAAGGTAAAATTAAAATAAATATTTATAAATCGAAGAAAAGCTATTATTAAAAATATAAAATCCTATACATCTGATGAAAAGTAAAACGCGATTTTCCCAAGTGGTAAAAATAATACAAATTCAAATATTTAAAGACAACAAACCTTGCGACTCCAGACAAGATCTTTTTATATTTGCATGCTTGTTTGTGGAAGCATCTTTCATTATTTTTGCTAAAATATCTTCCATTTTATTTCGTAGAGCAAACAATACAATTTTGAAATAGAATAGTTCGCTATATAAAAAATAAAAAAATACCGAACACTAAACACTCATTTTTTCATAATAAACGGCACAAACAACCAGTATTATTAGGTTTTTCTAAATATGAAAATTCATCCTATCTTATAATTTAAGTAAATTAATTTATTAATAGCCAATAGAAAAGAAATTAGAAATTCCATATGGTTTATTTCTAAAAATGTATCATCATCAGACAGTTCATTGATAAACCATTTTAAATCGAAGAAATTAACAAAATTCGCCAACGACAAATTTATGCAATTTGCTGTACTAAACTATAGTTTTATTTACTTAGTCGAGCTGAGTAACATCTGTTTACTTTGACGATCTTGCTTTCTGTCAAAAAGCAACGAGTAAAACATGAAACAGGAACGGGAAATAGAATCTTATTCCATCACCGTTTCCTGCTGCTTATCTTAATAGCATTTCTCTCTTACTGATGCAAACCATCACAAATACCTATTTATAAATAAGCAATTTTTCAGTTTAAAAGGTAAAAAAGTTTTTTTTTTTTTTTTGTCCGATCATCCGATTATTTAATATCTGTTTCTAAGGATCAGAATTCCCTTTTATTTTACTTTAAAATTGTACAAATGATATATTTAATGCTTTCATGTGATATGCAGCAGTTTTAAATAGCACTTTAAAATATCTAAAAAAGGACTGAAATTAACTGATACTTTTGAATAAGAATTTAAATAACTACACACATTTGTTTTGCTATCTAGCATTATTTAGAGTAGTCAGTTGCGAGTGGGTGTGATGATGACGTAATAAAAGAGGCATACAAAAAAAGCAAATTTCACTTCAGTTAAAATCCTCAATATTATATAGGATTTAAACTCCTCGAAAATGTAGTAAAAGAGGTATACAAATTAACTGTCGCAAGCCAATTAATATAAATTAAGAACGAAACAAAAGTGATATCGAAATATGCTGAATCACTAATGAGACCGGGATGAAAGACATCGAAACCTATTTGATTGAATAGTATAACTAGAAGGTGTTTCTAAAATTCTGAAATCTATCAGGCTTTAATTTTTTTTTTCTGTCACAAACTTTATCAGTAATTAAAAATAATAAATTCGTTAGATTTCAATATTGGTTCTGTTTTTTCGTTGATTAAATGTTAAACATTAAGGGATATTTGTCTTTTAAAACATTTCATTCTATAATAAGATAATTATTCTACAATTGTAATTATCTAAAACTATTTGCTAATTGATATAAAGCTTTAGTGTGTTCCATTGATATGTTGAATGCTCGTTTTGGCTGGATGCCCGGGACTGTTGCTCTTTCACATCCTAGCCACTATACACCATCAAGAGCAGAGCTGATACTTTAAACCCGTATGACATTTATTCTCTCTGATATTTAATAGACCCTTTAATAAATCCTTAAAAATATAAGCCAAAAATTTACATAAATAATGACAATTTTTTTTCTTGCACTAAAATTTAGCAAATATGTACTTAAAATAATTAAAAAGAAAGCAAAAATAATGAAGAAATATTTTCAATATAAACATCAATTAAATAATATCAGCTTACGAAATGTTCTTTTTATTTTTACAAACAGTATTAATATAACGGCCCTCACCTGCTCCAGGGACTGCTGGATTGGGTTCAAAATGACAAGGCTACGGAGTTGAATATTAGTAGTCGTAAACTCGAAATTGGGTCGGCTGTGCAATGACTGTTATAAAATAAACTAATAAATTTGGCCGGGATAGCCTGGTTGATAGGGCGTTGGACTCGTGTTCGTGAGAATGGGAGTTTGAATCCAGCCGACAGAAGAATACCCATGTATAAAATGGTGACTGGTACATATTAAATCTGTCGGGGTCACAAAGTCCTCCAAGTTCTCATAACAAATAAATACCTCTGGGTACTAATCTAGCAGTTCCGTTGTCTTCTGGATTGGGTTCAAAATGACAAGGCTACGAAGTTGAATATTAGCAGTCGTAAACTCGAAATTGGGTCGGCTGTGCAATGACTGTTATAAAATAAACTTATAAATTTGGCCGGGGTAGCCTGGTTGATAGGGCGTAAACACAAAATTGATTTGGTTGTTCAACGGCGGTTATAAAAAAATGAAACTAATAATCAAATTGTATTTTCTTGTTTTCTTTCTAACTCTTTGAATATTTTCTACGCACATTCAAAAATTCATGTTTCTAAGTCTTATAGATTTTGTAAGGTAAAAAAAAAATAATAATTGAGAAAAAAATTCATGAAAAAATCATTAAAAATTGCAAATAAAATATATTCAAAATGAATCTAAAAAAAAAACTCTGTTAAATATATAGTGGCCCAGCACGCGAAATTTTTACTGTGTGCTTAAAATGTGTTTCTTTTGTAACTTTTTCCCCTCGTTCAAAAAATATGTGCAATAAAAGAAAGGCTCTACATAATAGTCTAATCACAATTAATATATTTAACAATAAAGTAATATTATCAAATTTTTTAATAATATAATGTTAATACTCAACAATAAAAAATAGTGACAGTTTACTTTAGGTGTATAGAAATGGAATTGAACTTATAAGGGCCCCATCATTTTCAGTAGATTAGGGCCCCACCAAGCTTAAATCCGGCCCTGAGTAAGGGCACATTATCTTTTAGTATTAATAGAGGAAATTTAAAAAATAAAAAAAATATGACATAGTTTTAATGTCATTTTTATTTATTCTATGTTTCGTTTATTTTTTTCCATGTTATTTCAAGGAATATATTAAATGAAAATAACCTATTTAAAGCTTCTTTTTTTTCATATCATTTTAAAGAAATGAAATCTATTGAAACATACTTAACTTCCAATGTGGTGAACCGGGATCGAATCCAAGTGATGACTGGTCGATGCGAATTCCTGTCTAACATTGGGAGGTTTTCGTGTTTTTCCTCTCCATGTAACCCAAATGCGGGTTAGTTTCCTTCAAAAAGTCTTCCACGTAGGCAAATTTTCTCCCAATACTTGATCGAAAAGTTCCCTTGTCATTTGGATTGGATTCAAAATAAAAACACTACGAAGTTAAGCTTTAATATTCGTAATTGGGCCGGCAGTTTCACGACATTTATAAAAAAAAACTGCAAAAAAAAAAAAACATTCCTATCTGTAAGAATATTTAGTCCAAAATTTGATACCGACATGTGGAGCGTTAAAGCAAGAGTATTAAAATCATTTTAATAAATGTTCAACCAAATACACATCACACGCAATAATTAAATTTTTGTACGGAAATTTTAATTCCGCATCATTTTAAATTTTTCTTCGATTTTTGAAGAACACTTTTCTGCATGTCTTAAAGTTTATAACATTTTGACGAAGGGCTAAGAAAACAAATTTTTCTACAACAAGAACTGTAAATTCTTGTTATAAAAAAATTGGACTTTAATATCCTCTATTATATTTAACTTTCAAATTTTAAATTTAACTTTATTCAAAACTTAACTTTTTTAAATTTCGCTTTCTTAAATTTAGCTTTCTAATATTTTAATCAACTATAATTAGATTAATTAAAGTTAATTCCGCCATTGTTTGCAGTGCAGAAATTTCTTCTCAGAAAACACTTCTCTGGGAATGGCTAAGGAGGGGCATGGAAGAGATATTAAAATAATACATTGCTTACATACTTTATCCCACCAATATAAATGAACGAAAAAATGTGAAGAAAAATTCTATTATACACTTTTAATATGAATTCGAAAAGTTTCTCGCTATTAAATACATAAGTGATTGCATAATTACTACCCTTAATATATATTTTTAGAATCTTGCAAAAAAAAGTGTTAAAAAGTGTATACATTAGGAATGACAGATTAATGTTCAAGCAATAAAAAATAAAAATAAAAACCAATAGTTTCTAAATCTAGCGTGGTGTTTATAATAATCACAGTTCGCATTCTTTCTATTTCCTCTGGCAATCAAACTGGTTCTAATATTTTCAGTCTTACCTTCTTCAGCACTGATTCATTGTATTTTGATATCGTTTGTATTTTCTCCCGTAAATATTAATTGTGTCCACTAATGTTCTTTTACTTCATTTCTTTACAAATTTTATAAAAAATTCAATAAAGGATTTTATTACTTAACACCTTACATATACATAGGTTCATATTTTTCTTCGTTTACTGAATTGAATAAAAATTTCACAATACTTTTATGTTCCTGTGCATTTACATTAGAGCCCTAAAAACAGGGCAAAGTGCTTGGTCATGGTTGGAGGATGTGTGTTCTTGTGTACTAGCTTATTATTATTATTATTATTTTTTTTTACCGTGGAAAAACAAACTATCCCAGCCATTAGAGTAGTTAAAACTACGTATAGGATGGAAAAATTGCACCATTTTACGTTCATATTTAACGTAAATGTTTTTTTAAGCCGACAAATGAGTGTACGACATATTTTTTTTTTAAAAAAAAGGAAAAGAAAACATTAGTTTTCTTTTCATATAGTATATTGGTCTTTATAGTTTCGACTTTATAGTATAGTGGAAGATCTTTACGTCATTATCTTGATTTAATTAAACTCACTTTATTCAGAAGCTAAATATTTTGATTCGAAAATATCTTTAAAAAACAAGAAGAAAAAAAATGACAAATAAGGGGAGGAATAATATATTTAAAAAATAAATTCTACTCTCAAAATTAGTAAAATTCAGGAAAAATATTATTTCTAAATAAATAAAATTTATATGAAAGGAACGAATTAACAACGAATATATTTTTCATAATACATTATAAGCTTATAAATAAAAGTAAGCTATCGATTTTTAAAACGCCGTCCCCGTATCAGTTCTTCAAAAGGGTAGTGTGAGAAAAAGATTTCCAAAAGAATGTGAACAGAGTAAAAGTATTTCAGAGGGAGGAAGATCCCCTACAGAGAAGATTAGTCACTGTGAAACCGCAATCGTATGAACTTGGGGGAGAAAGTTGCTTCCCTCCCTTTTACCCAAAGGTAGAAAGTGACTTGAGTTTCAAAGCCAATATTACAAAAAGTAATAAAGATCAAAAAATTTGATCCACATTTTCGTGGATAGGAAAGATTGAAAAAATTATTAGTATTTTTCTTTAATTGATTACTCCGATTCTTAAACAAGAAAAATCGGTTCAAAGTGTGAGGAGCCCGCCATAGACTTTACATGTTAAAAGCAGAATTGAGGAGTCTGCTTGGTGCAACACCTTTCTCCCGGCAACCACGATTGAGGATTGCCTGATTGCAACCCTGATTTTCTGCTTTTTTGGGTATGCCGTGTATATTATTGTTTGCCAAGACAAATCCATTCTAAAACTGGGGAGTTTAGCGCCATCTATGCTTTGAAATGACAAACATAAGCGGAAGAATTTCCGGTTTAAGAATCGTGTTATTGTTTACTATCAACAGTTGATCATTCAGCATCCTTTAGTTACATAATTCACATATTAATTAATTTGTTTACTTCCGTGTTTATCTGTTAATATGATTGTTGATTATGACCGTGACATCGATTTATTTTTAAATCACTAGGTCCAAATTAATCTCTTACTGGTAGCACAAATATTTAAAACAAGCATACTATGCTGAGCGAATAATGAAATTTTATTATTAGGGTATTTGATTTCTTAAAGATTATCTTTTTTTCTCTCTATAATTATGACAAGAAAATTTTGTAACTTTTATGCAGAATATATAAGTAATAAAAGGTTTCTTTATATTTTGAGTTAGATTTGATGACAGAAACAATCACATATTTATAGAAGTATGCACTCCAGTTGTATTTTTTTCATTTTAAACATTAATTATTTTTTTAATTTTCCATATCTTATTTAAAATTAAATCCGATTTACTGCTTTAATTCATAACAAATTGAAATACATTGTTATAAATTTATTTTTTAGGAAATTGTGAGGAATTACTCTAACTAAATCATACTGTTAAATAATTTCTTATAAAATATCAATTTCTTTTCATTGATTTTCTTCACTAATACTGAAACAAGTTAAATATATTTTTAATAATTTGATTTAAACTTTTAAAGGAATAAAATTAATTCAGAATTTAAAAGAATAAAATAAATTCAGAATAAAATTAAATAAAATTTTATTCTGAAATGGTTGTAGTAATTATGCTATCATAAAGGAAAAGAGTTATATAGAATTGCAATGAAAATATTTAAATAAAAAAAAAACATTTTCTTATTACCCTCATTCAGAAGTTAACACCTGAAAAATATGTTTTATGTTCAATTCGCAAACATGTTTATTTTACTTATCAGATAGGACTTAAATTTAATGGTATGAAAAAAACACATAAAATGCATATGTTGTGATTTTTTTTTAAATTTCAAAAACTTTTCTTTAGTTACTTTACAATAAAAACTACCTGAAAAGGATGTAAAATCAAATGAAAATTATTAAGTTAAAAAATGTATTCACAATGAAATATTTGTAGTTTTTCTTTCTTAAATGCAAAAAATATATTTACATTTTAATGATCTATAATTATATTAATAAATTTGTTAGAAAATTAAATTTTTTTCTTACAAAATACTTGAATTAAACATTTTCCTGTTTAAACAATTAAATTTCATAATTAAAATAATCGTAATAGATTTAAAGTTTTGGTGTACTTAGGCGTTGATCAGCTGGATGTTGAGGCTTTGGCCCACTCTCAGCATGTCACTGAACAGGGCTTTGTGCGGGGATATTTCCGTATCGTGATCTGTTGTGCCAACTACAATCGCCAGAGTACCAAATAGATTTTAAACTTAAATTTTTTTTTAGCAAAAGCATGTAGATATTTGCCCGGGGGTGGGTAGGAGTTAAACATTTCGAGTTGGTCCCTTTCTGTGATTTTTTTTTTTAAATTTCTCGCCGGCCGCTGCCTGAAAGTTGCCAAGACTTGGCAACAGATCAGAATGCGTAAATCGTCCCCTTTGTTCACTTTTGTTATCAATTCTTGCTGAGCAATTTTTCTTCTTATATTTCTTAATTTTGATTTTTGAGTACTTATGTCTTTTGACTGTGTAACTGATGTGAATTTCAAAACATAAATGAGAAAAACATTTCCTTGTCTTCGAATAAGCATAAAAAACTGTATATTTGCAGCTGTTAATTTTTTCTTACATCCAAAATAGACTATAACTAGACTCATATTAGTTTGTTTTTTTAATTAAAATATTGGTTTTGCTTTAAAAAGTGATGTCATTTCTAATATTTTTTTATTTATACTTATCTTTTATTAAATTAAAATAAATGCTGGAAAAAGTGTTTCCATTTCTATATTGGTACCCGTTTTTGCCAACTGAAATTGTTGAAGTGCCAATTGTTACTGTTTGGTTTTACTACTTGGGATAAATTTTTTAAATATTATTTGTTTTAATTATTTAATTAATTATTTATTAATAATTTTTTTTTCTTCCCTAAGAGAATGTTAAATTTATCTGATGATATTGTTGTTGATTCATCATTCTTTAAAAAATCAACTTTTTACTTGTTGTTTTCAGGAATGCTGGTGTCTGTGATTACATTTTCAAATTAAAATTTTTTCTTTCTTTTCCAGACATATTTATACCTACGTACAGTTAGTTCAACCGCTCTAAGATCATGACTGCTAGCAATGTTATGAAGAATACAAATGACTGTTATAAATTTTCAAATGGCAATGAACTTGCTTTTTTATCTTCAGCTAAAATTAGACACATATGACAGTTCCTTTTCACCATCTTATACTAATCTATGATACTCATTAACTATGGACATTTCAAGTTCATTCACTGCATCTGTAAGCTCTACATCTTCTTGTAAGTATTTTATCTCTCCTTAGAAAATTTGTTCTATGTATTACATAACATTCTCTGAAAATTTCCAATAAATTATATTTAAGAGTTGAATATTTATTTCGATTCTTTGATTTTTCCCATAACAAATTCTTAACAATTATGTTAGTTACAGGCAAAGAAAAAGTGTAAAATACACAAAAGAATGATTTTTAAATCTAAAAATTAGAAATTTTTTTACATTTTAATCATATTACTTTTTAATTTTTGGATAGATATCATCTGCTAAAAAGCCAATTACTACCAAGTTTTAATTCTTTCTATATAGTTTAATTCAGATTTAAAAAATTTAGATAAGAGTAATTTTTAAGTTTAAACTTTTGAATTATTTTCACATAATAATTTTCTCATAAAATCGGCAAACTATATTTAAAAAAATATATATTTTGACAATAATATGAATTCTAAGTTTAAGAAAGTCATTTAATAAGTAACACTTGCATATTTTAACATTTTTTTAAATGCAAATTATTGTCATATGTTTATTAGTCATTACCGTATGATATTATTTGCATAAAAAATTTTAAATTACTTTATTATTTTAGAAAGATTCTACTTTTCTTTTACTATTTAATTTCTCCTTAAAAACCTAGATTATTTTATTTCATTGTACCCTTTATGATTCTTTATAGAAAGAATTATTGCATTTAAGTAAAATAATTCTTTTTATAAAGAATAATTTGATTTGGAGATTATAATAATTTAACTTAAATCTTTGGCCACCTGTGTTAATGATTTCCAAAGTCTGTTAAATGTATCCTTTGTATCTTTTAGGTAAGCCTAAATTAACCATAGAAGGAGAGTTAAAAGACAGTCTTCGTTTTCGTTATAAGAGCGAAAAAGGCTGTCATGGGGGATTAAAACCAGTTATCAAAGTAAGATTTTCCATTGTTCATTTTCTTTATCTTATTTTACAATATGTTAAAAAACTGTACGGTAGTAGAGGTCTTCCAATGGCTTTACCCACACAACACATGAATCTCTCTTTCTTTATTCATAGAGAATTCAAGTTGTATAAAAGGAAATTGTGGTTTGAGTAATTTCTTCCAGACTTGTTATCCATTGACTCAATGTGATTGAAAAATCTTTCTTTTAAACATGCAAAAATATTTAACTTGTGTCTTTAGATTGATTTTCGTGGAATTAAAAAAATTTTAAAAAATTCTGATGCTCTGTTTGAATAAACAGCTCAGTTCAAGCCCTCTAATGGATGTTAAAATAATGTTGCATTTATAGGACAAAAAAAGAGACCTCATGTATCAATTAATATGTATAACATGACTTAGTAAATCAGTAGTTGTGAATCAGTTAAGGTTGCAGAAATGAGGGATCCTACGAAGGAGCATTGACTGTACCACTTTTGCAATAAAAGAAAGAATACATGAATTATTTTCCAAACTAAAACAAGCTGAAGATATATTATTAACTTTGAAATTATCATTTTGAATCTTATTTAGTAAATACCTTAATTTTTTTCTCTAAAATTTTATTTTAAATGAATTTTATAGTTGCATGGATATAAAAGTTATAATGATATATGGATTAAAGCTACACTGTATACTAGTGGAATTAATCCAACTCTACATTGTTTGGAACTTGAGGGGAAGGATTGTAAGGATGGAGTTGGTTGGAAACAACTTTCTAAGGATTTTACAGCCAGGTAACTAATTTGATTTAATATTTTTTTAAGAAAGTGTTGTTTTAAAATATCTAACTCATTATATATATTTTCTTATTAATATGTTTAGCATCTCAATATTTAATTCCTTTTTTTTAACCTTCTATAAAAAAGGAGGAAACTGCAATATTTTTAAATGAGTGTAAAATAACTTTTACTTAATTAAAAAAAAAAAAAAAAAATTAAAAACTGCAACGCACCAAATACAATCTTGTATCTTTGTTTCTGTTGATCTAACCTGTTTAAAGGTGGGACCACAAACATATCTGATCATTTACTTTATGATACATAAACGAATATATTAGTATATTTTTATATTATGATAATATAAAATTTCAATTATTTAAGGCTAAATATTATAAATAAGTCATGTCAATATAAAAAAAATACCGAATGAACTTAAAACTATTATCCTAAATTTTGCAAGCTTACCTTTTAAAGTGGCAGATATTTCTGTAGGCATTTCCCAATTTACTTAGTATCCTTGAAAAAGTATGTTTTTAATTAAAAATAAAAATTCATGCTTATCATTTTTACAAAGTGTCATATTCATCTGGGGAAAATGTGGCATAACTACCACTATAAATATTAAATACCAATTCACGAGTATATAAGACATGTTAACTTGATTCTATCTATAGGTACCTTTTGATTGATGAAGGTTTGACACTGTCAATTATTATCGTCCTGTATTGGTAACCTGATGTCATATGAACTTGATAATATTGATGGATGATTCATATTAAACAGTTGATTTGCTCATAAAATAGTGCTCAAAAATTCGGTGAAATAAATAAAATTCTCTTGGCCAATGAGTAAATAGTAATAAATAAATAATAATAATGATATGATAATAATAGTAATGAGCAGAAAAAATAAATAGTACTAATCAACTAATGGTATTGGCACATCGAATTCTATCACAGATAAAATTCTGGAAGGGGAGTAAGGCAGTGTAACTACGACTATAAATATTAAATACCAATTCACAAGTATATAACGCATGTTAACTTAATTCCATTTTGAGGTAAATTTTGATAGATGAAGATTAACTTACTTGATAACTATGTCTCCTTAAAATAATTCTGACAAAAAGTTAAAAAGAATTTTGTATTAATCAAATTGATCAAAATTTTAGTATCAACTTTCTTACATTTCTTAATCTTCAATATTTATTTTAATTAAAAATCTGTTTTGTATTTTTTTTCTTTTTAAATATTTATAGAAAAAAAAGGTAGGGTGGCCACAGGACAGGAAAATGTCAGGAAATTTAATTAAATTACTCAATAAGTCAGAAAAAAATGTATTTATTTAAATTTCAAGTACTTAAATATTCAATATATAACCCAAAAAAATAATTAATAGATATCTAATATCNCCGAATTTTTTGTATTATTTTTAAAAAACAAATATTTAATTTTTTTTTTCATTTTGTTCAGATTGCGGCCGCGGGCCGCACATCGATGGTTGGCGGGCCGCAGGTTGAGCACCCCTATTATATAATATATACTTAAATATCCATCAATTCATCAAAATATGTCTTGTCATAATTAAAAAACAAATGTTTATTTTCAACTCTAGCTGGTATAAGTAATTTGTAATAGATTTTATGTAGTATAAGAATTAGGCCTAATTGAAAACTGAACAATAACATTCATGTAATCAGTTTTAAAAAATCAGAGAAAGTCAAATAATTTTTTTTGAGTGATTGTGGCCTCTTTGTAAAGGCACCTTTAATTATAACTGTGAGCTTAATCTAGTTTAGTGTTTTTTAAAGAGATAAATTAAAGCCCAATGCCAAAGAATGTTTTTTACAGAATGAAATAGAACATTATTTGTGAGTTTAAGGCAGGCACTGTTTATTCAAGAGTATTAAGAATTTTTTCAATTTAGGCTTGAAGCTCATAGAAAAATCTGTTAGACGAAAGCTTAAAAAAAGTTTTGGGCCAGTACTAAATCATAAACTTAATTATCTTTTATCATAGAAAAATATTGCATGTTGTCATCAGTAGTATTGCCTGAATTTAGAATGACTTCTAGAAAAGGCAATAAACTCAAATTTATGTTGTTGCAGTAAATAAAATATATGTATAAAAATAGTTTTCCGCACTTGTACAGTGAAGCACTGTTTATACATCTTTCAGAAGATGAGTGAAAATTTTTATATAATTAAAAAAACATAAAACTGAAAATGTTTGAAAAGTCAATGTAAAAATAAAAATTTTGATAATGTATTGTCATTGTTAATTTGATGCTTAATATTACTGTGTTATCAGTCTGTACTTTCAGCAGTTAGTTTTCTGACCTGACCTTGAAATTACTACACACTACTCTAACATTTTCTTTTTTGACTTTGACTTAGCTGGAATTGAGGGGAAAAATTCGTTTCAGAACCGTACTTCTTGTATCCAGACTAGATATTTTTGTATTGAAACAAGAAAGAAAACAAAATGATTTATAACTGATTATAATATTTTAAAATAAAATATAATAAAAGTAGAATGAGCTAGGACTGTTTAAAAACATAAGTTTTTTTATATATAGAAATGTGAACTAAAAGTATAAAGTTATAATTTTTTTGTAACATTCTTTTATAAACAAGAGAAAATTATTATGAGTTTTCTTTAAAAATTATTAGTGAAAATAGAATTCTTATTACAGTAGAGTCCCGATTATCCGAGTTAATGTTGCCCTGACTAACTCGGATAACCGAAAAACTCGATTAAGTCAGAGAGTATAAAAAAGGAAAGGTTGGTATAAATCTAATATATTTAACAAATACAAAATTTATACGAGTACACCACATACAATTCTTATTATAATTGAAAATCTTGCTTAAAAACACTTAAAGAGTATACTTTACAAGAATTTTAGAGTTTTTACTTAAAAAAGTCCTTAATCATTTTTTGTTTTATATTACTTTGGAGCTTTTCTGCAGGATTGTTTCCACATTTTTTTTACAGATAACAGAAAGACTGGTGTAGCCTCTTCTTGTAATTCTATATAGTCAGTAGCACTTTTGATAGCTTTTAGTCCATCTGCTTTTTTATATGTTAATTTTCATCATCACTGTCTTCATCATCTTTGCTGGATTCATTTTCATTATTGACGATATTACTGATCATTTCATCGGTAATCTCGTGTTGACCGTCAGCTTGTTTCCCTGAGTGTTTGGAAGACAAATTTTAGAATTTGTTTCGGCAGTATTTTTAAAAATAAAAAAAATAAACTGCAACATAAAAAATCCTTTAAATATTTGATAGCTCGGTTTAAGTGGAAACTCTGATAATCGGGACTCTACTGTATTTGACAGATAAATTATTTCTTTATCATTGTTATTTAAAATTTTGAAACAAAATTTCATTTATAAAATATTATTAATGTTTTAGATTTGATTCTCTGGCAATTTGTATAAAAAAGAGGGATGAACTGGTTGATTTATTGAAAGAAAAAGTAGCACAAAATTTAAGTAAGTTGAGTAAAATTTTAGTACTTATAAATGTATAGTAGTAGTAGTATATATATAGTGTATTATAGTTGTTATAAATGATATATGGTAGTAAAATTATAGTAGTTATGATTTTATTGCCAATTTCAAACATAGTTTAGAATAGAATCTCGTTACCACCAGTCTGTAAACAAACCTTCTTTTTTTTAATACATTATTTAATTTAAGAATCCCCTATGAAGAAAATTATGCTTTATATTGTTGGAAAGAAATGAAAAATTTTTATTAATTTTTAGGAACACTAATTAAGTATTTTATTTAGTACTATTATCCTTGATATTCCCATGCAATTTTCTTGTATCCAACAATCTGAATAACAAATAAAAGACTTAAGTGCACATATATTAATAAATCATATTTCTTTTATTTCAGAAATTCTGAATATTTCAGAAATCCCTTATCATTGTTTTCCCTTCAAAACTTTGAATTGTGACTTCATTACAAATAATCGATGTCATCACAATCAAGTATAATAAACGATAAACAATATATTGTTGACAAATAATTTTACTGATTCATAAAATAATCGTAATTTAAAATATTTTGGTAGAGTTATATTTACTAATACATAAAATTTTGACTGATTACTTTAATTTATTCTCATTAAAGAACTCTGCATTATAATCGCTATTGCTCACCCTCCAAAACAAATGTCAGCATTAATAACATTTTCATGCTAGAATTTTCCTTAAACATTTCCCTAAAAATGTGTAAAATTTCATTTATTTTATCCATAATATGTAACAGTTTTTGTTTTATGAGATTGAAAAATATGTAGGGTTAAAAATTAATCTCAGTGATATTATTTTTTCTTTTAAAATATGGAGAGAAATTTAGTTGAAATAACTCTTTAAAATTTGCTATTTCTTTATATGCAGGGTATCCGCGCACCTGGAAAGTCGTGAAAAATCATGGAAAGTCATGAATTTCAGTATTGAACAAAATTTGTCATGAAATGTCATGATTTTAACTATTTTTTTGAAAAAAATCATGGAAAGTTATGTATTTAGGTCGTCGAAAAATCTAATTTTTTAAATGGAATTCCCCCCCCCCATTTCATGGTGTTCCGAATATCTGAATTTGTAACAAAATCTCCACTCACAGTCATATTTGATTAAAATATAAAATGTTTTTATCGTGTTCTTTAAAAATTATGGTGCTCTTTCAATAAATGAAAGAAAAATAGAGCTAATTATCTTTTAAACTTATGTGATTTCAGAATTTTTATTATTTATTTTTTTTATTCTATCAGTTTAAAATTCTAGCTGAAGCAAGCCAGTCATTGGCGAATTTTTTTATTCCGAAATGAGAACAGAAAAATCAGGAGTATTTCTTTCCTTTCTGATGAACAAGAAAAGTTTCTTTAGAATATAATTTTGCTGAAAAAAAGAAAAAAAAATTATTTGCTTTTGTATTTTTTTCAGCCATTTTATTGCTTCATTCTTTCTTTACTCTGTTTTTTAAATTTAAAATGAGTAAATATGAAGATGCAGAGTATAACAGTTTAGGTTATACCTATCATTTCAATGAATGTTATTATAATGCTTTTTTAAATTTATTGTTGTGTTTTTGTCAGAGAAAATAGTAACTTCATTAAGTCATGAAAAATTCCTGGAATTAATCATGGAAAGTCATGAATTTGAAAATCTAAAATGTAGCAGATACCCTGTATATGATATTTTAATAAATTGTTTGAATTTTCTAAATGAGTAAAGATCAATTGGGAAAAAAAGTCATTATATTTTTTAATTGGAATCATAAATAAATTACTTGTTGCACTTTCTATAGCTCTCTGTTGGATTAAAAGAAGGAAAAAAAAAAGAAAAACTTTTTTTTACTGCACAGTCTTAAATCTACTGCATAAGGATGCTCAAAGCATTGTTGATTTTTTTCATTGGAAATTAATTATAAAAAAATTTAAAAAAAGAAGAAAATAGTAAGGCTTTAAAACACTGTCAGGACTCTGACTCATCTGCAGATGTCACTTCTGATATTATGCAAATGCGATCTGACCCTTGCATCACACCGCTGACCTGAAGGTCAGTGAGTGTGATGTAAGGGAAATATTGTCCCTTATTTTGAAAGGAAGGAGTGGTGTAGGAGAATGACTTTTCTCTCTCTATAAAATAATATAGAAATGAGACGGAAAGGAAAGGCTTAACTCCTTGTGCTGGAGAGAAATTAGTTAGTTGGCTACTGAGCAATATTTCTATAACTATATTATGTATATTTATTTTAATATATTAATCAAGAAATGTGAATAAGTATTAGATAAATCAGATGGTCTAGTTAGTAAAATAAAGCATATGAACAATCAATAACATGATTTTAAGTGTTTTTGTCAACCTATAAAATTTTAATTGTCAATATTAATCAATGTATTGATAATGTATGCTTATTAATATTATTGTAATTTTAGTTTTATACTTTTTTTAATGTATTGAATGAATGCAATTGGTTCATTTTTTGTGTTGGTCTAAAAAAAATCTTATTTTGATTTTTACATTTTTTTTTTATTTGACTGATATACAATTGTATAATTTTTTGTGTTAGGGCAAAATATATTATTTGCATTGGATCATTAATTCAATCGAATATGTTTTTCTGAGACAGAAGTGTTAACATTTAAATAAATTATTAATTAAACTAATTTGCATTTATTTCAGCCTTATTTCAATGCAATATAGTTATTTATGACTTAATTGCCAGTTGTAGAATATTAAAGTTACTTTTAAAAATAAGATTTAAAATAAAAACGTCATTCATTAAAGTTATCTTTTAATATTTATTTAAACAGTATGTTCTTATTATGGTTATTACAGCATTCTAAATATCCTATGAATCTCTGTATTGCCCAATGTTGTATTTAATCAGTCGCTTTTTTTGTAGAATTTTTTTGCATGGGTGAAGATATCTGTTGTAAAAAAATTGCGTCTATTAATGCAAATTATTTTGTTACTCTTCACAAATTATTTCATAAGATAGATCCTTCTTAAAATATTTTACCTTAAAACGAACGCTTAGTGGTATTTTTTTTTTAAAAAAGTGGATCCTACAAAATACTTGGGTCCTTCAAAAATGGATCCCACAAAATCCTTGGATCCTACAAAATTAAAAAGGGATCCTACACGTGGGGGATCTACACAGGGATGTGTTTATCTTCTTAAGTCAGGGATGAGATTCTTCTGCGGATTCCCGGATTTCCGCTTTTTTTCAGATTTTACCATTTTTTCCGCTAATTTCCGCTGAAAATTTTTTCCCCCACTAGTTGAAATATTTTATGAGGAATTTAATTTTCCGTGGAGCGAAATTATTGAAGTCCTCATTCCTCCTTCTGAAGTTTCTCTAAAAATCATTTCCTTGGGATAAAACTGGTTGACCTTTATACAGGGATGAGATTTTTTTCGCTTTTGAATTTCAGCCTTTTTATCAAAATCTTCGATTCTCTAAAAGTTTCGTTTTTTTTTAAAAATAAATATCCCGCTTTTTTAAAAAAAAATTCAGTTATTGAAGTAAAATAAATATATTTATTTATAATTTTCAAAGAAAAACAGAAAATTCAAACTACGTTCTAGCTGCTGACCTTTCACATTTTCACTTATATTAGCTATTTCTCCGATTCCACGCACAGAAAATAAGATTTTCAGTATTTTTTATCCGTCGGCAGGATAGCTCGTATTTTTGTAATTCAGACGTCGCTGCTTCTTGTATTCTGGAGTGAAAGCAAACAAAGAAAAAGAAGAAAAAAAAATTGAGGTGGGTTTGCGGTGAAAATACTTATTTGCTCATTCAATTAATCTTGTAAATTTTTATTTATTATATTTTTATTAAATTTTTATTTATTATGTCTAAACAAAAAACAATACAACCAAGCCTTTTAGAAATCCCAAGTCCAGACTCTGCAAATATCTCGATTTTTATTCACGCGATTTTAATATCAATCATCGATTTTCGTATTTACCTGATTTAAAAGTTGCGCATTGCAATTCTTATTTACGCTTTTTAAATATCGTACATTATGACTCGTATTTACGAGATTTAAAAATCTAATATCGTGTTTTGTATTTTTGCATTTTTAAAATCGCGATTTTATTATCAAACATCGATTTTCGTATTTACCTGATTTAAAAGTTGAACGTTGCGATTCTTATTCAGGCCATTTAAATATTGTACATTGCGATTCTTATTTACGAGATTTAAAAAACCAATATCGCGATTTGTATTTACGAGCTTTTAAAACCCTATGTAGCTACGCGAGCTTAAAATCCAATGTCGTGATTCGTTTTTGCGGTTGTAATATCGCGCGATTTTAAAATTATGCATCTTGATCTAAAAATTACACATCATGATTTGTATTTTCGCATTTTTTAAATTCGATGTAGAGTTTCATATTAACTTGATTTAAAAGCCTCATATCGGGATTTATAATCACATAGTTTACAAGTTTAAAAATCGCACTTTATTGGTCAAATTTTTGTTTATATGTATATATATTCTTGGATTTCCTCTTTTTTATTTTCTGGCTACTCTCATCCCTGTTAAGTCAACTTGATTTTTTTTCATTTCGGTACAATATCAATGTTGTCGCAATGATACAAATATGTTTAAATGATATTAAATTGATTAACTGATTTTTTCTTATCATTACCATCACAAATTCCGCATTCGTATAGCTGTTCATTAAAATGTTTTAAAATCATTTTATTTGAATAAAAGAAATCTTCATTATTATTTTTCGGAAATTTTCAACAAATCATGGTTTGCATTTTCTGGACTTGCAAAATGTACATAGTGATCCGTTATTTAATGGATGTACAATATTCGCTCTGTGATTCTTAATTTCTGGAAATTGTAAATGACTCATTGCTATTTATAAGTCACATATCGCAATTTTCAATTCAAGTGATTTTCAATTTGAAAATTATACATAGCCATTGGTAAATGATACAAACAATGCAATTTTAAAATCGCGCATCATGTAACTAAAAATTGTATTTATTCACATTATCATCTTTTATTTATTTACAACTTAAAAACTTCTACTTCAAAGACCAATCGTTTTGCAATTGTTTACAAAATCAAAGGAATAGGACCTTTACAAATTCAAGAAAATATGAACCTATTTTCATTTCTTTCTTTTTTAAAAAAAAAAACAGAATAAGAAGCAAAACAAAAAGGGCCCTGGCCGAAAAACAAAATTTCACTTAAATTTAATTTAAAATTTACAATAACAATAATAATATCATAAATTTTTCTCGACTTTATAAACACAGGACTTTTCACAATAAGTCTGTACAGACCTATGTTTGGTAAAAAGTGTGCCAAAAAATTAAATATTTGTTCAAACTTCTGTATGAAATATGAATTTTGTTTCCAAGTAAATAAGCCACCTCTATCAATTATCCTTTTACGCAACTGTCATTTCCTTTTTAGAGAAAAAGAAATTACAATATGATGTGAAGGATTTAGTAAAAGAAGTTCGAGAAAGAATGAAAACATTAAATTTAAATAGTGGCATACTTTGCTTTGAAGCATTTTATTGCAAAGATGAACGTCAGCCTGTATGTCAAAAAATCTTATCACAACCTATTTATAATCAAAGTAAGTAAAGTTAATGCTTGCTTAAAAATGTAGTTTTTTTCTTATAAATGATGATGAACTTTAAATTTAGACAGTATAAGTAAAGTAGATCTATGTATTGCAATTTTCCATTAACCACATTCACTTTTCAGGAATAAACAATAAAAATGCTGTTAAGAAATTTCTAACTTGAAATAATAAACTTTTCACATTATCTGTTTAATTATTTGTTATGAGGTTACAATTTTAGAAGCTAATCAAACCAAAATTGATCAATTAATTTGTTATTAGTTCTAATGCTCAAAAATAATTTAAAAAAATTTCTGTAAATAATAAATTTTTAAGAGTATTTTTTTTTTGTATTTTTAACTATTCGTATATAAAAATTATTTTGAAATTGATCTGTTCTTGACTAATATTGCCATGTTTAATGGGCTAGTTTAAAAATATGTAAAATGATCTATCTAACACAAAATTCATTAAAACACAAGGCCTTATTTTATATAGATCTTCTACTATAATTTTTTAAGTTTATGTGTTTTATGTTTTCATTTCTAATGGAATTTCTATGCACTAAATGTAATATACAGACGTACCACTTCCTCAAATCTACAATATTACCCTTACCCATCTGACAGAACTTTATTATGTTGAATTGTGGATCATCTACAAACTATACAACAGTGTTTTCTTCTTCCAATTTTTAGAAGCTGGGGTTTCTGAAGATTTGAGAATAAGACAATTATCGAAGTGTTCTGGATTAACAAAAGGAAATGAAGATATTATTTTGTTGTGTGACAAAGTCCACAAAGGTATCATAATTGTTTTATTCCTCCTTTTTCTTTAAAAAAATATGTTTTAATTTAAAATATTACCAAAATATACAAATTATTTGTAACAACATAAAGGTTTTTTAAAAAACTTTAATACTTTTGTATTAATTCAAGAATTTCTAATTACTCCTGTTTTTTTGTTATATGAAGAATGTGTGGCTGAAGAATATGTTAAAAAGAAAATAATAATTGGAAAAATCACTTTGAATCTCTTTTTGTGATAAAAATAACAGACTATCATGGAATTAAAATAAGAATTGTAAAACAGTGAAATACCATTGGATACTATTCTATGTTGGAATCGATGGTAATGAGAAAACGGATGAATTGGTACAGAGGAATGCTCTTAGGAGAAGTATATGATTAAATTTTATGCTGACATCAGAACTATCATTTAAATTGAAGGATAAACCCAGAAAAAATTAATGTTGATTGGAAAGAGTTCAGTCACAGCTACAGTCATGGAATGTAGCAATTTTGAACTCTGAGTACATAACTTGACTGCTTAACCCAATACCTTAACATAATTGATATACTTACTTCTAAGTTATCTCCTGTTTACAGTACACACATGAGTAAATGACATGACTGTTTAGCCAAACACCTTAACCATACTTATTCTTATTTACTATACACTTATGAGTACATGGTGCATAGCGTTTTTTAAAAGTGTTTAAAGATGCTTTTTTCATTGGGTATTTTTAAAAAGTGCTTAATTTTCCCTATTCAAAAATTATGTTTTAATTCTTTACCATGTCGATTTTCGCCATGTATGATGCAAAAGCGTGCTTTTCAGATTGTTCTATTAAACGTTTTTACAATCCATTTTGGCGTACCATCGATCTGTAGCGTATGAAAGCGCCAATCAATTTACATGTTTTTCATTATTTTATCATGATCATGTAAAGTCTTTGAAAATTATTTTGCGTCTTTTTATGTATATAGTGCTTAAAAATATTTTTTAATGCTTAAAAAGTACTTAAAAGATGCTTATTTTTTGTTGAAAGATTTGGCTACACACCCTGGAGTACATTACATAACTATTTGGTCAAACACCTGTTAACATTTCCCCTTAATAGTGAGTTGTCCAGCAGGTGGCGCAGCGCCACAACTACTGTGTCTGTTTACAAATGTAAGAGAGAGATTTTTAATATGAAACAATTTGGAAGCAGCAATGTACTCGGCTGCTGGAGTAGTTTGTTTTCTTTTATTTCTTAATTAAATTTATTGTTGAAATCATTCTCAACTTGACTCATCGCCACATCGAAGAGCAAACAGCGAACGAAAGTAAAAGAAGACAACACACCCTAACAGAATTGACATACTTACTTTTAACCTATGTATAACCACTAATATATAACCTATTTACCAGTATAAGTAAGTAGCTGTTACTAGTCTGTCCTGGCCATAACTAAGCATAGAGAGCATAGAGGAGGCATTTACCAATGGTATTGGATGACCAGAAATCTCGTGTCCCGAGCATTCTATTTCTTCACTTCTAGTAATTTACATTAATTTTTAGGTTTTAATTATTTAATTTTTTAATGTTTTAAATGTATAGTTTTTGTTTTTAATGTTTTTGTTTTTCAAATTCTGTTTGTAATTCACTATTATTACTGGATAAATATCTTCATGTAATGCATTAAATTCTGATTTTGCAAACTAAAAAATTCCAGATATTTTTTGTTATTATTTAAAATCCAAAACAAAAATATTTTCTTTTTAGCTTTTATGTGTTTCTTTATGATAACAGGGTGGCCACCCACCTGAAAAACCTTGAAAACCTGGAATTATCAGGGAATTTTTTTTATACTGGAAAAAACCTGGAAAAATCAGGGAAATATGGATAAAAACCTGGAAAACCTGGAAATTTTTGCTTATATATATTTTTTTAATTTCACTAATTTAAATTATTTGCTAATAATTTTCTTAATTTAAATTGTTTCATCCATTATACCCACATTTTTTAGACGGAAATGTATCTCCCAACAGTTAAAATGTCATCAACTTACTTTGCCTTCCTCAAAATTTGCTCTATTATAGCCCTGTTAAACTAGAATACAACATAAAATTCTCCCATGCAAATGTAGAAACCTTTGATCTCTATGCAGACTGTGCAATTTAGGAAAGGCAAAGATTATGGCGGATGTGGAAGACGGGGTTAGGATTCGGTTTTTAAATTCTGTCCATGTTCACACAATGATTCAAGTTTGTTCGCAATTGAGAGTGGTAATTTTTTTCTATTTTGACAAAATGTTTTTGTATTTTTAACTTTATTAAATTCTCTAAAAATTAGTTGGTTATAATTTAATAATAATAGATTTTATATTGCACTCTTTTTCTGAAAGCTTTTGAACTCCCATTCAAAGAAATCTGTAAATTATTTTTTCTCAGCAAACCAACCAATCACGCATTTTCCCCCATCACTAACAGCAATGTTTGTCGACAAATTGTTACAATTCTTGCATTAATGCTAATTTTTTCTATTTCATTTTAACCTTTTATAGTATATTTTTATTTTGAAAAAAATTTTTTTTTAGAACTAACTATATATTAATATCAAATTTTACGGTTTTGTTGGTAAATATTAGTTTTTTGATTCAAAATTCGAATTGTATAGTTATCACAATATCGAAAGTTCGTAAATGTTGCTTGCATTCCAGAGATGATATTTCAAAACTATTCCTCTTTTTACCTAAAAAAGCTGACAATGACTAAGGAATATATAGGAAACATATTAAATGATGTATATACATAAAATATAATTTTTTTTATTCATATGTGTTTAGTCAGGAGAAGGAAAACGAAACTTAGTGTTTTAGTTCTGCACTGTACAAGATTCCAGTTGTTCAAACAAAAACAATTAACTATGCTAAACTAAAAAACTGTGTGTTTAGATTGGAATTCTTTAAATGTTTTAATTTCAAATAAGAAAAAAAATCAAAAAAGTATAAATTTTAAGGAATTTTATCTATTTTTTTTCTTCTATAGAGTATAGAACTAAAAATTAGACAATTTTACATTTCTGACATTTATTTTTTTATACTGAATCTCTTAAAATAAAAATGCTATTTCAAAATACCATTATTTAAAAATTTGACTTGAGATATTGGTTTAAGGAAAATATGATCAGTGAATTTTATAAAAAGCACTGGTAAGATGAAATACAGTATAATGCAGTATACAGTACAGCTTTATATTGAAATGTAATTACAGTGATTCACAAAAGTGTTGATACACTTATGACTTTCAATGAAATAAGACTATCCATTAATTAAAATGAATGTTTCAGAATGTATATTTAATGATAAAAAATGTGTTCTAATCTTAACAAAACTGAAATATTTTAAATGACAATATGAAATATTTTAAAAACAAAGGAAAAGTTTATTTTTAAGGAATCAATCATCAAAAAGTGACAAAAACTTTATCCCACAAAAGTCATCATACACTTTTAAAGAAAAAACTCAGTCTATTAGTAAATCTAATTTTTCGTTAAATTAACATTTAGTGGAGTTTCCTTTAGCATCTACAATAGCTTTTAAAGGTTGAAAATACGTGTAACTAGTTTTTTTTTTGTCAGGTGAAATTCGTGCAGAATATTTTTTTAAAATTTTTACAGAAACTTTTACAACACTCAATTGCAAATTTATGAATTTTTCCACAAAATTTATAATTTTAATCTCTGATATGAAGTCCTTCTTTTAAGCATTTTATCACATATTGCACAGTTCAATTGAATACAGTAAACTAATTTAACATATTCATTACTGATTTACCTCTTATGAAGACAAATAATCAAATTTGGTCTATTTTATTACGACCACAAGTCATTTTTAAATGATAAAATAAAATATTACGGAGTTAGCAAGCAAAAGTTAAAATATAATTTTGCTATTATAGGTTTGATACTAAATTGCTAATAAAGAAATAAGAAATTAAATGAAAAATAATTAAATAAAAAAAGCAATTGACGATAATTTTAATTCTGAGATCCAAAACATTTAAATGTACGATGACTTTCGTGGGGTAGAATTTTTGTTACTATTTGATTAAAAAATTAACTTTTGCTTTGTTTTTAAAATATTCTGTGCAGTTTTGCTAAGAATAGATTATACATCTTATTATCAAATACCCATTGTGAAATATTCATTTTAATTATTGAATTTTTATTACCTATTTCAATATAAGTTATAAGTGAGTGAGCACTTTTGTTATTAAAAATTATTGATATATAATCACCTGAAACGGTTTTCTTTTCCTTAATGAAAATATATTAAACAATACTTATCCAATGTTTTATTGGTTATTCTGATTTTGTCATTTTTAGGTACACTTTGAGCAAATACTACTTAAAGCAACACATTAAATTCACTAAAAAACAATTAAAATTATTCAATAAAAACAATATATTCTGCAAGCTAAACATATTATTTTCTCCACGTCTAATTTTTAAAAAATTTATATTGTACCAGAACATTAAAAAATAATGAAAAAATATCTTGTAACAAAATAAATTTTTTTTCAAGATATGTTTAAAAAAATGACATTTTGAATAAGATATTTTATAATACAGACACTTTTCTTGTACACATCCTACACTTTATAAGAAAAAAGGAAAAAAACAAACCTGGAAATTTTAAGATTTTTACCTGGAAAACCTGGAAAAATCAGGGAAGTTTGAAATCTGTTTTGAGTGGCCACCCTGAATAAAGAAGGGATTCCTAGCATTTTACTCTTTCTCAATTTCTTTGTTTACTATATTCTAAATCCAAACAGCAGCATTATATAATTGATTTAATTAGCAATAAATTATGTTCTTTAAAGAAAGATGCTTTAACAACATTCTTATTTTTTGTTAAATAAATGTTTAACACTTATATTAAAATGTTGAAGTTGATAAAGTGATTAACGATGGAGTAGAAATGTTCTTTTTTATAATTTTTAAAACATTTTTATTTTAAATTGTCATAGTCATTGCTTGATTAAAAATTTCATTTGCTTCAAAACGATGCAAATTGGAGATAACGGTTAACATGTACCAAGGTAGAAATTTTCAAAATAGATGTTAGTTTTCAAGACTTGCCAGACGTGAATGAGAAGAAACAAAGGTGATTTGTAATATAAAACAAATTTGCCAACGAAATATGGAAAAATAAAGGTTAGAAACCAAACTAGAAAATCCACAATAGCTGAGAAAAAAAAAAGAACAAGAAAAACCACAGTGGCCGAGAGCAGCAAATCAGGGTATATTACCCTGACTATTACTTCCAATTTTGACTGTCATTTCCGATTTCTTTACTTTTGAAGTGAATGAAGTTTTTAAGCAAGTAATATCTTACCACTTCAGTTTCCTGAATTATTTATTGAATGCATAGTCATTGTTATTTGATTAACACGTTTTCTACTGATCTTGTGCTACTGCAGGATGCTAGTCTAGTGATTGTCATGAATTTGCTCAGCACTGTCAGTGAGCTTGTTAATTGTGTATGAACTGTTTTTTTTTATTTATGGTATATTTTTAGATGATGTTGAAGTTATTTTCTCCTGTCTGTGCGTGGATTGGAGTGCAAGAGCACACTTAAACCCTGCTGACTTCCATTACCAGGTTAATATAATTTTTTTTTAAATAAAATAAAGCTAGATGTACCATGGGGATGTTCAAATATTACATCAGCAAATTTTTGTTCAATTTTGATCCCCTTCCTCTTATCAAAAAATCAAGCAAATCACAGCATCCCTTGTTTATTCCTCAAAAATTCGCAGCACCCCTTGTTTATTGCTTTAACTGTAGTAACCTAATCTTAGGATTAAATTCAAATAAAATATGTAACTTTGCATAAAATAAAATTTATTCTTTAATTTGTTTTATAAAGTTTTGCGTAGAATACTCTTTAGGAATCTTTTGTGGTCTAAACTCTTGACATCTGAAGTTCTTTGAGGGCCTGGATAGCCTGGCTGGTAGGGTGTTGCACCCATGTCCGTGAGGTCATGAGTTACGTCCCTGCCGGTTGAAGTTTTCATGTGTACAAAATAGTGACCGGTGCCTATTAAATCTTTTGAAGTCACAAAGTCCTCCAAGTTCCCATAATAAATCAATACCTTTTGGGACGTATTGAATTGTAGATTGATCGTGCTGTAGTTCAGGTCAAAATTACGATCTGCAAATGGAAAGATTGATGATTTGTGATTGTGTCCTCCATGTGGAATGGGATGTGATGTATGTATTTTGTCTCCAAATCATCCTCAGGGATGTTTTCCAGACTATAGCCTACTGCGCAGCTCTAGTGTAAAGTATATAAGTAAAAGTTTGCTGAAATTCTTTAATGAAATGTTTTCATTCCCTGAATTCAACTTTTATTCCGATTTTGAAATTTTTATTCATTTGTGTTATGAATTAATTTGACTTTAATTGGAACTGCAATTTATTTGCTAATTTTTTTCTTTTTTTTTGTATTTAAAAAGATGTAAAAATAAGAGGAATTTGATGCCCAATGTTAGCATTACTCATATCCCTTTTACCACTTTGTTAGCAAAAATAAACAAGTCACAAACCTCCTTCTCCTGTTAAGCCTTTTCATAATATTTAGTTGCCCCTCATTTATTTTCTTAGAGCATTTCTTTATTTTAATATTTTGTATTGTAATAAAAACTAATTATTTTTTTATCATAGTACAAAGTAAAAATACGTGATTATCCTTTCCTTATCCTCTGTTATATTACCTATCTTAAAAAAAAGAAGAGTAAAACTTTTTATAATTTTATGATTATTTACGTATTTTGTCATAAAGATTCAATTATTTGTGATACTATTGTATAATTTTTCAATCCTTTCTTTCACAAACATCTCAAATTAAGTAAAGCGGGTAAGAAATTTTCTTTCTTCTCTATCTTTCTTTGAATTACTCTTAATTACTTATTAAATAGTCTATCACAGTTTTCAATGCAATGAATAGCTGCATTGATCATTGATTTTATTCTATTCAGGTCTTTTACTGGGACTAGAAAACCTAAAATTGTCAATAATTTGAATTTGTTGCATTGTTTAGTCATAACCTAGAAAAGTCTTGCAACAAGCCTAAAAAGACAACTCTTAAAATTTACTATAACATTAGCTAGCCAATGTAGTTATGGTAAATGAAACTAGCATACATTTTCATTTTTTTCTGGAAAAAGTGCATAGCAACGTGGTTTGTTTTCTTAGATTTATTAAAATAAGAATTTGCACAATATACCTACTTTTTTTATTAATAGTTTCTTGCTTCAAATATTTTCTGCATAATAGAGCATTCTACTATCGATCAAATTCTTCGGCATAATAGCAACAACAAAAAACCTTATTATTTTAAGTAAAAAAATTTTAATTAAATTTAGATAAAGTTTTTATATAAATTCACGTTTTGATGAGTTGAATTATTTGTTCATAAAAATAAGTTATGTATAAAAAAAAATTTAATTACTTTTCAGAGAGTAACAGTTCTGAAACTGTTTTAATTTTGTTATTGTTTTAAATTTTCTCTCATTGTTTAGACACATACATTTGTCACAAACTTGATTAGACAGGATTAGATTATCATTGTTAATCATTACTGTGATCATTGTTGTATCATTAGAAAAACAATGATGACACAATTTCTTAGAATTTTGTGACTTTTTGTACAACATATAATCCTTTTTATTGTTAATATTTACTAATAACTTGTTATAGAACTGAAAATATTATCAAAAATATTAAAAATTAATTTCAAGCAAATTTCTTTCACGATGCAGTCATTTTGACTGCTTCTGGGCAATATAGGTATTTCAGTCTTTCTAGTGTTAATTAGTTTATCAAGATCAAGACAGAAATTTATGGTTATTTTTAAAACTAAAATTGTAATTCTTTTACCATGTTCATTTTTCAAATAATTGCAATAATTTTATTAATCGTACGTTCCACTGCTTTTATTTACATCCAAGATTTTATTTAATACTAAAATACATATAAATTAGCATTGGAACTCTTTCAAAGCTTTATAAAATTGTGTTTTTTGCCCAATATTTGGAGTATCATTCTAAATCTGAACAAATGAAATAACAGTAATATTTTAAATTGGCATTGTTAAATGGGTTGTATGTGTTACTTTTAGATTAGTTTTAAATATAAATTTGTTTCTATTAGCATTCTGCTATATAAAAGGTTGAAACCATTAACCAAATAAATGATATTATAATAGATGACACATATTAAAAGATCATTAGAAAGATTTGTTTCTTAACATAAAAGTATTTGTATACTGAAAAAGGAAAAACTAAATAAATATTTAAATAAAATTTACCTTAAAAATATATTTTTTGACATGTTTATGAAATTAAAATCTAGAGAATGATTTTTTCAAGATGAGTCGTTTTTGCCTAAATAAACTCTATACTTAATGACTCTATGGTTAAAGCAATGTGCTGTAATTGTGAAGGACTTAAGTTTAATTTTTTAACAGCAGCTTTTAGCTCACTCAGCTTTAGAGTAATGGGTACCAGCTTGTCTGGGAAGTAAATACAGTCAGTTTGTAATGCTGCCCATATTGGCACAATCATGCCATTAGTCATGAAATTGTGAAGCCTTAGCCTTCTTTATATCCTGACCCACAATGGGCTGTTGGCGAGAATGCTTTATTTTACTCCTAATACTTAGAGTGTTTACATTTTTAAAAAAATCCTTTGGACCAAAAGAATCTCAATTTTGTATTCTTTTTAATTTAGTTATACATACATAAAGAGACTATTTAATTTTATAAAAGCCAAGTGTAATAATGCCTCTTTATTTATTTAAATTCATTTATGTTTCATTTATTATAGTTTGCTATTCCCATCAAAACACCAAGATTTCCAAAAAATTATGAACAAGAAGTATCAATAAAATTATGTAGAAAATCTGATGGGAAAACTGGAGTGCCAATGAAATTTCGTTATATGCCATGTGATGGTAAGTACAATACACAGAAAAGGAACACCTTAATAACTTTTCATCTAACTATGGGATTCTTCTGTATAGCCTCAACCTTAAAGGTGCAAGGCTTAACTTGAAATATGCTAAATGTTTATTACAGATGATATTTTAAATTACGAAATCAGACACAAAAAACATACTTTTAATTAATAAACATAATTTTTTTGACGGATATGGATTATTGACCTTTGAAACATGGGATAAAGCCTCAATCTGGAAAATTTAGTCCCACTTGTTTAATCTGGAGAGTAGTTAAAAGTTGATTTCCCTTTTTATGTATTTTTCCTTATTGGTGAATCTAGTTTTAAGAGACCATTAAATAATTTCCATTTTATTTACTGTGGTGTATTTCTGTTGGGTAAGTGCAATTTTCCAAGCTTAGAGACATCACCTAAAGCCACATTGATACCACACCTATAATTGCATTTTATTTTGAAGCTAGTTTAAATATAATTAAATTTAAATTAAAGCAAAACAATCAATGCCTCACCCCTTTTAGCAGGCAACTGTAAAATTATCAAACCTATACAATGTAGCAATACCATCGCAAATAACACATAATAAGCTTCATTTTAAATATCATAAGAACTTATCTTATATTTGTTTTTGTTTTTTACCATTCTTAGAATCTTAAGAGCATGCTAAACTAGGAGATCAACTGAAATCTTCAATAAGCATTTAAAGCATGATTTTTTTTAAAACTTTTTTTTTGTCAAGTAAACATCTATATGTATGCGCATGCACATAACATTTATCTATCTATCTATCTATNAAAAAACTCTTTGAATTTTCTAAATTCAATATGCGTGTACATATGTATATATATATTCAAAATGAAGATAAAACAGAGGAAAATTATAGACATATGAAGAAAAGAAAGGGTTAAGAAAAACAATATACTTATTGTTTTTCTTAACTTTCTTCGTGTTTTCTTGTATTTATTTATTTTGTTGTTTATATATATTAAAATCAGACCTCCATTACAAGTTCATTCGACCTTAGACAAACAACAATTTATTAATTCATTGTAGAAATTTTTTTTAACCTTTTAAGAAATTATTTTAATATAAAATATCATAATTAACTTTAAGTATTAAACAAACAAAACCAGAGTAGAAAGATATCTAAAAAATTAAAGTTTTGATCTCACGAAAAATGACCATTTTTCTTGTAATTATATATATTTTATTGAATAGTATAACACTTTTGAGAGTTAGTAAAATGTATGGAATTTGATCCCAATCTTTCTTCCATATATTGAGAATATGATACCTCATAGATACGTTCTTCAATGAAATAAAATTTGATTGTGATTTTTTAAATGCAGAACGGCTTTGAAATTATATCTTTTTAAAGGTAATGATAATCTTATATTATGGTATGTTTTAGATTATGATGCAGATTTACCTTTGAAGCAAAAACAACCAAACCCATCTGATTGTATTTCCATGCCAATGTCAGCAATAAAGCGTGAACCAAGTAGTACACCAGATGTTCATAACCCAAATTTTCAAGATTTGAATGGTAGTTATTATTTTATTAATGTTTTATTTAAACTACTAATAAAAATTGCCAGTGTAAAGAAAAGTTTAATTTTTTTTTTAACTAAATAAAAATGTATTTATAATAATCTCTTAAAAACTGAGTTTCTAAAATATAGTATTTTTTAGTTTTATATGATTTCTGCTATTGGGGAAACTTCTAAAAATTGAATAATTTCTATTTGCCATTTTAAGATGGTTATAGATACCTCTTCCCATAAATTTTCTAAGTATAATTTTATTTTTAAAACCTTAAATTTTCACCTCATATTTCTCTGTCTTCCATATTTTGTGCATTAAGTTCTTTTAAGAAAATTGAAGCAGAATTTAAAGGAAAAAAAATTTTTTTTTTAATGTTTTAAGGGGAGGGAACAGTACTTCCAATAACTATTAATAATCAAAATTGTTCACTCTAATTCTTAACTCATTTAAATCTAGCACTTTTTTACGTATGAATTCAAGAAAAATGCTCATTGTTTAATGCAGAGATGATAGTGCTCTGGAAAAATCCGGATTTTTTGCTAACCGCGATCCGAAAATTTCAGGAATTCCAAGGTCCAAACGTTTTAAGAAATCATTGATCACATTTATGCATAAAAATTCTTGCATATTTTATTTAAAAATAATAGAACTAGAATTTATACTTGGCATCTGTTTCAATTGTAAATATTTTCTCTGGAAGAATAATAAATGTGAATAGAGATAAAAGTGAACTTACATAATTATTAATTTAAATAATGCTGCATATAATTTATTTAGAATTTCATGTTGTGAAGACATAAATTTTTTGAAGTGCGTCATTAATGATTTGACACAATAAATTTTCAGGATTTTTGACTTGGGCTCACAATCACTCCTGTTAAAGGCAATATCTCTTTTTTTCTACATAAAAAAGTATGATTATTGAACTTAAAATTTGTAAAATCAGCACAGATTTTGAACTTATACCAGTACAGATTAATAATTTTGGGAAGCTAAAATCTATTTTAACCCCTTTCCTTTAAATGAAAAATTGTCTTTTATTATCGTAACTGGATGTAAATGTAGAATGGGTTTTCAAGAGATATTTGAAGAGTGTGAGTAAATTTGTATTTTTTAAAAGAATACCTATTTGGGTTAGGATAACTCTTAACTCAATAGCTGTACTACTGAGTAACAGTAATATGTATTGAGTTATCACTCAATATCAATTATTGAGAGTGCAATAGTGCCAATTTTTTAAGTCTTAAAATTTTTTGTTCTTTTTAATTTCGAAACCAATAAATTCTAAAGCTGAGTGTGCCTTACTTATTTATTTTTGTTCTATGACTCTTGAAAAAAGTGTTTTTTCCTTAAGGGGAGTTAAAAGTTTCATTTTCGATAAGTTTGTATTATAGATCAATAATTTGTAGTGCTTTTTTAATGCATCCTGAATAATATATCCATGGCAGTTTAATTTCTTATTACTACTATTTTATTTTGGTGAAAATTATTTCTCCAATTAATCCTAAAGTATTAGACTGCTGCTCTAACGTAACTAATTGCTGAAATGCAAATTTAGGGTTTATTTTTACTATTTATAAACTTATTCTTTCTCTTTTTTTCAGGTCTTATAAAGTTCCTTAAAACTTATAATAATTCAGAATTTGATGCACCTGAAATTGAAGAAACTGAATATAGATTGCCACTTGTAACCCCAGAAAGTTTCCTACGCCAAGCAGAACCTGCCGCTCAGAAAGAGTATGCAAATCAGGAATGGAGAAATACTAGCTGTCCTGAAATTAAGTCAGTTCAAATACTAAGATCCCATATAATCAATTTTCTCGGGGAAGGCAAAGCATTTTTAAAATATTTGCCTGCTCTATTATCCATGAAAGATGAAAATGGAAACTCGTAAGTTTAGCTAAATCATTGTTTTCAATAGTATAATATTTTCAATTTATTTTTATTTCCTCCATTTAACCATCTCATGATAGATTCCAATATAAGATTTACCTTTTAGAACATTTTCTAAATTATTGCAGTGTTATTCTATTCAACTAAACATTTTGAAATGTGTATTACGTTTCTTGAACTTTTAATTGCAAACAAGCAAAGTTTGGGTAACTTTTATTTTCAATTCTTGCTAAGTACTTTCAATAATTTAAAAAAAACTTTTAATTTCATAAAACTGTCAAGTAACTTTTTGCACTCTTCCTTTTTATCCGTTTCACCTGTGCATCTCAGGGGTATACTATCCTAAGTGATATCGTCACGTTAACTCTTCCCTCATACTGATTTCAGGTATAAAGCAACAAAATATTTTGAATTCCTTTTTGTTCCAGCATTCTAATAGAGTTTTTTTTACGCTTTTAAATATTTAGGAAGAAATAAAATTTTCTTTTTCTAATCTCCTAAAACGAATTTATTTTTTTCTCCATTTTTTCTATTACATGAAAAAAAACTATTCCTTTTCATTACCAAAATCTGGTAATTTCTAATAGACATAATTTTTAATATTATCAAAGGTTAATTTATAAAGAAATTTGAATCTTCAGTAAAACCTGTTAAAGCCTCTGATGAGCAAAGAAAAATGAAGTGTAAGAGAGAAGGACAGAAGTAACTTTTCTTCTTAGGATTACCAAAATATGATAGGCCTCCAAAATGTATCAGATTTTCATTCATTGAGCTGATGTTTGATCTTTGTAATTGATAACACTCTTGTGTTTATTTTCTGCAAAGAATTTTTTTGTACGTGGGTTTCATTTCATCATTATGTTGGTGTTTATTTGAATGCTTAATTAATTTTTTTAACTTTATTATCACAGCATGTTAATTTTACTATCTTTAAAACTTTTATATCAGCTCAATGTAAAATAGTATTTATTTCAGATTAATGAATTACATCAGGAGGTAATAAAAATGAAATCAATTTTTTGCATTGAAAATATAAGCGTGATAAATGATGCATAACAAAAAGAAATATTTACAGATGTATGTATTAAAGCTTCAAGATGATGAGAAAACAATGTAAAATCACAGATAATGTAAGATAAAGTAAAATCACGGAAAACATTTTATTCTTAATTCAACCTTGTATGAAAAATTATGCTTCATTAAGTTTAGCAATCTCTTCAATATTTCACTATCTTACTACTATAATTAATATGGGGTATTAGTTTATCATTTATAATTAATTTTTCATTTGTAAGTTTTACTGCTTATGGGCAAAAGTTATTTCTTCAGATTAACTCCAATGTTAATCTGAAGAAATAACCTTAATGATCATTCACTGTATAATGATTCACTATGTATAATGAATCACGCAGCATGATTTGTATAAGTGTAAATTATGAATCACCCACTAGGATTCACATTTAAATAACCTATGAATTACTTATCAGGATTTTCAAAATACCATTGTAGTTTAAGATGCATGTTCCCATTAATTCTGATTTAAGATCCAAATTTACGAGATTTCTGGTGATTCAAATTTTTCTTATATGTGAGCCACTTATAAGAAACTTTTCTCATATGTTTAAGATGCATGTTCCCATTAATTCCGATTTAAGATCCAAATTTACGAGATTACTGGTGATTCAAATTTTTCTGATATGTGAGCCACAATGCCAGTTGAAATTATTTCTGGTTCTTGACAGTTAGTTCTTTTAGAATTCTCAAAGTTTCTCCCCTTTTCTACGTATAATTAATATTATGAAGATCCTGTAAATAGCCTTGTCACACACACAAAATAAAGTGTTGGTTTGACTCAATGTTCTCTATAAAGAAATTTTATCACTGATCATAATTATTTGAGTTAAAATTTTTCCAAATGTAGTGTGTTATTTACCAAATTGGAATTCATAAAATTATAATTGGTTTTAAAAAAATTGTAAAATATCGATAGTTGATCAATAAAAAAAGTCAGTTTAATTTAAATCTTTAACAAAATTTAAAATATCATGTTGAATTTTTAATCTGAAAGGCTTCATATAATATAATAAGCCACATTTTAAAATTGTTCAAGAAAGCATTTTTTGAAACTTTTTCCAGATAAAAATACCGCAATTTCCATGTAGGAATTATGAAATAGCTGTATATTGTGCTTGTGGAAATTTTCTAAGCTTCTAAAGTACCTGTTTAGAAATAATACTAAGGAGTAGTTTGATGTTAAAATATCACTTCTGGAATAAGTATCGCTGTATCGTCCTATCCCTTAAATTTTTTTTGTTCATCTGAATATCATGGCATACAAAATTACTCTCAAGTCTAATTTTAAAATTTCTATTTCATTTAAATTCCTTATTTCTTCAATTGCAGGCTGCTTCATGTGGTGGTAGCTGAAAAAAGTGAAAACTTACATTTGCTTGTAAAAATCATAAAAGCAGCTCCAATTGGTCTCATAAATCAAACTAATGATGCAAAAATGGTAAATAATTTAAAATTTTTTTTGTTTTTTAAAAGTTTGTTTTGTACTTTTTTTATTTATTGAAGCCTGCTTTTAAAGTTAGTGAGGATTTTTCATTGGCAAAATGATTTTGAAAGCTTTCTTAAATAGATAGGGATTTACTTACTTATAATTAAAGTGGAACTATGAAGCAACTGATGGACAAGCATATATTTCCACTTCAGTTTCTTAGTTTAAACATATTCAGTATTAATATTTTTGTGTTTTGTTGACTTTTTGGTATTTTTCGGATTCTTTTTGTATATCTATGAACGGATTATATAATTTCTGTGACTAACAGGCGAAAAAAAAGTTTGTATTATTTTTTTAAGGTATGACCATGCAAATAAATCTAGTTTTTTTTTCTAGTTAGCAGAATAAATTCTATTTTTACTATAAATTTATATTATAGTTATTATTGTTACATTAATGTTATTTCTCTCTTACATATATATTCATTTATCATCCTTTATCATTTTCTTTAAGAAAAATATTTTTTCTGAATTAATATTGTAACTCTAACTTCTATTATTATTTAACTTCATAAGAGTGCTTTTAATCTCTACTTTAGACTTTGCTTACTTTGATGTAATTACAACATAGTTTCTAAAAATGAAAACACATTAAAATATTTAATTACATATGAAATAAAAATTATTACTTTTCCCAAACCTTTAACAAAATTTTCATACATAATCTATATTCATTTAACGGACATGTATAAAAACATATTTCGCTTTAATCTTGTAATAAGTATCGATCCACTAAGGCATAGATTCCCAATTCTTTTTTCAAGTGAAATATTTTTCTTCTCTCCCCTTCAAAAAAACATTTTTTTGCAAGCACTTATTAAATATTTTATTTAAAAAAAAAACTCTTTTCTGAAATTAATTTTTTTCCTTTTCTGCCCATGCCAGATTCAATTCAAAGAATTGAAATAAAATGTGATATTCATTACCTTCTTTATGCGTTTTAAAATTTACAAATGTAAATGATTTCCTTATTTTTGATATGGTGCACTTTTTATCATATCGTTAATTTATTGAAAATTCTTACTAATCAATGATGAATTTAAAAAATATTAAACTAATTTGTAAAATATTTAAAAATATTAATCTGAATTGTGAAACGTGAAAAAGTCACTTCAAACTTAAAATTTTAAATCTATTGATTTATTAAGATCGAAATCAGGCACTTCCAAATTACTTTTGCAATGAAGCTTATTAAGAGAATGTACGCAGATTTATTTTTGTAAAACTCAGTATTTTATACTAAAACCTAGAGGTAGAAATTAAGAGCACGTTTTCACTGATCTATCTATTTACGCATATCTATTGCCCTTTTTTTAAAAAAAAAAAATTTAATAAAGTGAATCTAAATGAAACATTGCAATACAAAGAAAGTGAATTGTTTATTATTAATTATGATGAAATATGCTATTTTGTGACAATAACACATAGACCAAAATATGAAACTGAAAATCAAAAAAGATAAAAGAGTATACTCCATGTCATGTAGCTTTTACTGGATGTAAAGGCTACATCAAAAAACACTTGATATTGCCTTTACATCAATTATCTGTCTGGAGGACTGCCTTTTATTATTTTATGATCGTTCAATTCAAATTTAGTCCTGCTGCAATTAACCAACCTTGATTCTGAGCCCTGCTTCAAATCCTATTAACAGAAATATTGTTTGTTGAAAAACATATTGTTTTACAAATGCATTATATTATTTTATTGTTTGTTTTATCTCATGTGTATTTCTTCTTCTTTTTTGGAAGTCTCTCTCACGCCATTATAGGCTTCATATATTTTCTGACCATATAATTTTTTTTATTTCATAAATTTATACGCAGATTTAATCTTACTTAATGTCTCTTTAGATAAATAATTTGATTTTTATTCAGTTTTATAAAGAGCGATTGGAAATCTTTCTATTTCTTGATAATTATAACGGCTAACTTTTATTTATTTAAATGCAAGTGTAGAACTAATTATTATTCAGTGTCTCAGCAATTAAGTAACAAAATCTATTTTTAATCTTTCTTTCTTCATCCACATAAAACATGAGCATATACATTATTAGGTTTACTTTCATTTCTAACAAACTTCACAACCTTTAATCTTTCACCAAATTATTCAAATATTAACATGAGAATTTCTAAAGAACTTTTCAGCTTTCAATCTTCAGCCAAATTATTTAATAATTATCATGAGATATCGTGGTGTCGGCTGAATCGGCTTGACTTTTGGCAGTGTTCTTTTCCAATAATGCACCTATAATGGATTTCTCCTGTATCACAAAGTGTCAATTGAACGCTTTAACTTTTAAATTGGCTCACGATTAGGCAGGTCAAGGGGGACTTATCTCCCACGGCGTGTTCTGATTAAAATTATTCAAAATTTATTATTTCGATTAAAATGTATTTTTGTATAAAAATAATCTTTTTATTTGCATTATGAGCTCTGCATTATTATTATTCTTTAATGAAATAAAAGCTTTATTCTGATTAACATCTCATTTTCGTCACCTGCAATTTAGTATCATCCTCCACTCCATTAATTTTGATTTCTGCTATAATCAACAAAAACCATTTCTATTTCAATTAGTCACCCACACCAACCTCAAAAGTGTTCTCAGCCTAATGCCTGAGTTAAGTAAAAATTGTATTGAATAATTTTAATGAAGTAACTGCAGCATTTATTTTTCTTATGCAGACTCCACTGCATGTAGCTGTCAGTAAAGGACTCTGGAAAGTAGTGAGAATTCTTCTGATGGCTGGTGCTAATCCTGATATTAAAGACACAAATGGAAATACTTGCACACACTTAGCTGCAATGCACAATTTTCCATGGTGTTTAAGTGAAATTTTGCTTCCCTTACTAGTAAAAGATAAGAAAAGAAAACATCTTCCAAATGTAAATCTTTTGAATAACGAGGGTAAATGTTTTACTGATATTTATTTTCTTAAAACATAGATGTATTGTATCCTACTTAGTATTAATTTATAATTAAGCTTTTTATTATATTTATTATAAACTGTTTTCAGTAAATTTATGTTCTGCAAATTAACTTAGGTGCTCCTTTTCACTATGAACACATACTTTAACTTATTATTTTTTTTAAATGACACTGGAAAACAATGTCTTTCTTAGTGCTCACTTTTGATTGAATTAACTGAACGGAAATATCACATTGTTGGGAGTGCAACGATCACAATTGTGCAACGATGTGATGCACATCAATTGTGCAACGATTTGAAAATCGTATAATTTATTATTGTGTCCATAGTCATTGAATAAGTAAATAATTTATTTATTTTTTTAGCAAAATTACATCAATCAACTTTTCTTAACAGTTATTTCCCCCAGCAACTTTACTTTTCTCTCCCAATTCTAATAATCTTTTTAGAAACTTATGCCTGGCTATACAATTCAATAGTGTTTAATAGAGCTGTATTCTGTTACGGCCAATTTTTTTACATAACATTGGCAAAGTTTTAAAGACTATTCGCCTTCTGGTTTAATTTCACTTCATTTGAATAATTTTTAAAATTGCTGTCATGCTTATGGATTTAAGATAGGATTCAACTTAGTTTTAACTTTATGGATTTCACCGAGTTAAAATCTTCTTTTTAGTTATTTTCTAGGTGAACGACACATAATTTAAAAAATTTATCACAAAATATTTAAGAAATTCCTTGTACATTTTTAGGGCCTTATATAACATAGCAATTAATTACTATGTTAATTAGGTGTTTCTACCCTAATTAGATTCTTGATACAATGCTATTTTTGTATTGTTTATTTTATAATTTTTTAAATTTTATCTAATGTAATACATTATATCTATCATGTTATATTTGTTTTATCACTTAACATTATTATTATTTTTTTGATACATAATAAATCCTCTCCACTTGAATTTTTTCCTTGATTAGTGATAACTGGAAGCTGATTAATATTGCAGCAGATTTTTTCTTAAATATATATATATACAAATATCCATGCATTATAAACAATGAAATAGATATACAGTCGGACCCCGATTTAACGAATTTCGTGATTTAAAGAATTTTTTTTCAACCCCAGCAGAAACAGAGTCAAAAACCCCTAATTAACGAATAATTAACCCCGAATTAACGAATTATTTCAGCATCCGGAAAAAATATTTTTCAGTAATTTTGATCAGAAAAATATTGCATTTTTTTGTAATTGGCAGATTCTAAAGGGAAAAAAATCTTTCCTGGGAGGAATAAAATAGAAAAAGTGCATATTCGTCTCAAACAAAAGAAAAGCCCGCAACAGGGAAAAACAAAATTCGTCGTGGGTAGGTGGGCAGAGTCAATAAGACGTTACACTTGCAAGGTCATTTTCTGGGGGTTTGTCACGTGGACTATGAGTCAAACAGGAAATTCCTTTCTTATCTTAGATAGTCGTTTATAACTAGTAATTTTTAATAATACATATGTACAAAAAAAATTTTTTTTTTTGAACCCCCGATGTTACGAATGACCCCGATTTAACGAATAAAATTTCCGGTCCCGATGAATTCATATAAATTTGTCCCTTTCAAAAACTATTTTTAATAAGTTATTAAAAATTAACTTTGCATTTTCTTTAATTATGTGTTTTTTTTTTTTACATATAAAGGTTTTTTTAGAAATCATATTTTAAATTGCGTTCAGAAAAAAAAAGAATATGAACTGTTGAGATATTCAAGAGTATTTCAAAAAATATAACACATTGAAAACTTTCAAAACATACATAAAGCTACACTACAAACTGCCGAGTTTCACAAAAAATAATCTTCATCTCCATTCAAAAAATTCGTACTTTTTGAAAGATTTTTCAATAAAGTTATTTGAGTTGAAATGTATCAGAGAGAACAATGTAAAATATATTTAACTTGAAAAATTCTGTAGACTTAATAATTTTTTGTTTGTTTTTAGTTTTAAAATTTTCTTATTTCTTATTTTTTTTCAGTAGTCGATTTAAACACCAGACATACCGAAAATTCGCAAATGTGTAATCAAAAATAGGAGAGTTCGACTTAAACAATGTATTGACTTGTACACTGGTATCTATCATAGATTTATCTCAGTTGTAGGAACTTTTTGAAAATTGGTTGCACGGTATTAGTAGTTGTTTTATGTTGATTTTAGTATCATAATTTTGTTAAATTTCATTTTTTTTAAGTATAGTTTAACCGGTCTGTAACGAAAACATAGGGAACAAAGCTCGTTAAGCCCCGAGTCAGATGACCTTTGAGTTTATGATATGTTCACGATTTCAGCATCTGCTATGATTCGCATCACTAATTGGTTCTTCGGAGATAAATATATCAGTACTGTAATGATTAAGATAGGTACTATATTTGAGAGAGAAGGAGGATAGAAAAAGATATACTGAAGACAAGTAAGAGATGAGACAGGGAAGAAAGCCGTGTATTTCTAGCTATAGCTATGCATAACTATAGCTATAGCTGGTTTTCTGATTCATATAAGGCAGATGAGAAATCTCACATACTTTTTATCGATTGACAAATGAAATATCCACAAACAGTTGTACTTTTTCTCCCAGCTTCAATAAATTAATTTTCAAGAAGTTTATGAAAAATTCCTTAATAAATTCAAATTATGCCTGTGACAATAGTTTTATCTAGGCTTTTTAACATCATACCAAAACCAACCGTTTTGTAAAACTTCCTAACCCTTTAAATTGAAATTCACAATGAACACATTAGGCTGCCTTGTTTCAGTTTTTTATATTTTTCTTAGTTTTATTTAAATTTATTTATTTTTTTTTAATTTATTTTATTTAGGTTTCTCACCGTTGCAGCTAGCAGTCAAAAAGGAGTCTCAAATATGTGTTAAACTTCTTATTCAAGCTAAGGCAAATCTGAATATTTTTGATGAGAAAAGTTGTTCAACTCCACTTCTATTATCAAATTTATTGCGTTTTCAGGTTAGTGTTATTTTTTCTCTCTCATAAATCTATGACAATTTATCCCACAATTCCAATCTTAGGAATAACTTATTTAGTTTAAAATTGTTAACTTTTTTTAAAATGGCAGAAAAAAAAATTTGCTTCACTGAAAAAATAAATTTCAAACTACAAAAAAAAACAATCTTTGTTTGCATCTCTTTGTTTGAATCTGCAAAAGTCCAGCTATCTAGGAAACTGAATTAATTGGTATATTTTAAATTTCTGATTTTTTTCTTCTTCTCCATAGCATGGATTGGAATTTTCGAAAATGCTCAGTAAAATACGAATCAATTTTCGATAAATGCCCCTTCACCTTTCATTTCAGTTTGTCATTAGTTTTTATAAGCCTGAATTGCAATCATTTTATTTTGTGGAGCATTTTCTCTTCTGCGCTGTTCATAAAGGACCAATTTGGTTAGCTTCCTCACATTTTCCAGTTTGCACTTGTATAACAAATTTTATCTATTGAAGAATCAAAACTGGTGAATATTTATTAAGATTTCTAAAGGCTCTGGAGGAAGAACAAAAACTGTTTCATTTAGACTAAGCCTCTTTTCTCAAAGAAAGACTAAAAATGTAATGAGAGGAAAATGCACAGTAGGAAAGTGAAAATTCAATTAAACAAGGAAAAGAAAAAACACAAAGATCAAATATAAAAAAATTAAAAAATGAAGAGAGAAAGAAAGAAAAATAAAATAACTTAAACAATTTTTCCACACAGTAAATAAAATTGAAAATAATTTATTTTTAATTGCTAAATTATTCTTGTTCATAAAAATGGGAACATTTTTATAAAAAAAATAAAGCTTTTTCCTATTATTTCGGTACTTCTTTTTATCCTGTTATTCCTTATTATTTGCTGCTTTTCGCATTTTTTAAAAACATCTTTACGATTGATTTATTGTTTTTATGACATTAACTCTTCTCGCTTTTTTCACTAACCTGACAACCCAGGAAGCAAAATTAAGAGAGTAATTAAAGGTCAAGTATTATATTGCCTGTTTTTACGGATTGATGGGGGGGAATCAATAAAATATTTCTAAACGTGTAATGGATTTATTGGGAAATTATTAAACTATTTATTGATATAAAATTATTTTCAAACGAATATAACGGAGCAAAAAATTACTAGAAAATCATAAATCGCTTGCATGAGACATTTTCCACTAATCAGATCATTTTGTTGGGCAAAATTAATTTTTTCTAAAATGCTGGATAAAAATTTTGAGACAAGTATGGGTACTTTCAGAAAACATAACACCAATTCCTTCTTACAAAATCAACATTAGAATTAGCTTATTTTTGGTATAAGATGAAAGTGTGTTTGTGGTTGAAATAGTCCCAGGTTAGAGTCTGGGCTTTGTTATAACTACATATTTTTAATTTATGGAAAATGCAGTCTGTTAAGAGTGTGTTATTGTCTTTTAAAAAACAAATATATGACATAGAAAAATTCATTATTGGGTAATTAAATTTTATTCAAAACAACTTCTCCATCACAATAAAAATTTTTAAAAATGCAACGACCGACTTGTGACACAAATTTAGAAACCTTCCCACTAATATGACATATCCTCCTTCCATTTCAAGCACTTCTTTTGAATTAGAGAGAACACTCTCTTGTTTAAAAACATAGTTTTATAAATAGCAATTTTAATGCAACCTATATGATTTGGTTTTGAACCTGAACCAAGTTATTAAAAATAGTTCCAAAACGCGAAGTGAATTTTCTATTTAACGAACTTTTCTACAAGATTCTCTTTCCCTATTTTCCAAAATATTTCAAACTTGTTAACGCATTTTATGGGGGAAATGAACTTGAATTAATTTTCGAAGTCACTGCTTTTATGTAATGTTTTACTGCTTTCTCTAAAAGTTATTTTAGAGAAAGCAGTAAAATATCCCTTTTTGCTTGCATTGCAAAGGAAAAACTCAGTCCAAATGAACGGATTTTATCAGTAACAATTAAACTTAAGAACGCACATGCAGTTTAAAATTATTGTTATAATAAATGCAACTATAATTTTATACATAAATTCAGCTTTTTTTTTGGTTGAAAATGAATGTAGCATGATTGTGTAACCCTGGATAAGGTTTTTCTCTATTCTTGCTTGCAAATTTCTTTTATGATTAAGATTTATAAAATAAATAGTAGATACTAGTTTACAAGATAAAGGTGCATCAATTGCTATTTTAATTATGCCTAGCGTTTATGAATTTAAAACCTGTTTTGTGTTGCTTAAGTAATTTAAAAGGTGATTTTCTGTTTAACGAATTTTCCCTATAACGAACTCATTATCGGGATTTAGCGACTTCGTAAAATAAAGGTCCGACTGTATATCAAGCCATATATTTTTAAAAAAATTTCATTTAAGAACAAATTGGTGTATTAGTTCAGAAGTTCTAATGCATGTGTAAAATAGCAGTGAAGGGTTAAAAATTATGTTAAAATGACAATCACAACAATGAATATGGTTTGTCAATAAAAAAGTTATCTGATTTTTAAGGTGACAAGAAACTTTCAAAAAAGCAAAAATTTGTCAAAAAATCGATATTTTACATCTTTGAAATCTAGGCATTTAACTGAAAATTTAAAAAAAGAAAATTCTGGAATAAGAGCAAAATTGATGAAGTTATGGCCATTTCAGTTTTGACCACGCCCCTTTGTTTACCTTTTTTTGTCTGCAGATAACTGTTAAAATTAGTTGAATATTTTGTTATTATTTTTAAAATAAATTAAAGTATATAATTATTAAACTAGTTCATTAGAAAATATTTATAGGTATTTATATTAAAAACAAGAAATATTTGTTCAGAAGTAAAATTTGCAATGAAAAAGTAGTAAAAGTCATTTTTTTCAAAATGTCGTTTTTGACAAATTTACAATTTTCAAACTGTTCCAGCGTAATGAATTTTCATTCTATTGACCTGAGAATTTAATGCTATATATTTCTGAATATCATTAACATTTTGTTGGAAAAGTTTTTTGAATTAAGTGAATAGTAATTTTTTTAAGCATGATATTTTATAGTGGTATGACGATTTTTTCCTAAAAATGTAGGTTTTTCAATGTTTTTTTAATGTTATTTGTTTCCATAATGAAAAAAGTACTCCCAACAATTTTTTCAATATTACCTAATATGCAATATTTTAAAAGAACTTTGTCATTTTGACAGAATTTCAAACGTGAGGAGTAATATAAAAAAACATAAAAAATTCAAAAATTTAAATTTCTTAAATTTTGAATAAAAATTGTTTTTAACAATATAAATGTATTCTGATAATTTCAAAAAAAAAAAAAATAATTTGAAAGTCCCTTGTTACCTTAAACAAGGGCATTAATTATTATTTATAAATTATAATTGTTTTAATTTTAATATATCTTGTGAATTTTTTTAAAGCTATAGATAGTTGAGCTTTACAAAATAATTTTGTTAGTTCTTTATGAAATTGTTTTCTGTGATAAAAATTTGCGTTAGTTTTCCCAGAAAAGGAAGTGTCATATAATTTTATCTATAATTTAATCAATAAATTAAATCATAATCTTTAAACATATTACCAAACCAAACATACAACATACCAAAGATAAACTCAGTAAAGACAATCAAAATTATTATAACAATTTATTGCATTAAAAACGAAATGGAAAAAAGCATAATAACATCAATTAAACAATTATACAAGTTAATAAAATAAAATATTGAATGGAAAAAACACAGGAAAACAGTTTATATCAACAAATACAGAGATACGTTAATTCACTTAACACTTCAATTTAAAAGAGGAAAGTAAAGAATTATTCATACAATTCAGATTTTTATGACTAGTTTTTAAATCAGTAATAAAGTTAATATTTTTGTGCCAAAATTGAATTCATGGCAGAAAAAATATGAGGGCAAAAGAAGTTATGTAATTTATTGTTTACATTTGTACGGCATTGTTGTTTTTTGTGCACCAAATTAAACTTCTTTTTTCTTTGTTTTTTAATTGTAAGTCATTCATTTTTGTTAAAATATAATCCTTGAAAAATATTATTAATAATCCATAGCTGACACGGAGAAACCATACGTAATACAAAAGTTTTGATTTTTTGGCATTTGAAATTTTCTTCAAACTGCTAATCCATTATAACTTTACAGTAAAAATTCAGTTAAACCATCACATGGTGTAATAAGTCTTTATTGATTTAAACTACATGTGAAGTGTAAATATCGTAATTAAAATATTTTTGCATTACAAAATAAATACTTAAATTTAAATTTTTTTAATACACTAACTTTTATTTGTAAACTAAAAAATTACTTGTTTATGGACAAATACTGAAAAAAAAAAATAATGCATATTCAACTATACATAGATTTATAGCTTGTTCAGGAGATGGAAACACTTTTTATTCATAATTACAATGATAAATAGATTTGAATAGAAATATACAGTATCTCATTTTGAATTGCAGTTTATGATAGGAATTACAGTCAAAATTACTTTTAAATATTTCATAAGATCTGATATGATGATGGCTTAAAGATGAAAATTTACAAAAATTCTCCAATCTTTCTTCATGAACCTGAAATAATAGTGAAAGATTATATATAAGAATAGCATTATTAGAAAACAAAACATGAATTATTGAACAAAACATATTTAAATATGAAAAAAATAGTGTTAAAAATAATTTACATTTTTTAATTTTTTCAATTTTGCAAGAACTTTTAATTTTTTCCTTCCTAATGTAATAATAAAACTTTAATATAAATTTCAGCTTCCCAGACTTTTTATAATATAAAATTAAAAATTGGTGCATACTGAAGATAGATTTTCCCCTTTTTTTTGTACTGTTCTAAAAAATGATTATTAGCGATTGAAATGGGCTACAAGTGGCGTAGAGCAGATTTCTCTACCTATGTTAACACTTTGCATGCTTTCATCACTAGCAGCGTATGGAGAGTTATAGAGGAAGGAAGTACATTAGTTTTTGTCTTGATTTTCAAATAGATTGAAGAAGAGAGGGAAGGAAGGGAGGAGGTCAAGACATGGTACCTGTCTTCTCCCCAGGTGGCGTATTCAAGCATTTAGATTGCGAATAATAGTTTAATATAAATTGTTACTAATCAGTGTAAATTCACTGTGTGCAAAATTCAGAGAATTTCTTAAACTTTAGCTCTATAAAAACTTGGTATTGTTTCTTGTAAATAAACTTTGTTATGAAAAATTTGTGTAAATCAAGTAAAATTTGTATAAATCAAAATATGACATAGAAAAGATTTTTTTAAAAATTAATACAAATAATATTTTCTTTCTGAATAAAACAGTAAAATTAATATGATCAAGTTCATTTTTAAAATGCTCATCCTTTGGAATTTTAAGTAACAGCTTTCAATTTTAAATTTTAACACAAACGACATAATTAAGACAGTTTTCCACAGGAATCAAGATTTAACTACACAAACCATTTGTCTTACACCACTATTTAGCTCTTTTCTTTTCTTTCTTTCTGTTTTTCATTAGTGTATCTTCACAATGGTAAATTAAAAACCTTCTATTTCAGAATGATGAATTTATCAATGCCATTAAACATAACTATTAAAATTATACATTATATTTCTTAACTGTTATCAAATATCTTGACTTTAGGCTTACTTAAAAAAAAATAACAAATCAGAAAAAAAAACTTTTTTTATTGTAATTTCCTTATTATCATAAACTTGACACACATAGTGATTGAGTTTTTTTTTACTTAATTTATATATATAGTAGTTTTTCTGACTAAGATAAAAATAAACACTTAAAATGTTTCACGGATATTTTTAATTTCACCATTTTGGAAAAAGTTTATTACCAAACAAAAAACGGTGTTTTTTGTAATTATTGATCAAAATTAAGTTATAGGTCATTAAATAATATGCCATTATTTTGCCAATAAAAGATAAAAGTGAGTTACGCCATAAAATTATTTCATATGAAATTGCCCTCATCACCCTTCTAAGGCATTCAGTCAGATCTGCTAAGTAGATAATTGACAAATTTAACTTTATTTTCAATATTCAGGAAACAAAATTAAATTTAAGACACTGAAATGAGTAGATGACAAAACAAACAAAATTATAAAATAATACTTGGGACATCACATCAGTTGCATTAATGAGAAGAGTGGGATTGTTTCCTGCAATATTTGGTTAACATAATATTTTATATTTGATCAGATCAAGTATTAAGGCAGCTTCTGTATTAAGTTTTAGTAGCAGCATTGATCAGAAATCCAGAATTGCTGCAAATAGAATATGTTTTGCTTTTTCAATGAGCAGTTTAATATTTTGCTTTCCAGTCATATTCTAAAAATATGTTCTGCAGAACCTTAGGATTCAATAAAAGAGTTACAGGGGTTTCTACGGTGGACTATTTTTTATGATATTCGAAGCCTTTAATTTCACATCAAACAAATTATACGTTATTTATTTAATATTTCTGTTATTGACATTATATTTTTTTAAGTAATATGCTAGTGAAGATTGAAGAAAAATTAACATTTAAAAATAAATATTTTCTAATAACAATATATTGAATGAATAATAAAAAGAAAAAGGCAATTATAAAAATTTGCAAAAGTATTTTAAACCTTTTCATTTAAAATAGAACTAACAGATTCAATTTTAAAGAAATATGTTTTTCTTATAACCATTCTCAATGCTTATTTTAATCTTTTTCCTATTTTATTTCAAATAGAACCATAATTTAATAAGTTTATTTTTAGCTTATGCATATACAAATACCATATTCAGTACTAGACTAGACGCCCCTCCTCACTTGTGAATTCAACTGTCTGAATTAAAACCTAAGACTGGTATTAAAAAAATTTACGATGAAAAAATTCATTATTCACATTAAAAATTTTCAAATTAAATAGAAGACTATTGGTTTATGTTTCTGCAATTGCTAACGAACTTTATTCATTAAGTATACATGTTCCGTCAAAAGAAGGAAAGTAAATAATTTAGAGAAACAGGCATCTATCATATATAAAAAAGAAATAGGAACTGTAAATCTAAAACGAAAAATGTGAGTAAATATCACTCTAGAAAATAAAGTTTTGAGTGGAATCTAACATTATGACTATTATATTCATATTCACTTGTAGATGGACTGGTTTTCATTGCATGGGCTATAATATATCAACTTGTCCCACTTACATTACCTAATTTGTACCATTCTCTTTAGATTTCACTCTGTATCCTTATTATTTTGAGAATTTTATTTAGTCATTGTATTATTTGACCACGGTTTTAGAAGTCCTGGTCTCCATAACAACTTTAACATATCTATACAAAACGAAGTTTTAACTTAAAAATATTTTGAAAAATGCAGAAAAAAGATGTAATGAAAGAAACAAACCAAACAATATTTTGCAGAATCAAGCAGGTAAAGTAGTTTTTGTAATTTGTATTGCAGGATTATTGGCCAGTTTCAGTGGTACTACACTTGCACTAGGTACTGTAGGTGCTGCCGTTGTAGTAGGTACACCAGCAGAGTATGGTTCTTTAGCAAATATAATTTTAGCATTGCTTGCTTTTAGAGATCTCAGAGTTTTCATTACCATATTGTACTCCAGTTGAGATTTTAGAAGCGCTTCAGCTTGCACAGGACTCAATATTTCCTCATGACACTCCATTACCAAATCTATTTCTATTTGGGCTGCTTTTAAACTAGGGCGTCTTTTTGTACGGCTTATTGAATTATATTTGGAAAAAGTGATTGGTGAACTGGATGGTGGTGTATATACTGCATCTTCAGCTTTAGGCATGAAACTACGTACGGTATTATAAATCTTCTTTGCGGCTTCACGGGCAGCTCTCCTGGATGGTCTCCGACCTTCAGTTGGTTCCTATATTATGTGAGACAATTCGAATCAATTATTGAAAAATTATCAAATTATGTGTGGTTTAATATCCACAAAATTTATTAGGATAATTAATAAAACCACACAATAAATTTAGAGTAAGGAAATAAACATAAATAGAATTGAGAATTTTTTTTTACGTATGTAATATTTTTTAGACTACTATGAATGCCTTTTGCTCTTAAGGGAATTGGATGCTCTATTTTAGGCTACGTTAAAATAGTTTTTTTTTTCTGTTTTAATTTCTTTAGCTGTTTAATTTTACTAATTTTTAAAAATGAATCTTTTTATAAAACATTTCTCAACACTCAAAAGATATTTAATTTCTAATACTCTTTAGTAAAATTGCATAGAATTTTCTTTGCTGTGTACTACCTACAAATACATTCAAAGGGATTCCATTTTTTTTTATGTATGAAAATTATTAGCTCAAAATGTAGATAAAACCCGAGCCAGGACAAGTTTTCAAAAGTGAAACAAATCAAAGTGCTGAAAGTTCAGCCATAGCAGGTTGTATTCGATCCTGCTTACATCAATTGTCATGTCGAAACACTAAAATGCCACTGCACCAGTAATATAAAGATATAATGACTTGCCTAAAAATGGCTACAAAATTTATCCTTTCAGTTTCCTCCATTTTCTGTTTTTTATTAGTTTCTTGCATACCATTGCTGGGAGTTTTGCAGAATCCTTTCCTGTTATGGCATAGGATACAACAAGAAAGACAAACACACATACGAAAAAAGCTTTTGTAAAGTAATTCAATATTTTTTGAAGTGAAGCATCAAACATTAATGTTGGTCATTTTAACAAAGGTTGGGATAGTAAGTTTTGAATCTCCATGAAAGTTAATGTACAGAAGAAATTCCTGCATCTGAAAACTCAGGAATCAAAGTTATTCAATTAAGTTTGATCTGAAGAATTTGCAGTGAAGATATTCAGATAAAAATAACATTAAAAAACAAACTCAAATAAGCCGATTTAATAATATTAAATAAATAAATATACATAAACTAAAGGATAAAATTGAGAATATTTTTTAATAAAAATATTAACTATTTAAATTAAAACTATCTATAAGTGTTTATTTCAAACACTATTCATTGTTTATTCCTCTAACTAAAGTTTATCTTAATTCTCTTCTTTTGTTACATTAATGACTTTTTAAATGTTGCGTTAAAACAGCATAAATATTTAGCTATTTCAAATGATACAAAAACTTTTTCCCCCTTTTACACATAACATTTTTCAAGAAATCATCCTTTGTCCCTTCCTAAAAACAAGGGATTTTAGATGGAAGAAAGAAAGAAAAAAAAAAAACTTATTTTAATTGTAGAAGATTTTCCAAAGAATAAATGATAAAGCATTTAATTTATATGCAAATAAAATAATCATTTGTTTCCAAAATGTAAATTTTAAAGCAAACTTCCTCCATAAAGAACTGATAAGGTAACAATATTTGAAAATATGTTTACAAAAATCTACTTATTAAATAAGCTTCTCAAAAAATTTATGCTTTTATTATTTTTATTTTTAAATAAAGTATGATTAGGGTTTGGTTAGTTAGATATAGAGGGGTCAAATTAATGTTAACTACCTATAACTAAATTAAAAAAAAAACCTCTCTTCATTTTAAATACACCTTTAATGTCATCTTTCATCCAATAAATAACATTATTCTGAGACTCTTCTTATTCTAACAGATATATAAATATAATATATATTTGCATTTTTTGTTCATATCTCTCATTAATTAGTGCCAAATAAAGTTATTTCACCTTTTGGGATCTTTCCAGCCTTTGGAGAGTTCATTGAAAATTTTGAACTTTGCTTCCCTTGTAATTATGTTCATGATTTTATTGAAAAATAAATTTGTAAATAAATTATTGACCAACCATATTAGTTCTCATAAAAATGGCATATTAGTTGATCAACTGATTTGCTAGACATCATGAAAGCCAGTTTAATGAAAGAGATTTTAGTATGGATGTATTTAAATCTGATGGACATCTTCAGTAATTCAAATACTATTTAAAATTTTTTTTTAATTTTTTAGTTTTATTTGAATCTTTTTGTACTTTAACAGTAAAAGAAATTTGTGTTGAAAGTCAGTAAAAAATATTTGTGTATCTTTCAGTTCTCCTTCAATTTTTATACAATTCACTAATAAAAAATTTCAGAATCCTTTTATTATTGTAGTTTTTAACACACAGTAGTATTTTTTTTAAAAAAAAAAAATTTCAACATTGCTATAAATCAAATAAAAATTGACTACTAATTTAAAACTATTTAAATTAAATGTTCTTTTAGTCAAAAATTATAAACTTGATTAAACAATGTAATGCAAACTAAATTAATAAGATACATAGTGTTTGATTATCTAAATTGAGTAAACATTTATATCCACTTTGAAAAACATTTTTTTTTAATACATAAAAATTCACAATTTTTAGTGTATCTTACAATCTAATATTATAATGCACAGAATCTTTCTTATTTTCATGTATTTTTCTCTTTACTTTAAGAACAATTTTTCCGGTAGTAAACAAACAATTGATTTCATTTTATGCCAAATAAAGTTAAACCAATGGTTTATTTTTGCATACTTAATTGACAGTCACAGTAGTCTCTCTTTTAAAATTACTATAATACAATTGATTTTATTGCTATACTAATAATGTGATAGTTATTTAACTAATAAGATTTTTAATAAGTCCCCGAGTTTATAAATACATAGTTTTAAATTTTCTATTTCCAAATCATTGGGTTGCTTTAAATTCTTCCAAAAAATATTTCACGAATAATTTTTCAGTCAAGTGTAGACTAGGATGAATTTGGGATTGGGCTATGTACCTTAGAGCTCATACTTTTCTATCTTGATTTCTAATAAATTGAAAATCTCAAGGTAATTTTCACTGTTTTCTATAGGAACATAGAAATTCATCAAAATAAAAGAGGAACCTAAGTGTGAACTTGTATAAATTTTTTAACATAGGTTGGACCCAGGGCCGGATTAACCTATAGGCACGTGCCTAGCGCCTACGAAAAACTTGGGAGAAAAAATTTTTTTGACAAAAATAATTTAGCTTTAAAAACAACAAGTGTATTTTGCACAAAATTATGAAGATACAAATAAAAATATAATATTTTTCGGTAATAAATTATTTTGCAGAATCTTATGATCTAATATATTACTTTTTTGCGATTTTTGGATTCAACGAAATCTTGTATTATGCTGTCGAATTCCAAACTACGCAAAATGTCGTATTCAATAGACATAAGTGCGAGCGATGCCAAACGATCTTGATTCATTGTTGAACGCAAATAATTTTTTATCAATTTTAATCTGGAGAAAGATCTTTCTCCTTCTGCATTTGATCCAAGAATCGACAAATATATTCTTAATGCAATGTGAACGTTAGGAAAAGTATTCACAAGTTTATCTTTAATTTGAGCCTTCAACATTTCTTGTGCAGATTTATGTTCATATAAATTTGAAAATAGTAAAAATTCATCTACAAAGTTTTTCTCTAAATCGGATGAGTAAATTTTCACCAAATTTTGCGCTTTTAGTTTAATCTCAGATTCTGACAAATTTTTGTGTAATTTCCTTGTAATTCGGGTTCGATAAAACATCGATTAATGACACTTTTTGGTCGATCCAGAAAACTGGGAAATTCAGACATCCGGGATAGCGATGGTCCCGAGCATCCCAGATAATTGGTTCTCTACTGTATAAATATTTCTTGTAATTAATCTCACTATCAATTTCACTGTTTTCTTTGCTGGTTTGTTGTTGTATTGTTGACGTGAAGTGTTTACATAGTTATCGATCGAACTAATCATAATGGTATTATCGATATCAACTGCAATATCGGCAGTATGTCGGTATTGCAGATAAAGTTCGATAAACAAATTTGTAAATTAAAATCCATATTAATAAAAATGTAAAAAAAAAATATGCAAGAAAATTTTAGCATATATTTTGAAAAGAAGGGAGGAGTGGGGGAAGGAGGGGAGGGCCCAAAAACAGCAATGCCTAGGGCCTACGAAAGGTATAATCCGGCTCTGGTTGGACCATGTACCAACGTATAAAGCTGCAGGTAGGAAAAAAAGTTTAGCTATAATACAGCTACAGAGTTTGACTAACTTGATTCCTCAACCTAGTTTGACATACACAACCTATGAAATTAGATTGAAAAGTTTTAGGAGTACTATTTCATTAAAATAAATAAAAAAGAACAGACTTATTTGAACATAAAAGTGAAATTAACACCAATTTTTAATAAGTAGAGTTTCTTAATAAAAGTAAAGTCTTTACATGCATTCTCCTTCTGCCACAGATCATGGTATAGAAATCTCCCTAAATAGCTACAGATTATTTGTTTCTGTAACGTAAGAATTATTTTATAAGCAATTTATAGTGTTAGCTTTCATTATTAGTGTAAATTCGTCCTTAATGGACAATTTTTTTGATTCCAAGAATGTCCACTCCACTACACATTATTAAAATCGTAAATTACATGACTGACACACTATGTAAGTTTGAATATGTTCATAAGTAGAAATAGAAGTCTAAGGAGTTTACCAGGAAAATCAGTTGTCATTCTTATTAACAAAATAGGTAAGAGGGGATTTAAAATTATGATATTGAAGAAAAAATAATTGACATCAAAGAAAATAAGCCAAATTATTTTTATTTAAAATTAATATTTGTAATGATAATTATAATGAAATTTGAGATGGAATCATGAATTTTTACAGTTTTTTAACTTACTGTCTTTGCCTAGTTGTTGCTGAAACTTAGTAATTATTTTGACACAAATATTACTGATATGGAAATCATGCCCAAAATTTACTTAAGAAGCATTTTGTGTCATGATCTGTGGCAGAATAATCACCAAGTCTTGGCAACTTCTGAGAAACAACCCATGAGAAACCATTAAAAAACATCATAGAAAAGGGCCACCCCCAAGCAAACCTTTTTTTTTCGTTCTCATTTTTACCGTTTAAAATCCCATTTGTAGTTAGTGTAGCATTATCATAATTCAGAAATATCCCCATGGCAACTTCCAGCTGTAGCTCACTAGAAACTTTAAAAAAAAAAAGAAAAATCACTGAAGGCCCAACTCGTAGCCACCCCTAAACTTGAGTTTTTTTTAAATAACTTGCAAGCTTAAAAATTATCTGGCGAATATTATTACTGCGACAGATCAAGATAAGGAAATATCCCAATTTATCTTAAGCTTGCTATCCTTCACTAAAATATTATCTAAATTGATACCCAATACAATACTTTTCATGTAAAATAATGTATTTAAAAGAAATAAATAATCACTTCATCAGTTTCTGTTTTCGCTGGTGTTTCTTGCTTTATTTTTCCATTTGTTGGCTTAGCGTTGGAAATTTCAACGATTTCTTGGTCACTATCTGATTTATACTCCATAAATTCATCATCGCTGTCCAGTAGCTCCGATTTACCGGTACCCAATTTCAAAACAGGTATAGCATGAGATTTTAACTGTTTCCTCCCTTCACAAAAATCTTTTGGTTTAAAATGCAACTCACAAACTTTCAATCTTCTAATATGGTCAAACCTTTCGACTCCTAGAACTTCTAACCATTCTTCCCTAACATCTTGGTGAGTAGGTAGACTAAAGAAACTCAAATCAGGACGGCGATGAGTTTCATTTCGACAGGATCGAACAGCGCAAGCCATGATTTTAAGAAGTATTTGTGAAATGCATAATACAAAAATATAAAAGTTATTGTTTATTTTCGAAAAATTATGTCGTTTGCGCTTGGCTTTTGCAAACTAAAAATAAAAACAATTTTTAAATTTTATGTTAAGTTTGAACGATTAGCTTATAGCTCAATTATAATATTAAAATTATATCGATATTTAAGCATCGATATCAGTGTATTTTTTGTTGCCATTCGTGAAATAAATAAATATAAATGGCATTATTATTTTAAGGCTAAAATGTAGCTTGCAGAACCATAATAAAAAAAATGAAAACATGACATCTTTTTCTACATCAACTTTGCTTTTGGCGGAGAGTACACAGTGTTTTTGTGTTAAAATGTGCTAAAATTTACGAGCATCATAACATTATGATGATATCTTTAATAAATTTTGAGTGTGAAGTAGTTTTTCATATTCAACATTGCCTCTATTTGTTGTAAATTCTCTATTTGATTGCGGATATTATGTAGGTTTTTTTTTTGCTCATATAAAACACTGAAAACAATTTACTTAATACGACAATAAGTACTTCTTATTTTTATCTCTTTTTGTCGTCTAAAAGCATAACTATAGCATAGATAAGTAGAAAAATGAAATTGACAGTTCGATGTGATGTATGAACTGTTCGACGGAGGTAAATAACCTGGTAAACTATGCAGTCTATTCGACCAGGTCCAGGTAATAATAGTCTGTACTGTTGTATAAGTGTTTGTAGAAACTATAAAGATCCTACTGCGGCAGTCGATCTGTATCCTTTACCGAAAGATTTATATGAAAGAGGTTTGTGGTGTAAAGTTCTGAATATACCTGACAGTGTACGTGACAACGATTCTACGCGCGTATGTGGTCTTCACTTCCGATATAAATATTTTCTGAACCAGGCCAATCCACCTGCTACCACTTCACAGCAGCCACTTCCTCTCACAATAATTATTAATCAGAATGGTTCTAAGTTTGTTCCTACATCTGTTAACAATAATGCAGTTCAACCCATCTTTCTACAGGTACAGTTTAAAATAACTTTGATACTACAAGATGGTTACAGTTTTTCATATCCATATTATTAATGATACTCTCATATCTTTTATATATACAATATCAAGCCACATATGTATGTTTAGTTTCATGCCACTTTCGATTTTATATTTGAATTACAGTTGTACCTCATTAACACGAAACCGCTTAATGTAAAATATCGCTTTACATGAAACTCGTGTTTGTTCCCGAGAGTCAGCTATCAATTATTATTATTGTGTTTTAAATGTTTATCATGAAATTTTCAAGCTAATAATCACTTAACATGAAAGGAAACTAGACACAATAAAGCTAATAAACATGTGAATTTAGTGCTAATTATTCATTTTAATGAATGCTATATATATGTTCCTGCTTTATTAAAAGTAGTACGTAATATGTATTAATAGTACGTAATAATTTTCATGATGTATCGGATAAGGTGAAATCTATTTAACATGAAATAATTATGATACTCCTGCCAATTTTAGGATAAAAAGATATAACTGTATTATGTTAGAGTTGAGTATGTAAACAGAGAACAGATATAGAAAAATGCACCAGTAAAAGGAACAGTAAACAATTGTAAATTTAAATGTTATTTTTCAATTCTAAAAACCTTTTCATTTAAAATGTTATGTTTACATTTAGTGTGCAGAAGACTCAGGTTTTGCAAGGGACAAATTTCAGGGGTATTTTTGAATTGTGAACTTTCGGGCTAACTACACCCGTAGAGTGCAAATAAATCTTGAGCTTGTAAATTTTTTAAAAAAGTAAATAAATATACAGATGTTTGTTGGGAGCAGTTATGAGTTATATCCTTTGAATTTTTATTTATTTATTATTTTTTTTGCTGCACTGTAGTTTTCAAGACTTGGCTACTATTCTGCCACAGATCAAGATATGGAATATTAATTACAGTCTGTTTTATTATTAAAACTGATGATGTATCCTGAACATTACAAAATGGTTTTTAAAAATACATATTATGTAATTTTTTTCCTTTTGAAATTGGTGGTAATTTATTTTAGGAAGTTAGGTAGCTCTATCACTATTACCACCCAAAGAATTTTATGCCAAAATTTATATTTGAAAAAATTATGCGGTGGTTTTCCCGGCCAGGTACTTAATTACACCTTTCAAGTTGGTTTCTTTCTGTGATGTTTTATTCTTTATTTGCTATGGAATTGACAAATTAAGTATTTTTCTTTACAAATGCATGAGTTGAGTATAAAGCAATTGATGACGCTTATTCAATAATTAAAATGTATTAATAAAATAATTAAATATTAATAGTGGTTTGTGCAGAGGTGGCTGCAAGTTATACTTTTCAAAATTTTTTATTTCTACAATGTTTTATTCTTCATTTGATATTGAATTGACAAATTCTTTATCAAATGAAGAGATCTTTTTCTTTAGAAATTAGGGAGGCTGTTGACTTTGAATAAAATAACTGATTATTTTTCTTCAATTACCATTTTGTAATAACAAAATAATAATAACAATGCAAGTTAATTATTCAGTATTTTAGTTGTTTTTTTATCATACAATATCAGACAAGGCTTTAAATTATTGATGATCTTTTGGCCCGAAACTGCTAAAATCCAACTCAGACCATCATAAAATAAAAACTAGTGGTCCTTCGGATCAGTGATCAAATCCTCATTCTATAGTCAGGGCCAGATTAACCTCTAGGCACACTAGGCACGTGCCTAGGGCCTACGAAATTCAGGGGCCTACGAAAAACTTGGGAGAAAAAAATTTGTTGACAAAAATAATTTAGCTTTAAAAACAACAAGTGTATTTTGCACAAAATTATGAAGTTGCAACTAAAAATATAATATTTTTCGGTAATAAATTATTTTGCAGAATCTTATGATCTAATATATTACTTTTTCGCGATTTTTGGATTCAACGAAATCTTGTATGCTGTCGAATTCCAAAACTACGCAAAATGTCATATTCAATAGACATAAGAGCGAGCGATGCCAAACGATCATTGTTGAACGCAAATAATTTTTTATCAATTTTATTCTGGAGAAAGATCTTTCTCCTTCTGCATTTGATCCAAGAATCGACAAATATATTTTTAATGCAATGTGAACGTTAGGAAAAGTATTCACAAGTTTATCTTTAACTTGAGCCTTCAACATTTCTTGTGCAGATTTATGTTCATACAAATTTGAAAATAGTAAAAATTCATCTACAAAGTTTTCCTCTAAATCGGATGAGTAAATTTTCACCAAATTTTGCGCTTTTAGTTTAATCTCAGATTCTGACAAATTTTTGTGAACAAGAAAACCGAAATTATCGTACAAATCACTGTAAGCTTTACGCCTTTTAGTCATTTCTGAAATTAATACATCTAAAATGGCGTAATACGTTTCCATACGAAGAAAATTTTAGCATATATTTTGAAAAGAGGGGAGGAGTGGGGGAAGGAGGGGAGGGCCCAAAAACGGCTATGCCTAGGGCCCACGTAAGGTATAATCCGGCTCTGTGCCTAGGGCCTACGAAAGGTATAATCCGGCTCTGTCTATAGTATATTGATATTTTCTGATTTGGTATTTCGTTTTGATGTTTAATCTGTGTTTCCGTTTCCTTGAATATAAAGTTTTCTTTTTAATTTTTCATTCATTTAAACTTATATGACATTTTTTTTAAAGCTTTGACATGATTAAGATTATTATTTGACATATTAATAATTTTTTTTTTTTTTAAATCATTGGTTTAAACAATTTTTTTTTTTAAGTAAATCATTAAGTCGGGAATACTTTTATAAAAATTATTATTTATAATATATATTCAATTAAGTATGAAATTAAGTAGGAAAAAAACTTAAAAATAAAAATAAGTCAAAATGGAAAAGCACTAAAACTAAATTTGTCTTATGTGAACAATTTAAATAAAAAGTTGGAAAGCAAAAACGAAATTCTTAAGATATGTAGCAAAAACAGCACTTTATCAGGGGGGCACATGGGAGCCTTTCTGTAGTGTTTGCAGACAGTCTGTCCCCTGATGAAATGTTGTTTCTGCTAACATACATATCTTTAGAATTTCTTTTTTGGTTTCTAACTCTTACTTAAATTATAAATATATTCTTATCTTAACATTATGCATGTCTGATTACATTGATAATGAAGGTTTAATCCAAGGAAATAATGAAAGGGGAATGAATGCAAATTATTGTATTTCAAAGCTGACTAACCAAAAAATAAATTAAAAAGAGAGATGAAAATGTAATATGAGTGGGGTAGAAATTTTAAATTATAAGTTTTCATTAGCTATAAGCAGCAAGTATTTTTTTAGTATAAAACATTTTTAAATTATATACCAATTTAGATTTTTGAAACTTATTAAATATGTTGTTAGTAATTAATAATGAAGAAAGACTTGCTTTACCTGAACAGAAGTTTTATTTATTTTTTATTCTGCTTTGAATATCTCACAAATTGCTTCCCTGTCTTTACCATATTAGGGTATCAAACCGATGAATAGTTTTAATTAAATAATATTTTTAAATGTATTAGGTAGAAATATTAACTATTCTAAATAATATTTAGTATTGTAAATGTATTAAGTGATTTGGTTGTTAAACATAAAAAAAATCTGTATATAAAAAAATCTGTTTCCTGTAAAAAAGTCTGTTATATTTGTAGACTAGTTTCTCAGGTTCCTTTTTTCGAGTTTCCTTTTCTTTATAAATAATAATTGAAGATATCTTGAAATACTCATGTTTTTTAATGAAACTGGGATATCTTAATTCTAATAAAGGGTAAGGTTCCTTATACTCAAATCTACCTGGGGTTATGGGGTATCTGCTAAAACATTTTAAGGACCACTTTGGCATCTCCTGTCATTCTAGGTATAAGGTTCCGTATATAAGGTTATGTATTATCGATTAAATAAATCTTTAATTTGAATCAAATTCTGAAAAATCAGAAATGCTCAACATTTTCAACAGGTAATTTTTTGAATTACAGAGCAAGAAAAAACGAGTAGGGCCAGAAAAGCCCACTTATCTTTCTAGTATTTAATTTTAATTTTTGCCTTATTAATTTCTTCTAGAATCCTGTTCTACCTCAGCCATCAGTGTCTAACACAATCGGTGGAGCAAAAATTATTCAAGGTTTTGTACCAACGATACCTTTCACACCATCTCAAGCTACTATTTTACCAAATAAGGCTGTTGGGGAAGTTACACCTTCCAATTTACTTGCGAAAGGGGAACTTTTCTTAGATTGTGAAGAAGAAACTTTAAGTGCTGCACAGTTATCTGCAAACGACACAGACTGGAATGCATTTACCAAAGAGGTTGAAAATGTGACTATTTCTTCAGTTCTCAACACTTCTCAGGCACAAGAACCTTCATCAAACCAGACAATAACTATTATAAGTCCCGAAAAGTTAGGCCCCCCGAAAACCATTTTACCAAAGCCTTTAAATTTCCAATCTGGGGGGCCCGTCACTATACCTGCAAGTTCGTTGAACCAGCATTTAATAAAATTTAATCCATTTCCAAATTCACCTGCTCCTTCCAACAAAACCTACGCACTTAAAATTCCAGAGATTGAAAAGGGTAGTTTGTCACAATCTACTTCAAATTCAGGACCTCGGTTCATTAAGATTGTACCACCACAATCAGCAGCGCAAACTGCTACAACATCTAAATTTACAGGTGCACCACAGATTCTGCGACTTAGAACTGAAAATTCTACTGGAAACATTCAAATTGTTAATCCACCAACTGGCGTAATGCCTCAGATTATAAAAATAGGCAACCAAACTTTACAGCTTATTTCAGCTACTGTAGGCCAGCAGAAAGTCGTCACTGTGAACGAAACAGCTAAAATACCTGTAGGAGTCCCTGCATCTGGATTTGCTACAGTAGCAAACAATCAACCGGTTGTTGAAAGTTCATCTCTACTGGGAGGTGACGTTTTAATGAATTTCAATGACAATGATGTGCCATCTTTACCATCATTTTTGCAGACAAATGTAAGTTTGTATTTTTTTTTATGTTATCAAATTTCTTGACCTATGTAATGATTTTAGCATTGTGGTCACATAAACTGCCTTTTCTTTCCATGCAAACTGGTGTCCATTGATCTAAAGCTGGGTGGGATTCAAGATAATGTTATTTATAAGTTGTCAGATTCATAGGTGGCTGGTTGGTCTTAAAACCATGCTTGGCTTTGATGTCAAAATTTTTTTTTTAACATGGCATCCCTCAAAACCGTACTTTATTCTTTATGTTATGTTGCAGTTAACAACTTTACGCAATTTTCTTTGCAGATAACAATTTAAATATTATATTCTTAAATATTTTAAAAATTTTGTTAGGGTTCACACCATTATGGCGACAAATGTCGCTAAGATCATACACATTTGCAACAAATTTGATGTCTTTGAAATATGCTTGAAATTTACAAAATAGTTATGAAAGATAGTTTTTCTTTGTCTTATTCTATTCAATTTAAAAAAAAATTTGTACTAGTTTTAGTGTGCTACTAGTGTTATGAAGTACAAATGCGAGTATTCAAATGAAATAACAGATGTCTGGTGCAAAAAGTTTTGTTGAAATTTCAAATTTAAATGTTGTGCTACCCTTTGCATTCAATAATTGTTCAACAATTAAATAATACTTTTTATTCTTTTAGAATTGACTTAATATAAAAGTTAATATTTTTTATATAATATTATGTCACCTCTTCCTTTCTCTGTTTTCCTCATTTATTTATTCTTTATCTCTTTGTTGAATCTATTTACTAATAATATTTTAGCTTTTTTTTCCACTGAATTTTAATAAATACTAATCTTTAATCGTTATGGAGTAATAAACCTAATTAGTTTTAGGGTGTTATATTTAGCAATTAATAATTTTTGTTGTATATGAATTCTGTAATTTTTGATGTAACATGAATTGTAAAGTTTGAGTTTTTTCCCATGTTTGTTTGCCATATTAAGTTTTTGAACCACTAAATGAATACCTAAATTCCTATTGGATCACTAAATTTTCATTGCTGGTGTGAACTCTACATCCCCGTGGCAGAATCATGGCGACATTGTCGCAGAATGTTACCGAGTTCTCTTGCAGAAAGATTTTCTTTGGGAAGTAAAAAATTTTGGTTTTCTTTTCTGCTGAAATTTTTTTATTTTTTTTATGGAGTTATTGCTATTGATTTCCACATAATTTTTATAATCCTTTATTTTTAATGCAATATTGTTTATTACAGCAACTGAAACTCGAAATGAAAACACACATTTAGTAACCCCTTTTCGAATACTCCGACTCGCATGATTTCGCCGTCAATCTTTTTTTCAATAGTTAGAGCTACGGATTTCAAAATTTTTTTAAAAATATTTTTTTTCAACGCGATGATGATTTACGAAAAAGGAAATAATTAGTGTGTTTTCCCCCTACAAAATGCGAGGATATCGGCAATTATATTAGAATTTAAAAAATTCTACATATTCAAATAAAGTTATCTTGTTTTAATTTAACCGAAAAGTTATTAATTAATTTAATTTTGAAGTTGACACTTCTGTTACTTTAAATTAGTGACATGTATATTTGTTATTTCTGTAAATATCTTACAGAAAAATATAAGTATTAGAGAGGCATGTCGCAGAAAGCCCGGAAAAATTTTGCCTTAGGGCCCTACATATTGTTTTAATGTATTATCAGTCATAAATGATTTTATAAGCATTATTGAACAACCGACCGAATTTTCAGTTTATGACTACTCCATATCCTTGTAATTTTGAACCCAATCTAGAAGCCAAGGGAACTTCTGGATCAAGTACTGAGATAAATTTACCTTTGTGGAGGACTTTTTGATGAAACTAACCCGCATTTGCGTTACATGGAGAGGAAATCCTGACAGCGGTTAGCTTCACATGCCTGATGGCAAGGGGACTCAATCCCATGATCCGTCTACCACTGAGGTTATTTTACGTTAGCACTGTGGTTTATGCAAGCAGGGTGTAGAATTCAAACCAACCAGCCATTGCCGGGATTTGAACCTGCTTCACCTCATTGGGAGGCGAGCGCTCTATCCCCTGAGCCAAAACGACTCAATCATAAATGATTAAAAGATTTTAGAAGCAGCCTTGAAACTAACATTTTGCTCTTTGTAAAATATGACAAATATACTTAACAAATTTGTGCCCCTTAGAGAATTTATTTTAATAATGATATCCATTTAGCATCTATATTTTTAATAATACACTTGATTATCAGTACTTAATCTTGTGATATTATTCCAAAATTTGTAACTAAAGGTATACTAATTGAAAAACCTATACTATTTTGTTTAATTAAAACCACAATTGTATTCAAAATGGCATTTTTAATAATCAAGGTCATTGTGTCGAAGCATGCAATGGTCTATGTTTTTGTATTCTTTTTTACCTGGCTATAGAAGTACATTATATTTTTATCAATAATATTAAGTCATTTTTCGTCGAATTTCTTTTATAACTTTTTTGGTTAAATGTAATGCTTTTAAATTTAAGTTACAATGTCACCAAAGAACTGGGTTTTTGACAGGACAGTAAAAACTGTGGGGGGAACTGGTTAAAACAGTCATTTCAAAATACTTGCCAGTCCTGCTTGAGACCACTAAAACATGACAATAATCATCATGGTCTGCTGAATCAACCGTCGATGTTTCTATTCAAGTGTTAAAGCAAGAATTTTATTCATATTTTCATCACAAAATTTGATAAAGTAACTGTCAAAAATTTAAAAATTTTGTTAAATGGAATTCTAAAAATTATAATAGTAACTGAATGAATTTGTTAATTTCTTTATTATTCATATCTGATTTTAATGTATGTTTTAAAATTGTTTATATTTCTATGTAGTAGCTTTAAGAATTATGTTAATAATCTATTTTTATAAAAATTATCAGTTCAATTTTGAATTGTGAAAAGCAAGGCTTAGCATTTTGTAGATTGTTTTTTTTTATTTTATTTTATTTATTTATTTTTTTTATTTTATTGTTTAGTCATTATATTTAGTTGTATTTGTAATTTCAGTATATCCTACAAAAAAGAAGTAGAAATACAAATAATATGAGGTTAAAACTTTGGAATTTTTGCCTGACCTTGTTCTAAATTGCAGCTTATGTTATGGGATAAAAAAATTAGAGAATATATATGTATATGTAAAAAAAAGAGGTTTCTTCATTCAGAAAAAATGTGAATAATTTTTTTTATCTGATTTCATTGCTTAAAAAGCATACTTTACACTCCTTTTAGCATTTATGGTCTACTCCTCATATTATTTAGAATTCATCATTGCACATTTAAGTTCCTTATTCAGAAATTACACTTTTTTATAAATTTAACGATTTAAAATAAAAAGTGAATTTTTTTCCCCATGATATGTAACATGATATGTAAATGGTTTTGGTTTACTGAGTCGTAATGAAAGAAAAAGTTATTTTTCAATATTAGTCAGAATATGTTGCATTTTGTTTAATGAGAAAAAAACCTCTTAAATATCATAAAAAGGGCATCAGACTGTTCTGTAGCGCATTTAAGTTTTTACAAAATAGTTATGAGCATTGTTTTCCAAAATAACAATCTAATATTGTATCTCCTTGAATCTCTGTTAATATAATGTTCTTTTAATATGATAATGTAGTATATTTTTGGTAAAAGTATTGTATTATAGTTTTGGTACGCTAGATGTTTTTAAACTTTTGCAAAACTTAATTTTCAACGTTTAAAGTGCAGATTAACTTTTAATCTTTTGAATATTTTACTTTATAGACATCTAACGAAACAGCGATTCCGATGAGGTTAGAAAAAGCAGATGAATCTGCTGATAGGATGACCCCTAAGGGTGAAGTAATTTTACCTCTTTTGCCAAAAGATAAGGGTGAGCTTTATATTTATAATTATTTCATATCTAATAAGTGAAGTTATTTTGTAGCAATTGTACATTAATTAATTTTAATTTTATAGCAGGAGAGACAGAGTCAATATTATCAGATAGTGTAAGTATTACATTTCCTGTCCTCTATTTTAAATAAATCAAAGCTCTGTGATTTTATACTTTTTTTCCTTTTAGCTCAACTTTTTCTGAATTAAAAAACTGAGCCACGGGCTATATAATTTATAAAATAATTCCTTAAATATTTTACTTAATATTTACTCCGGGATAGCCTGGTTGGCAAGGTGCTGAACTCACGTTTGTGAGAATAGAACTTCAAAAAAAAAAAAAGAATGTAAAAAACTCCCCGTATAGTAAATGGTGACTAGTGCACATTAATTTTGTCGGGTTATAAAGTCCTCCATGTTCCTATATCGAATTATACCTTTGGAAGTACTGAATTGGAGATTGATCGTACTTTGGTTCAGGTCAAAGTTACGATCTGTTGTTGAATTAATGGATTTGTAAATCCATTCATTCAACAACGGATTTGTAATGGGTTCACCCTATAAAACGGGTGTGGCAGAAGTCGAATTCTTAGCCATAGAGATATAATCTAATATATATATAGTTCTCTTACGGTGGCTCCCAAAGTTTGGCTGTATTTCTTTTCCGCCGGTGGCAACAGTTTTCATTTTAAAAGAAATACTTTGTACAACTAAATAAGATTCTTTTCACAACACTTAAATATTTACTTTATTTTCTTCATATATACAGAGAACAGTCGGCAAAGAATTCTGTTAGGTTAAAAAACATTTCGCTAAAAAAATAACGAATTCTAAAAGAAATAAAAATGAACAACTTAAAAAATAAAAATGCTGTTGCCAGCCATAGAATTTTTTGAAAGTTAACTTAGCAACATAAATCAAAATGATATAGAAGCGCAACTAGATCAAAATTATGATTCCTGAGTGCTTGACATAACAAATCCTTCAATTCTATAAGTGTTGTATCTCTAAATGCCCAGATAATATTGAAATGTACAGGTTTAGAATTTTTTACAGTGAAGAGTTTTCGGAACTTCAGTATTAAAAAAAGTATACAAAAACTAGACGTTAAGAACGTATCCAGTGCGCGAGCATTGGATTGCGAAGCAGTTCCGGAGGTTGGCGAGAGCCAGCGAGCAGGGGGGGAAGCCTCCTAGTTTATAAAATAATTCCTTAAGTAAATATTATTTTAAATATTTTTCTCCAGGATAACCTGGTTGGCAAGGCGTTGGACTTACGTTCGTGAGAATAAGAGCTCAAAAACAGGGAGCCAAAAACTCATTCAGTCATTTTTTTTATTAATGTTTGTTTGCATGAAATTAGAATAAAATGTTTTTTTTTTAATAATATTTTTGATGTTAAATTGTTTTTTTTTAATTATTTTTTTTAAAAATCTAATTAATCAATTTCTGCTGTTGAGAACATTTTGAGATTAAAAACCTCTTTGTATTTACACATGAGTTTAAAATCTGTGGATTTATGTACCTCACTCAAACTTTCTTTTTGGTAATTTAATATATATGTATAATTATTATAATGATCTGTTTATGGCTTTAATTTCAGCAGTTTAAACTTTTCACAATAGTAAATTAAAAAGAGAATTTTAATAATAAGTGTTGTGTCCATGTTTTTTATGATCTTAAACCTAAGTGAAAAATAACTTCACTTTTACTTTATTAGTGTGAAAGTTCTATATTTCAAAATCAACCATTTTTTTAAAAGTATTTGTGTTATCAGTGTCATGATCATAAATCACGGTGCATAGCGTTTTTAAAAAGTGCCCAAAAGTGCCTATTTCGATTTTTGTTTATTAAAAGCCCTTAATAGTGCTTTTTTTCATTGGGTGTTTTTAAAAAGTACTTAATTTTCTCTTTTCGAAAATGGGATTTTTCTCTTTACCATGTCAATTTTTGATATGTATCATACGAAAACGTGCTTTTCACATTATTCTATTCAAAGTGCCCATAATTCATTCAACCACAATCGATTTCAACTTACTGTCGGTTCATAGAGTATGAAAGCGAAAATCATTTTACATGTCTGATGAAATACTTCTGAGTCCGCATGTGCGTCGACTGAGCTGGGTTCGATAATATTATTGCACCCTGTTGCATTTTGCAAGATATTTTTAATTTCAGGCTTCATTTTCCACCCTCTGATATCGAACCGAAAAATCTCTTGATCATTTTATAAAAATTAATATAATCTATAATATAAGCATTTATTTTGCATTTTGTTAATGTATATAGTACTTAGAATATTTTTTAAGTGCTTNTGACACGCGGGTGTGTCGGCCGGGAAGTGAGCGCGTTTCTTGCTGTCACATATATGTGACAGTCGGCTCGAAAGGGTTAAAGGATGCTTATTGTTTGTTGAAAGATTTGGCTACTCACCTTGCAAATTATATTTTTGCGTTGGTGTTTATAAATTCAGACCTGCTTTTGAAACATCTTTTTTAGTGTTATCCCACTACTTTTTTTTGTATTATTTTTCTCGAATTGCCCTTTAATTTCTTCAAGTCATTGCTAAAATTCTATGATAAGATATATCTAGTTTTTAAAAAGAATTTTCTATTACAATATTATGTCTGGTGCGGCTTTGAAGGTAACTACACCAGACTAAAAGTCTGGGACTGTCTGCTGCTATGGTAACTAGCAAGAGCATATTTCTAATGGGGATGTGCAGTGGAGGAATGAAGGTGTCGATTGGTTTACTCACGCTGACCTATGCCAAAATTAAGACAAAACGATTCACCCCTATTCTAAGTGACTTTTCCTCCGCCACGAAGCGAGACTGATGTCTTGAGGAATTGTCCTGTAAGCCGCACTATATTTATTTATTTTTTTTATGTTTCAGGTACTGTTGTCTGCATCTTCGCCGTCTCCTTCAGGTATGTTATGTATATGGATATGTATTGTTAGATTTGTAAAAGTTTGATATGTATTGTAGATCAAAAGTTGAGTTTGAGATTTGTTTTGCTAGCATATATTTTAAAACTTTAAATTAAAATTTATTTGTAATTTTTTTAATATATGATGATCTTGGGTTTTTATCCAAAAGCCTCTTAAGAAAACTGAAAAGAGGTTGCCTAACATTTATTTTTTTGAGAATAATATTTTGTGTTTTAAATTTCATATGAAACATTTGTATTTTTTTAAATATATTAAATATTATGTAGTCTTGTTCATTGCTTCATGTTAGATTTATTTATTTTTATTTATTTATTTTTTTGTAGAGATGATTCATTTATTTTTTCAAAGTAACTAATTTAATTGAATTTATATTTTTAGTGCAAATGTTTGTTTTAAAAATGTCAAAATAAATAAAAAATGGGAGTTTTTATTCAAAAAAGTTTAGAAAACAATAGTTTAGCCTGTTTCTTTAGTTTTGAAAACAATTACTTAGCTTTATATATATGTGAAGAAGCTCTAAGTTACTAACCTAAAGCCTTTTCATCATGCAAAAAGGTCCCAGGCCCGTTAGAGAATCTCTCTTTTAACAGTTTATTAAAGTTCCAAGAATGCAAACACTAAGTGTGGGGAATTGTTTAAATGTATATTAGAGATTTATTGATTTTGCCATTTGGAAGCTTGTTCTCAAGAAATAATTGCAAGACGTAATCTTTATTTCTTCGACAATTTGATTTTCTTTTAGTTAAGAATAGAATTCTTAAAATGTTTTTTGTTCTGACGTGAGAGAAAATAACTGTTAAGTGTTGGAAATATTTTAAAGAGATATAGAAAAAAGATCATAGTAAGTACAGTTTTAACAAAGAGTAATAATTGTGTAACTTGCAACAGTTCTTGATAAAAATAATTTTTACACATGAATATCAAATGGCCTTACTAAAAAAACCTATTTTACGTTTTTATATACATATGAATGAGTTTATGCAATAACTCTTGTGTGTATCATACAGTGGTAAGTCTAACATTTAATTAATTTAAAATTGTCTGATAAAATAAATGTTATTAATAGATTAAAATGAATGAGTAAACAGAGGTTAAGATTAACTTTTTCTTTAAAAAATAATTCTTTATTATGAATGAAAATGGATCATATAAAAAATATTAATCGAGGAATAGAATTTAGTTTATTTTTTTATGAAAACAATTCGAAAGAAGATATTATATTTAAAACATGAAAAAAATTACTTTTAAGAGAAATACGATTTTAAAATTTATACTAATCTGTTTATAATTTAAACCAAAATTTACCTGTCTGCTTGCATTTCTTTCAAACACTATTAGTCTATAGTTTATTCCATTTATGGAAGTGTTGTTTTCTTTTTTTTTTCGGGGGGGGGGNGGGGGGGGGAGTTGAGTTTTTTAATAAAAAAAAAAGATATTTGTTTATTTTGATTCTTAAAAAAGGGTTTGGAAACCTGGAAAATGGATCTCAGGATATGCGAGACTTTGTTCTTTAATGTATATATGTATTTTTATATTTGTATATTCTTTACTTAATTCTTTTATAATGGACAATTACAGTCAAATTTTTTTATAATTTTAATGCATTCAGAATCCCTCAAAACTCCCAGAAAACATTTTATTACTTTTCTAAGAAGGCTATTTATTTAGTTATTTTCAATCAGAAAACGCTTACTTTCGTTTTCGCCTGAAACGGGGAGTCACGTGATTATTCACGAACTGACGTCACACGTGCCCATCTGCCGTTCACTTACAATAGCTGTGCTGTGAAAACCAATACGTTCTTGCTTTCGTTTAAATTTTCTAATTAAATCCAACCATTTTAGATGGTCTAAAGCTATCTGTATAAAAAATTGAACCTTAATATCGCTTAATAAAAATTTGGATTTGATATAACGTATTTTTATAATGTTACATTTCAGTGGTACCCACTGAAACATTGTTAATACTTGACGAAATTTTCTAGCTCGGAATATTTAAGATTTTTTAATTCAATAAAAAAAGTGCATGGTATTGCTTATAAATTATGCGTTATAAATACAAAATAACTTCGTTTTTTCATTTTTTAACTATAATCTTAATTTTAATGTATACTTCAAGTTCTTTTGGAAGATTTATTTTCATCTTAAGTGAAAGAAATGTTGGATCAATTTCTTATGTAGAATAAATAGTTTCAGATTTTAAAATGTAGGACAGCATAAGTTACTGATAATTTTTATCTATTTATTCTAGCGTGAATTCAAAGCATGTAATTGTCTTCACAGCAGTAGCCTCTTAAAAAACTTGTGATCCCAGCAAAACTTTAATATATATATAAATATATATTCCTGCAGATTTTATTAACTTTGCTTTAACTGTCTTAATCTATGCTATAAGTATTTGAAATCAAGCATATGCATTTATTTAGTTCTTTATTGCAGAAATAGGAATAAAATTTCATAAATGCATATACAAAAAATTTTCGCCATAGCATAGTTCCTATTTACTCAAAAAATAAAAATATTGAGAAAAAATATCAACGTTACTGTTTATTTTTTAATTATTTAATAAATTATTAAGAATGTGCATTAGAATTTCTTTCCATTTTGTATAAGTTAATTTTTTATTTTTCTTCTCTAGCTTTAGTGAAACAAAAACTTCCAGCTTAATGATATTCGCTGAAATTTTGTGGATAAATAAGTTAATTAGATATGGATAAATGAGAAATTAAGTGAAATTTTAAGTATAACTAGATTATGGTGATGTTGATGGTCAGATATATTTCAATGGACTAGATTCTTGAAAGTGTTGATACGTTTTCGGCTATACCGTATGCATAACCTGATATTTTTTTAAAACTATTTTATTAAATTTTTTTTAATTAAAAATGTATAATGTATTAATTTTACTATTTTAGAATTCTTCATTGCAAGCACTGACAAATAGCTTGCAAAAATAAGGAGAGAAATTAACAATAACCATACTTTATTAATACTATATTGCAGAAAAAGGAATTAAAATTTATAAATTTAAAAATAAAAATAATTTCGAACTGTAACGGAATTCCTATTTAAGCTAGGAATAATAAATATAAGCGTTAATGTGTATTTAAATATTTAATACATAGTGAAACAAACAAAAAAAGATGACATAAACTGCATTAGTAAGTATTTACTTAAAAAGAAAATCCTTCAACTCTAGTAATAAATAAATAAATTAAAGAAGCAACATTAAATTACATTATTTGAATTTTTGATCATTAGCACATAGATTGTAACGATGATGGACTGATATTTTTCAATGGACTAGATTTATGAAAATACTGATTTGTTTTAATGCAATAACGAATTATAAAATCATCCATCCTATATCAAAATGTATAAAATTTCTATCCAATCTGCGACTTATTTTAATTAAGTAATTAGGTTGTAATGAAGCATTAATTTAATTTAAAAGTAAGTGGAATGAAATAGTATTTTCTATGAACTTTAACACTACTGATTTCAGCCGAAAAGAAATGTTGATTCGCTGTAAAGAGCTACATAATCATTTCTTCAGATATTTTAATGATAAATAACAACGTTTGAAGTTTTAAAATCTTTCTTTCATTTTGCACACACTCTCAGAACCGTAAATTTAATTCACAAAATTTTTACTGATAATTTACAAAGGATGTTCATACGATATACGTGATATCAAAACTAAAAGAGCATTGAAATAGCCTTAGCGGATGGAGACGGCACGTTTCCCTTCGGCACATTTGACGTCATAACCAATCAGGGGTGTTTTTGATTGCATCACTTACGGAGGCCTTTTGTGGCAATTTAAATGTTTAATAACTAAATAAATTAACATTTGCCGCAAAAAACAATCAGATTTTCGGTTTCAGGGGAGAATTTCCAATAAATTAGGTATGAAAATAAAAAAATTTATGATGTGCTGTAATTGTCCATTTACAAATATATCTTTTTTAAAAAAAATAATAATGAATGTAAATATTTGTGAAGGTAATGAAGAAGAAGAAATTGTGGTTGATGTTGATCTGAGTAATGTGAGTATTTTATGTAACTAACTTTGCTCTTCTAAAACAATTTAATTTTTTGATTGAACTCTTGTATAAGTCAGCATTAAATCTGCATTGAAACAGATTATTGTAAATAATTTAGACTCCATAAGTTCACTATTTATATAATTTGACTTAAGCTGAAATTTTTTAATTTAAAAATTTTTCTTTATTGCATTGCATGGGCAAATAGAGTGGAAAATCCTGCCATAATGTACCTTGCATTATATATTTTTAGTACTTTCTTTACATTTTTTCATCTTTATAAACTACTTTTATTTTTCATTGCAGAGGGATACTATTTTGGTTTCTATTATCTGTACCCGAGGATATTTTTAACCATGTAGATTACTAAAGGAATTTAAAATATATTAGAAAATGAAAAATCTAAAAAATTAACTTTTGTAAATGCCTGATTATTTTTAAAATTTTTTAAATATATTAAAGTATTATCTGAAGTATTTCATGATTTTTTCTTTCAAGTTTTTATTACTTTTAATCACTATTGTAAAAACACATGTGAACTTATCTCATAATATCAAGAAAACTGAGATGGGCACAGTAGGCCATTTCCCTCTATGGGCTGTCGCGCCACTGAGTTTAGTTTTTAATTAGTTTTAATTGGTTAATTTAAGTATGAGAGTTGTGACTTAAGTACATGATAAGTATATTTTAAATGACTCAAAAATATATTTGATTGAAATTATATTTTTTAAAAAATGGGGAAAAAGGAAAGATTTATATTGAAAAAATTAACCATTGAACTGAAGAAAATTCTTCTTTTAGCTTTTTTTTTAAAACAATGTTGACTGCATATTTATATGAATGCATAATAATATAAAATAAAACTACTGTATTGAACAACATATGAACACTTTAATCGTATAACATGCTATGTTTCTTTTTTCCTCCTTATTTTTAACACTCTATAATAGAAAAATTTTACGATTCAGTTAATTATTTATTCACCTTTACTTGATCACCACTGCTCAAGTGTGAAGTAATTACTTTGCTTGTGCATTACTATTTTAGAACAAATATCTAGGAATTTTTGTACAAATTTGTTGAAGGTGTTCAACATTTAAAAGATTAACTTTTAAAAGCTCATTTTAAAATTTTATATCCAGTGTGTTATGTTTATTTAGTAAATTTGTTTTAGAGACTTATTTTAAACAGAATTCCTTGTGTTACTATTTTAATAGTTTAAGAAATAAGTATGATTTTTTTTTATTTATCTTAATTGTAACTTTTTTTCATTGAGTGCAACAAATCATTTTGATAGGTGACGACTGTGTATGATGATGAGTCTATACCCAATTCAGCAAGTTCTGAGCAAAATACTGTGATAAATATCCCGGTTCAATGCAATAACGGTAAGCATTTGTTTAATTTATTTCACTTATATTATCTTTCTAATATATTTCAATTATAAATTTAGAGTATAGTATAGTTAAAAAAATTCATGATCAATCTTTGATTTTTAGTATTTTTTAATGACTTGTTTATTGTTAGCCTATTTATTTTTTTTAATTGCTCCAAAATATGCTTATGTATTTTTGCTTATTAAAACATTCTTTTTTTCTTTTTTTTTTTACTGGGTAAGACGATACATGCATTTTACGCATAAAATTTTATATATATATAGCTGTTATATTATTTTTATTAAATTTGAATAATATTATTGTACTCATATGCTTTTTGCCCCATTAAAAACAAATTTTTAGTGTAAAAAATCCTCTTTAAGTTTTTCAGAAGAGTAATTGAAAACACGTTATTGTATTAGAGATGAAATGATTGCTTGGCTTTAATATTAATTTTACAAACATGTATTTTGTTTATTATTGTAAATTGAGAGAATTTATGTCAACTTAAAATCTAGACTTTTTAAGATTTGCTATGAGTGTGATAACCCAATTATTTTCAAAATTTTTTATAAAAATAAATATTGTGCCTATTTTTTGTGACGTATTTTTATTAATTATTTTTACCATAAACAAAACATTTACTGTTGGAATTTCTCTAATTATAACTTCAAAAATTGGTTTGATAAGCAGTATGTAGCATGCAACAGATTATTGCTTTTATGTAGCATGCAACAGATTATTATTTTTCTGCAGTTGAAAAATGGTAAAATTAGTTTGTTTATTATTTGTTTATAAAAAATCTGGAAGTAATTGTGAGAGGATAAAGTATGTAAATGCATATAAGTAACTATCAAAAATGTAAAAAAGAAACATTCTTTTTTAGTAAAGACAACTGATTTATAGTGATTTTTATTAACAATGATGTTAGACATTTGACCATTAAGTATTCAATTAAAGAAATACAAAATTGTTGCTCAAGTGCTTAATGTGTTAATATGTTATTCTAATGTATTATTTACTGCTGTCACTAATTTATGTAAGAAATAGGTTTTAAAAAAATTAGTTTAGACTTTTGGGTATTGTTTTTGAAAAATAATTTTTTGCAGTTATATGAGGTTATAGATCCTTGAATTATTGAAATTATGCAAATGCATAATCTTTGCCGTTGCCTGAATGAGTAATACCACACAAAAGTCTTTGTATCAAATATCACCACATATATTTATTGTGAAGAACAATGTTAAAATAAAAGTAATTTTTTTTCATTGTAAAAAAATGTATTTGATGCAAATTTGTAAGCTTCTTTTTTCTATGAATAAACTTCATAAGGAAGCAATGATTATATAATAATTTTTAAAAAATATGTTCAAATGCTAAAAACTATAGGTTTGTAGCAGTTCATACCAGTTTGGTAAAACACCTTTTTTCTTTATTTAAATGCTCTGTAGAAATATGTATCAGAACATATAAATTATGTTTAATTATAATTGATATCAAAATATGAAAGGAATGAGCTAATTGTGTACTTATTTAGCAACTAAAGGCTTTTCATGGTAAATAAATAATTTGCTGCATTCTCAATTTTTTGTACAATAAATAATTTAATTAAAAAAAATTAATCAAATTGTGTTATGCTTAAATGAGATGAAACTCTCACTTGAAAAAAAATATATTTTGGACTTATAAGCATTATTTTTTAAAAATTGAAAAAAAAAAAAATTGCACTTATCTGAGGTATAGATCCATGAAATATTGAAATTATCAAATACATAATCTCTGCAGTAACCTGAATGAGTAATACAGTACAGAACCCGTTATACGTAAATCGGAAAACCAAAAAACCGGAACGAAATTCCATAAATTTTCCCGCCATCTTTTTTTTTAAAAAAAAAATTTTTTTTCCTCATAAGATTTTAGGATTTTTCTTCTTTTTTGAAAGATGTTTACCTTACCATCATTTTGGAAATAATCATTAGTATATTACTTCATCGTTTTTTCTTCTTTTTAAGATTATTTCCAAATATTTTTTTTTAGTTGGGTTTAACAATAAAAAAACGGCTTTTTGTAGCGTTTCAGAAAACTGGAAAAATCAGTTATCCGGAATAGCGATGGTCCCGATCGTTCAGGATAATCGGTTCCCTACTGTACCACGCAAAAGTCTTTGTTTTAAATATCACCACATATATTTATTCTGAAGATATTATGGAATATCGCCACTTATATTTATTAAAATAAAAGTAAAGATTTTTTTTTTCATTGTAAAAAAAGTTATTTGATACAAATTTGTAAGTTTCTTTTTTGCCATTAATAAATTTTGTAAAGAAGATTATAGATTATATAATAATTTTAAAAAATGTGTTAAAACGCTAATGTATGACTGTAGCATTTCATATCAGTTTGGTGAAATATTTTTTTCTATATTTAAATGCTTTGAGAAAATATGTATCGCAACATATAAATTATGTTTAATTGTAATTTCTATAGTATGAAAGGAATGAGCTCAGTAGAATACTTATTTAGCAGCTAAAGGCTTTTTGTAGTAAATAAATAATTTGCTGAATTCTAAATTTTATATACAATAAATAATTTATTTAAAAAAAACAAAAACAATTTAGTCAAATTGTGTTATGTTTAAATGAGATGAAACTCTCAGTTGACTCAGTATTTTAATCTTTGCTATTGCTATGTTTTTGGTTATTAATCTAAAGTAAATTCCGAGTTTATGTTGGTTCTCAAAACAAAGTTACTTAATCATATTAAAACACCAACAAAAGCTTTTTAAGTGATGGATGCATTTTACTGTTTAACTTTAAGCAGACCAGTCCAATATGTTATCAAGTTCATTGGTTCTATAGACGAGTTTTTTTAAGAATTTCTCCTGTTACTGTTATGAACTTAAGAAGGACAGATTATATCTAAAATTAAATATTAAGATGTATTTGAGTGAAAAGTGTTGTAAACAAATTCTGTAAATTGTCAGAACTAAATCTCAGGGCTTAAAGCAATTTTAATAAATAGAACAGGTAGGCAATTCCTTGATGATCTAGGTCAGCAGTTCCCAACTTTTTGCGGCTGTGGAACCCTAAATTATCGAGTTTTTTTCGACCAAACCCTGAAATTAAATGAATAATTAGCAATTGTGAATACATTAATTAACAGAAGTCTAATTAATTGTTTTAAAAATATGTTATGATCTAAATTTTATTATATTTTAAAAAGCATTTGCAAATCCTAATTTAATTTAATTGTTATCAATGTTAGTTTTAAAATTGGTTTTTATGTCTGACAGTTGAGTTCACAGGTCTGGAGTACTAGTTGAATTCTTCATTTAATTTTAAAGCACACATAAACTGAAAATGAAAGATCTGTAATATGATTAACTTTAGAATAAAAGGGGAAAAAAGTAAAAAATTTTGAGAAGGCTAATCAGAGAAACATATTTTTTAATTGTTGAATTTGGTTATTTTTATTAGGCGCGAAAATTCTAATAGAATTTTTCATAGTTCATTTATTATATTGTTATTAAAAAAATCGTTTCTTTAAAAAAAATTTCTTCTCAAGCATTTCAGTTAAATAATTTCATAATAATAATGGACATATCAAGTAAATAATGGATTATTAATTAGATGTAAATTTTATTACAGGTTTCTCAAATTATTTTTAGTTAAAAAAATTCCTAACTCTAGATACTCCTACAACCCTTCCACAGAGCCCTAGGTTTCTGCAGAACATTAGTTGAGAACTGCTGGTTTAGTAATAAGTTAATTGGAAACAGTCTATTAGTTAGCTGCAGAGCCGGATTATACCTTTCGTTAGCCCTAGGCATAGCCGTTTTTGGGCCCTCCCCTCCTTCCCCTACTCCTCCCCTCTTTTCAAAATATATGCTAAAATTTTCTTGCATATTTTTTTAAACATTTTTATTAATATGGATTTTAATTTACAAATTTGTTTATCGAACTTTATCTGCAATACCGACATACTGCCGATATTGCAGTTGATATCGATAATACCATTATGATTAGTTCGATCGATAACTATGTAAACACTTCACGTCAACAATACAACAACAAACCAGCAAAGAAAACAGTGAAATTGATAGTGAGATTAATTACAAGAAATATTTATACTACAAATAGCTTCATAGTTCTCATGATACTACGAGTACTATGATAACTAAGTGAAGGAAATTAACATTGTCAAAAGTAAATCTTTTGAAATTATTTATAAATAAATTTGCAAGGTAGATTAAATGTTTACTAATTGAAAAAAAAATTATTTTTGTCAACAAATTTTTTTCTCCCAAGTTTTTCGTAGGCCCTAGGCACGTGCCTAGTGTGCCTATAGGTTAATCCGGCCCTGGTTAGCTGGAAATTAATCTCTCTAATATAGATTATTCTATAGAGAGCTTTTAATTTTTATGATTTAACTGATTAAATTCATACCACATTATTAGGATTAAATCAAATTTACAATTATAATTTAGTCATCATGAAGATACAATTTCGCAGCATTTGATGTAGTATAAAAATAATTTTAATATTCCAAGCTTGCTCCCTAAATCTGCCATCCCTTCTTTTCTACTTTTGCTACCATTTGTATTTATTGTCCATGTTAATTTATGTAATTAGTAACAGAATCTTCTTAATCCTTATATAAACTATTTATAACTGTTCTTTCTTGTTGGTTATGTTTCTTGTGTGCTTAGGATATTTTATTCTCTGCTGCTTTTCTTTGTATTTAACTTTCTGATGTTTGTATGAATAACAAAATTCTGCCTGTGTTTGTGCATTATACTCTCTATTTTTTGTATTCTTACTTGTATTCTTACTATTCTTGTAAATGTATTTATTACTAAAGCAAAAAGAAACAACTTGCATAAAGCACAAATGAAAGTACAGAAATGGACATACTGTAGCTTCATATAGTACAGTAAAATTGCTAAGATTTTGAATTTAGTTTAAATTCATTTTTTTCCTGTAAAATAAACTAAATTTCTCCAACCTTAAAGACCCTATTGCTGATATTAATAGCTAGGGTATTTATTATATTTCATATTAATGTAGTCTTACATACATTGAACAAACTAAAAGTATCCTTAAACTTCTACTTAAAGAGCAGAAAGATATATCCAAAATTAAGACTTTAACCGTTCTTACGTAGCTTTACATAGTTGGAATTCTAACCACCGGTTCAAGTTTTTTTCTGCTAAAAACATTCAACACTGATCTTCATCTTAATTTTTGGAGTCATTCCATATTTTGAAAAATTCTAATAATATAGTAGATGATCTTCTTAGTATCTCATCGTTTTTAAAATATTGGGACAAATATTGGGAAATATTTATTTCCCAATATTTGGAATTTGGGTATTCTAATTTAATCTGTTGCACCCTGGATTTCCTCCCAAATTCCCTCACGTCTGTTTTTTTTTTATCCCTTCTATTTTTTTTTATTTTGTTCAATTATGTTCCTTTGTCTACTTTGCCCTTGTTAAACTACTTTGCATTGTCTCTTGAGTTTTTATACCATCATTTGGTCTTTAGACACTGAATAAAGTTCTTATTTACGAAATCAAAACTAAAGTATGTCTTATTTCTTGTTGTTTCTTTTTTGCTTTAGTCTATATAGCACAAAGTCCTTAAATATCTTGTTTTAAACCATTTACACTGTATTATGACTTTTGAGCTTAATAGTAATATGTTATTTGGGCATTTTGCTGAACATAAATATGCAATGCATAGTAAAATGTATTTTACTATTTAGTTAGGTATTTTAATTTACTAAATCGGAATTTTCTCTAACATAACTTTTTGCAATATTTTATTTCTTATCATTCTTATTTAGTATCATCATCATCATCATCAGTTGGAATTTATTTTCACCTTTCAAGGTGTTTGTTCATGTAATTTTATTATAGTTAACTATTCCAAATTTCATAATCAAAGAAAATTTGATTCCTAGCTGATTCCATAAATTCCACTGGTCTCTGCACAGACTTCAGGCCTGCTATAAAATTTGACTCAGTTGATGAACTAAGAAGTTTAAAGCCTTCTACAGTGGTAACATTGGATCGAGCGACATTTGCTGAACTCCTCTCTGACTTCAAAGAAATCGACTCTTTCCCAAAGTTCGCTGAACAGAATGCCGAAATAAGCGAAATACATCTAACCAGTTTTGATGGCACTATAGCTGCTGTGAAAACTGTAGAAAGTACAAAACAAACTGAGTCTAATTTGATATGTGATGCTCTGAATTCCAATTTAATGAAAAAGGATGGTTTCACAGATTTTGGAATATACCTTCAGCCCTTTCTAGTAATACCTGAAACTTCAGAAAATACTTCTCTTGATTATGATAATAATTCTGATACTTCAACTTCAGCTCTTAGTTTGACTTATACTCAATCTCCTATTATAACTGATAAAAATTTTAACCATTTATCACGTGGGTTCGAAATTTCGTTGGGGCTTGAACAAGCTGCTTTATCTTCACCTGTAATTGTGTTTCCTTCCCAATCTGCTGATATCCCTGAAATTTTGACGTCTTCCCTATTTACTGACATCCCAGAAATTTTGACTTCTTCCCAATCTCTTATAATCCCTGAAATTTTTACTTCTTCCCAATCTTTTATTACCCCTGATATAATTTTCAATCAGTCATCTCAAGGATTTGAGACTTCTGTTGAGCTTGAACAAGTGATCTCAACTTCACCTGAAACTTTGACTTCTCCTCAATCTGCTGTTACCACTGATATAAATTTTGATCAGTCATCACAAGAATTTGAGACTTCTGTTGAGCTGGAGCAAGTGGCCTCAACTTCAGCTGAAACTTTGACTTCTCCTCAATCTGCTGTTACCACTGATGTAAATTTTGATCAGTTATTGCAAGGGTTTGAGGCTTCTTATGATTCTCAGTCAGAAAAGTTAGCCCACTGCCAGAGTCCTGTATCTCAGCCCGCAGCCTGGTGTTCCGAAGATGCAGGGGTTGAAACTTCACAAAATGTAAACTTTTTAAAATGTGTTAATGATGATGTTAGGAAGGGTAAAAAGGAAGACCCGTGTGATCGCGGAGCCATTAAGTTTAGGTGTAGACTGTGTCTAAAAGACGGCTTTTATTCTGCTTATAATGTAAAGCGCCATTGTAAAAATGTGCATAAAATAGATGTGATTAAAAGTTGTCTATTTGAACCTTATATACCTGGCCATCAAGGTGAAAGTTCATCTTTTGAAACTGCTTTACCTTCAATGCTGAAAAACGAATCATCTCAGGTCTATCTTTCGCCATCAAATATGTCTGATCAATACCAAATTGATCAGACTTATTTGATGGCAAGCAATTATCCAACTGATTCATCCGAAAATCCTGATTTTGTGTCACTGCAGGAAAACTTACAGAGTTCCTCGTCTGGTTATGATAGCTCTAATGATGAAAATGAACAAGCAACTTTAACTCCAAGTGTAAGTTTGCCCACTATCCAATCTACAACTGACTTTAATTTTAATCAGGAATCATTGCTTAACGATTGCCAAAGTGCAGTGACTACTCCTTGCATTATTAAAGTTTCTAAAAAGAATGAAGTTTCTCAAAATGTGAACCTCAATATGTCTTCTAAAATTGATTTATCATGTGGTAGGGATAATAAGACTGTTGAAAAAGGAAAAAGAGAGAATATATTAAATCGGAAAGATTTTTGGTGTGAAGTATGTAAAAAAAGTTTTTTGTCTGCGCATACTTTATTGAGCCATTATAAAAATAAGCATAAAATTGATGATTCTGACCTTTCATTTGGATCTCTTTTAAATCACCTACAGCAAAAAGAAAGTTCATATTTGAAAACTGCATGTCTTCCAACGCATGATTCTGAATCATCTGAGTCTTTTTGTGATTATTCAAAAAATCCATCAAGTATTTTATATTCACTACTCTCTTATGAAAATAAGACCCATGAAAGTAGCTTACAATATTTGGAAGCTCCTATTCTTAGCTCACATATTGAAAAGTTAAATAAACATGTAAGTGCAATATCAACATCTTGGAGTCATGAGTCTGTAAATGATGTACCTAGTGTTCCATCTTTTAACAAGATAATTTCTGATCACCCTGTTTATCATCAAGTTGCTGCTTCTACTGTGAACAAAGAAACTTCACAACATATTGAAAAATTAGTTAAACAAGTAAGTTCAATGTGTCAATCGTCATCGAGGAGTCATGAAACTGAAAACGATGTACCCAGTGTTCTATCTTTTAATATGATAACTTCTGATCAGCTTGTACATTGTCAAGTTGCTGCTTCTACCGTGAACAATAAAAGTTCACCACATATTGAAAAAATAGCTAAAGAAGTAAGTGCAATATCGCAATCGACCTCGAGGAGTCATGAAACTGACAACGATGTACCAAGTGTACCATCTTTAACTTCTGAACAGCTTATATGTTATCAAGATCCTGAGCTTGATTTGTCCTGTGATAGTAAAGATAAAGGGATATTTATTAAAGGAAAAAATGTAGTTATTAATAAAGATACAGACAATTGGTGCAAAATATGCAATACATGTTTTTATTCTCCCTATAATCTTAGGCGTCACTGCAGAAATGTGCATAATATGACTATTCCTAAGGGTACTTCTGGCAATCCATTTGGACCTTTTCCATGTGACCTTGACGAAAGTGTAGTTCCTCAATCCACACTTCAGTATAATGAAATTGAAAATCATGTACCTAGTGTTCAATCTCCTAATTTAGAAGCATCTGATCAATTTCAGCAGGCCGTAGATCATCTAACTACTGATTCTACTGAAATCTTTTCTCAACAAGGTCAGGCTACAAGTTTTGCTTTATCTTTATAATATCTAGCAGAGGTCTTTGGACTTTCAAGAGGCATTTCTTCCCCTTTTTCATTCTCTGAAAATTTATTAGCTTTATTTTCTTTGGAAAATAATAATTCTCTTTTTTTTAAAAATTTAAGTAATGAAAACAATACTTGATCTTAAGTTATTTGTTGTTCCAAAATTCAATCAACGAGTTCAGAAGGGGTGAGATAATTGATCAAGAGGCTTAAATCTTATAATAGAACATAAGGTTGTAAACCATATTGAAAATATTGTTGATTAAAGTAGAAAATATTAAGAGACTAAAAGGTGAAGGTGGTGATAGATAAAAGCCATGCAAGGATTGTCCCCACTAACTAAAAGACGATTGACATATGCGAGTGCGTCCTGAAATAGTTTTTAGGTCAATGTAGACTGCAAAAACGTCAATATGCTCCTTTTTTAACAACTCTTATTTTAATAAATTAATCAAATAAATTTTGTATACCTTAATTTATAATTGTTTCCTAGCATGATGTCTACACCTACATATTTTTTGCTCTATTTTCATCTTTACAATTTGATTAGTGATCCCATGTTCTTTAATAGTTTTTCACCTTTTTATGCCTTTTCCCACTCTTCTGAAATTTTCAAACAACATTCGTTTGTGCAAAGTGAATAAAATTTATTTAGACTACTTTAACATTTATTAAAACTTACATAAAAAAAGATAGTAATTATTTTTATTATTTTTTTTTGTATGTTACTTTGAAATATAAAGTCTTACACGCATATAATTTTCTTGTATTGCTTCTATTCTCTTGTAATTTTATGTGTAGTTTCATTGTATTCTTCTTGCTGTTGGTTTCTTTCCACGTAAAAGTAGTTTCCTGATGTACTGTGACATCTATGAGCAATATAACTTACTTCGCTTATTATTCATATTATTATTTTGTGTGTATTTATATATTCAGGGTAAGTTAAAATGAATGCCCCAATTTCATAGGTGTTCAAAGCAAAATGTATATGCATGCAGAAGCAAGTTTTGAACGTACTCCTTACAAATGTTAGATAAGTTCTCTTTCTGTTATAATGCATACATCAAGTCTGAAATGTAATCTTATGCAGCAGCATGTCTATATTGATGCTTGCAATAACATCTGTGCTCCAGGCTTTAAAATCGTCCACGTTCGTCCAACCTGGTGGCATATGCATACGATCTTTCACGAACCCTACAGGAAAAAATCGCATGGGGTGAGATCTGGAGATTGTTGTGGTCAAGGCAAAAGTGTATTGTCTGCATTAGATTTGCGACCAATCCACTATTGTGGTAAAGTGTTATTGAGAATGTTTTTCTATCCATTTTTATTTTGATCTTTATTGATGATAGGGGCATTTATTTTAACCTACCTGTAAGTAAATTAGAAGATATGTATAACACAATTCTCTAAGCCACATTAAATTTACATTCTTTGAAGCAAACTAAAATGACTGAATTTGTTGCTGTGTTCTCCCTAAGCGTTTTTAGAAGGGCGGTCCGCCCTATCTGGCCTTTGATCACTAAAATGCGCCTTCTTTGCTCTTTTTATAAAAATAAGCCGCAGTCCTTTAAAAACCTAGCCTTTTCACTCCTATTTTATTTTTAAAAGTAAATAACTCACTGTTTAAATAATTACTCTCATAAAATTATCTGTGTTTTAGTTTTAAGTTTAACTCTACTTCCTATTACAAATATTTACTTTGTTAAAATTATTCTCAACTGGTTAAATTTTTATAAGTTTCTTTTTTTTTTTCAGGGATGGGGGTATATTAATGAATAAGGGATTTTAAAATTATTTTTTAAATAAACACCTTTTTTTTTTAAATGCACCTTTAAATGTCCATTTTTTCATAATTTTCAGTTTAAATTCTGGAAGAAAGCTATTAAGTTTATCGAACATTTGTTTTGGTTTTATTTTTTTTCTGAAAAAAATTTATGCTCAGAGATTGTCTTTTAGCATCTCTTTAATTATTTTTTATTAACTACAAATTTTTCTCTTTTTTGGATAATGTATGATAATGACTTTTTGAATTATATACATAAATTAGTATTAAAGGGTAATTTAAAAACTAGATGATTAAATTCAGTTATTACACAATTTAGTAATTTTTTTCTGTGGGGGAGTGCCTTTATTTATTCTTAGGGAGAACTCTGTTGCATTCTATTTTTAATGCTTAGTAATTCCAATTTTTGTCTGTAAATAATAAGTACTTAAATGCTTGTTTTTGTGTTCTAAAGTGTTTCAAAATTACTTTTATTCATCTGTTCCAGATATATATTGTGATGTTTAGTAGGTAGATTTAATGATATGCAAAATAATCATTATAATCAAGCTTCTGTTTTGTGCAAAGCCTCATGTTTCAAGGTTAGAATTATAAAGATCCTCTACTGCCTTTAATTAACAAAGTAGACCAAATAATTCTCAATTTCTGTACGAATATTTTTTCTACTCTTTTAATTTTTATAATACAGGGAATTTTATTCAAATTATATTTTCGAATAGCTAGAATAATAAGTCATTTTTTATAAGATTTATCTTATACTGTTTGTATGAAAATGATAATTTAAAAAGATAATAGTAACATGCTATTAGATATTATTGTATTCCAATGTTATAAGGCATAGGCATTCATGACAGTATTGAATGCTCTAAAAACAGTAACTTACTTCAATTATTTAGCTTTTATTTAAAGTTAATAATTAATTTTAACATCAATCCCTTGTTAGGTATTCTTAGTTGCTCAAAGTTAACTTTTTTTAGTTAAATTTCTTTACATATTTGACCTTGTCTGTATGACCGTAAGCTAGTCGAAAAATCATTTTCTGGAACTTCTTCCGAATTCAAACATTGTAATTCTGCTTACCTTGAAAAAGCATGTGATAAAAATTTATAAAAGTTGTTTAACCTCTTAACAGTGATATATACTTCAGAAAAATGAACCAAAAACAGAATTTTTTTTTTACTGTTTAATTTTGTCCTTTATATTATTATAAAAGTTCAAAAATGGTTTTTTGTTACAAAAATAAAATTTTAAATGCAATAACTACTGCATTTATAGTTTTTACATAAACATTAAAAAGTAATGGATTACCCACACTTGTTATATTCAATTAGAACAAATTAAAGAAAATTTTGAAGCTAAATATAATATAAAAACACCTCATTGTGATTTTCAATACATAAATTTTACAAATCTTTTACAGTATATTATATCCCATAACCCCCACCCGCATTTCCCTCCCTCGACTGAAGTCATAATCGATGAAAAACTAGGACCACTAATGCCATCTATTAGGAGAATAGTGAATTAAGTATCCTAATGTAGAAACAAACTCAGCTCGGACTTCACTAAATAGAAACGTTAATTTTTCTCCTGCCCGATGTCAATTCGAGCATCACAAATAATGCACACCGTAGTTGCCTGAACTGGATTCGGGCGACACTGGCAAGGGGTTAAGAGTATAGTACATGGGTGTTTTTAAAAAGTGCTTAGTTTTCCCTTTTCAAAAATGAAAATTTTTTTTTCATTACCATTTTGAGTTTCGCTGCGTATTATGCAAAAGCGTACTTTTCATATTGTTCTATTCAGCTATTTCATAATTCATTTCGGTGTACCGTCTGTCTATGGCGTATGAAAGCACCAATCATTTTAATGATTTGGTGAAATACTTGCGAGTTCGCATGTGCGTATAGTGAGCTGCGTTTAGTGAGATTATTGCACTCTCATGTGCATTTTAAAAGATATTCTCAATTTTAAGCTTCATTTTCTACCCACTGAAATCAAACCGAAAAATCTCTCGATCATTTTATAATGGCTAATATAATCAAGAAAACTGTTCTTTGTGAGAAACTAGTTATTTTATCATGATCATGTAAAGTCTTGGAAAATTATTTTGCATTTTGTTAATGTACATAGTGCTTAAATTTTTTTTGCCTTGTAAACTTTTTTTTTAATTTTGTACTTTGTAAATATTTTTTGCGTGCTTTAAAAGTTCTTAAAAGGTGCTTATTTTTTGTCGAAAGATTTGGCTACGCACCCTGTAGTACTAAAAAATTTAATAAAGAAAAAACAAAAAGAAAACAATTTATTCTTAAAAATAATTTTAGATTTTTTTATTGAAACTATTCACATTATATTGTATGTGCATTTACCTTAAATCCTTAATGTGGTTAAGATAACTATGTATATATAGTATTAATTGAGCTCTATTTTTTTTTTTTTTACTTAAAATAAAAGATGAGTAAAAAAAATTCTGGTAATTAGTAAGTAATTTTTAATGATACTAGTATTCATTAAAAACAGACTATTAAACTCTTATACAGCTTATATGTTACTTTTCTACTTTTTTCCGATTTATTATCTGCTTTTATTTTTTTGGCAATTTTTTCAACTGTCTGCCCTCCCGATTTTAGCCATATTTTAGTTTCTAAATTTTGTCAATTTTTCTACTTATTTAAGATGACCTTAAAAAAAACAAAAGTCATAAATTTTAATTAATAAAAACTTATTAACATGATGAATATTATTACATTGAATTTATTAATTTGCTATGAATTTACATTTGCTTCATAAATTATTTTATATGTCATTTTCTCTGTTATGTTATTTTTTGCTTCGTCCTATGTTTTTGAAATTTAAAAACAGGGTGCGTAGCATTTTTAAAAAATGCTTAAAGGTGCTTATTTTTGATTTGCGACTTTAAAAGCCCTTAAAGATGCTTTTTTTTTAATTTGCAGTTTGTAAAAAATGCTTAATTTTCTATCTATTAACAGTATTTTTTTTCTTTGCCATATCGATTTTCGTTTTAAATTTTAAAAAATGCCTGCTTTTCACAATTTTCTCTGCAATATTTATCAGAAACTAGTTATTTTATCATGATTATGTAAAGTCTCTGAAAATGTTTCTAAATTTTATTGATTTTATGCTTATAAATTAAGAACTTTAAACGATAGGGAAAAAAAATTATTACTTCGCAGATCCTAATTATGATGTTTTTTTTGGAAAGTAATTAAAAATATTTTTTGAGTGCGTAAAAAGAACTTAAAAGGTGCTTATTTTTTGTTGAAAAATCTGGCTATGCACCCTGTTAAAGTAGTCGAACTTCAATTATCAATATTGTTTGTTACCACACCTCATTCTGATAATTAATGGGTGGGGTGGGGGGGGTATTTGTGCTTTCGTTGAAAGAATTCATAAAGTTTTTTAAAATGTTCATTTCAAGACAAGTATCAAAATTATTCGCAAATTTTTCAACAAATGGCACAACTCTGAAAATTTTTTTTCAAAGTAACCATATTTGTCCATTATTTAACTTTCCTCCTTTAAAAAGATTTTAATTGAGGACTAGAAATGGAAAACGACCTAAGTCCCAGAAAAGTCAAAGATCATATTTTTGCGGAAAAATGTCCTAAAGACCAATCTAATCAAAGTGAAGAACCCCCAAAGTGCTAACTCCGGTAGTAATAGTCCAAAAATGTGTTGAAAGATTGTGCTGGCTAAATGTGACATGCATAGTGAAGTGGAGTACCTCCTAAGTGGCATCAGTGACCAGTCGCCAAGCATTTTGTTTCTGTACTATAAAAGTAATAATAATAACAATAAAAATAACAAATAACTTCCGATAAAAATAACAATAATTTTAGTAAGGTGTTGTTGACTACGAACCCGATGAAATGAAGAACGCCATTTTAGATGTGAGTGTTTTTCCTTTTCCAACTCTCCCTAAAAATTGTCTCTTTTTGGACTTAGGTCATTATATATTTCTAGTCATCAGTGGATGTGGATGATTAGAGTTTTAATAATTGGAATATTTATTTTATATGAAAAATTTTTTTTTTATTTCAAGAAATCAATAATCAATTAAAATATTCTAGTATTAAATTCTTTTCTTATAAATACAGATTGTCTAATTTTTGAGAAAATCTTTTTACAAAATCTGAATTATTTATTTTACATGGAATCAGCTTAAACTGATCCTCAAATATTGATATTTTTAACCTTAAAAATGTTTGATCTATAAAAATTTGTGATATAGAAAATTTCAAAAATTTTAATAGGTATAAAATAATAAAAAAGACAGCATATGACTTTAGAGATCAAGATAGTTAAAGGTGATTTGAAGAATAAGAACATTTATTTACATTTATCTTTTTTCTTTCTTTTTTTTTATTATGTATGAATATATTTTCAGTAATAATATTCATTTCCACTTTTTAAAAATTTAATACAAAATTGATGTTTAATACCAATAAAGAGTTTTTTTTTTTTTTTTTTTTTTTTTTTTTTTTTTTTTTTTTTTTTTTTTTTTTTTTTTNCTTTTTTTTTTTTTTTTTTTTTTTTTTTACAGATGAAAATTCAGAAACGGTAAAAATTGGTTCTAAAGAATACCAGAGAGGTCAAGGGTCATTCCATGTAAATGACAAGCAAGGAGGTAAATTATTTTTTGTATTAAAATATTTTATCTACTTAATATTGAAATTGTATTTAAATAAGTTAATGATTTTTGTATGTCAATATGGTTTTTTTTTGTAGGTGAAAACTCAGAAATTATAAAAATTGGATCTAACGAATACATAAGAGGTATATATATAAAAGTAAAAATATTTGTTTTCCATTAATAGCCATGACAGTCTTTTTTTTAAATATTTTTTTTTCTTTTTAGGAAACAGTATATCCATCTTAAAAAAGGTACGTATATGTTGCACTCGTGTTAAAATTTTAATTTCAAACTGCATATTTAAATACTTTATATATATTACTCTGACAAAAACTGAGTTTTAATTTTCTGGAAAATTAAGCACGTAACATATTTTAAATTTCATTCTTAAAAAACTTAATTTTAATATGCTTGTATAAATTTTATATTCAAAATTAACAGTTTGTTTAAAAAAAAATTTTTATGTTACATTGATGTGTCAATGTCAAATCTTTATGAGAATCATCTTTATAGTATATTAAAGTGATTCTGCTTAACTTTGGAAAGTGCAGGTCCTTAAGAACCAGGACTTCCAAATTTCATTTCATTTTAGTTCATTTAGTTGAGTTCATTTTAACTAAAAGTGGAACCCTATTTTAAATATGAATTCTCTGCCTCTTATCTATCTATTAATGCGCCCGTTCATAATTATTTTATCTATTAAGAAACAAAACAGTGTATTTTAAAGCAATAAAAGAGTTATATTTGATCAATCAAGGTTTTTAAATAGATCTAACTCGTGAATCAACAAAAAGAGATGATGTACTCAAAATTATTGTAATTTTCTTTAGCTACTATTAGAGAAGGAAATTTTTTTTTGTTTATATATTTAATGTTTGGTTGTAATTTTGCCCTCACTATATTTTTTTCCCTCGTGTATTCTAAGTTTTTCTTACCCCTTATTATCGTTAGTTATATATATTTGCCCACACTATATTCTTTTATTTTGTGTGTAAGTTTATAAAAAAATAAGGTATCAGATGTTCCAGGAGATGTGTAATAACTTTTTTTTAACCTTTCTTTTATGATTTTTGGCATATTTGATGCATTATAGCTTGTAAGTGAAATCACTGATATGAAGTGATTAAAAAAACGCTTCGAGTTTCAAATGAATTTTGTCATTAAAAACTCGAAAACACAGCAGTAATGAATTAATATTGCCTAATTGATATTTTGTCTTACTTTTAATTGTAAATTAGTTTTAATAAGTGCATTTTTAGTTGAATATCTTAAAGAAGTTCAGTTTATTTCTTTTCATTTCAAACTATGTCCTTCTTTTACAGGCGTAAAAAGTATTAATGTTAGATGGTGAAAAATTGAAGAATTATAATGTGTTTATACATTAAAGTAAAATAATTCTATCATTAAACGAATTTTAACATTTTATGATTCAAAAATATTTCAAATTTGTAGAAAATGACCCTGGCATTCTTTCAAACTTAAATTACTTGCAAAAAAATTCATCACAATTTGATATTTTCAGGATATTTTTACGTGGTGTTATTTTATTTCTTAGTAAGTCTGATTTGACCCACCAATTGAAAAATGTGCTTTTTTTTAATGAAAAATCATTGTGTGTAGTTAATATATAGTCTGTACTATAATTGAAAATTTCCTGAAAAGCCTGGAAATGTCGAAGATTTTTATATCTAAAATTAAGTAAGGAGCTCTATGTTTAAAGTCAGTTCATAACTTTCCTGCTATGAGAGATTGGTTTCTTCCTTGCATGAGAAAGTACTAGTGTGTAGCGACCGGAAAAATTCTGGTGTTTCGGAGTCGAGATGCTAGGAGGGTTAGCTTGTCAGTACTACAACAATATATCAAGCATATTAAATCTTATTACAACTTGTAACTTTTCTCTCAAATGTTCAATTGGGAAAAAAATTATGATCATGTTCACTTTGATCTAAATAATTTTTTACCCCTTACGACTTTCAACTACTGATTGATATTATGTATTAACTGTACTCAACAAACTCTGATCCTTTTTTTTTTTAATTCCAATTTTGGATAATAATTGTGAGGATTTATGTGTTTCTTTTCTTTAGTAAGAAAGAGGTCGACATTATATTTTATATATTAACTGATTTTCTTAACTAGATATAAAATAAAGATATATACAGTAAGATAAACATGTTTATAGGGGTAGAAATTAAGAAAACTTACATGCTGGTCTAAAGGACTAAACAGTAACTAAAACACCCTGTTCTGTTAAATGAATAATTTATAGATGAAATAAAATAAAATTAAACAGTATAAATTTCTAAATTTTTGCAATTTGATTAAAAAAATATGAATGATGCTCTTTGCTAATTGAAGTTTTATCATAAGTTTTTAGTAAACAAGTTTAATGTTGCATATTTGCGATAAGTAGAGCACTATGTTTAAACATTAAAGGTAAAAAGAAAAATTATTAATCTGGATAAAAAATTACGAGGACTGTAATATACACAATTAGATGTATGATATTCACCTAAGATTTTTTGATAGAACATATTAAAAAATAAATTACCATACCCTTTATTCAGAGTTGACATTAATTTACTATAGCCTAGACTATATAGACCTAGACTATAGCCTTGACTATAGCCTAGAAGACCACTGATTATTTCATAAGAGTTAAAGTCTATTTTTAAAGGTACTCAACCATTTATTTTGTGCCCGGCATAAAACTATTAATGGATATAATTTTTTTTTATCAAACCTTTCTCCCTGTATACAATTCCATAGCTGCCAACTCTGCTGAATTTTCCCAGTAGGCTACTGAATTTTATTTGTTTTTCCTGGTCTACTGGTTTAATAAAAATTTTCTTGGTTTTTGTACTTTTTAGAAAATGCCCTAAAACTGTGTTAATTAAAAAAAAAAAAAATCCCTGTTGAAATGGAATATTTGCACAGATTATTGCGTGCTTGAATATTTAAATAAGTATATTGCTAATGCATAATGAAACATGCCTCATTTAAGTAAGTCAGTCTAAAGCTTCTTTTTTTCTAAAATGTTCAGTTTATTTTTATTCAGAACTCCCCTTTTAAATTAATTTAAAAAAATCTCATAGCTGCCTTTGATGAATTAAATGCCTATTACTATTCAAAATTATGAGTTAACATAATACACGACATTTTCAAGTTTTTTTAATGTCAATCATAACTGTAAAATATTCATCACATTATGCGACAATTATGAAATTTTTATTTCATAAAATCTACTGGATTTTTTCCTAACCATGTTGGCAGCTAATTCTAAAAAGTTATAATGCCCTTTAAAAAGTCTGTATTTTGTAAAACTGATATTAAAAGAATCCTTTAGTTGCATTTTGAAAATACTTTGTAAATGTGGGGTTTAAAAAAAAAAAAACTTCAGCAGCTTCTTGCTTTACGTTGCTCTGTTTTAAAAAATAATTAGCAAAACTTTGTTTAAAAAAGAAAAAAGAATCAGCTGCAACTGCTAAACCTCACTCTGCTTTTAAAAAGATCCATATGGATTCTCATAGAATGTACTGTTTCCAAAGATATCTTGGGTTGCTGCCAAAATAAATTCACTCATTTTGTTGCATGTGATTTCTATATTTCATTTTCTTTTTCTCCAGAATTTCTTCTGCATGCACACATTTTGACTGTTATTTTTACAAGTTCACATTTTTCTATACTTTTCTCACATTCTTTTTTAATGTTTATCAAAAGGATTTTCATGCTCTGGATAATCAATGTGAAGTACAATTTAATAGAGAAAGAATGGTAAGTTCATCTACTATATAAAAAAGTGCATGATAAAAATGGTTTTAAGAATGATATTGATGTGGTGTGTTTGTTAAATATTTTTTTTTCTGCATCCTGACATTTTTCTAATTATTTTTTCCCCTCTAGTTTATTGAGTCTAAAATGTCAAAAGAAAGTCCAAAGACTCCTGAGCTTCCGTCACCAACAACAGCTAATCAGCCGCTTGAAAGTGGCTCTTTTTTACCTGTTATTGTTGATGTCATGAGTGCAAAAGATGGTGGCCAAGCAATTTATGCATGTGATGAAACAGCAAAGAGTTCTAAAATGTCTAATCCAAGCGCGATTGATGATTCAGAAGTGGTTGATGATCCTAGCAAAAAAGTTAAAAATCAAACTCTGGTACATAAAATGTTTTTATAAAATTCTTTTTTTATAGAGCAACTCCGCCATTTGCAAATGTCACATTTGCAAACCTTAAAAAGCATATAACTCAGTTAAAAATGCTCTACCTTTTCTAATAATTTTTTGGAAAATAGGTTTACATTTACACCAATTTCTAAAAACTTTTAGAAGCAAAATTAGAATTTTATTCCGATTTCATAGTCAGGATAATGGTCTTTTGAGAATTTTCCCAAGAATCTGTTAAAAATAAGTTTTTCCCCCTTAACTATGAAAGATTCTAATATTTTGTTGTTTACAGTGAATATTCAAGGAAAAGTTTACTTTTTTTTATTTAATATTAAATTCATACATAACACAGGGCTAGGCATGAGTCCCTTTTTCTCACTATCTTAAAAAATGGTAACTTTTATTGACTGTTTTTAAGGCTTAGTCACTTATCTCACTTTTTTTTAAATTTCACAATTTTCACCCATTTCAATCAAAAGAAAGATTTCACATTTTCCTAAACCCATGATATTACAATCCTCTTGCTCTAGTAAAAAAGGATTCATCCAAGTGAATGGGGCATAAAAGAGGATTGAATATGTGAAGAAAAATAGACAATTTCCACTTTCAAATGAATTCCCCTTGAAATGCAAGAGAGCCATTCATTGTATCAAGGAATGATTTTATTCATGATCTAACTTAACTTTCGATTTCTTATCTGCTGTGGAGCTGCAGAACAGGAAATTTTGTGTATTTCTCATTGAATTGAATTTCCTTTTTTTGTAGGCTTCATATGTACCTTAAATGTGCTTAGTAGGGCATAATTTTGCATCATAGAAATTAAGCACTCTTAAAAGTTCTTATTTTACTTTTAAAAGCTCTTACTTTTTCTTCAAAAGAAAAAGCGTAAATAAAATGTTTACTTTTATATTATATTTTTTATTATTTGTTTTCCTTTTCAAAAATTTGATTATTTTTTAATAAGATGTTATTATGTCATGTGAATTTGAGTAATTTCCCACCGTTGGATATTTTTAAAAAATTATATTTGATTTTAGTATTTATTAAGAATTTCAGTCCTTTATATGTGATTTTTCAAATTGTGCTGTTTTTTATACAATGTTATGACGCACAAATTTTAAATTAGAGAATTTCAAATTAATTCACCTTAAATTTACTTGGTTTTATAATCGTTTTATCAGTCACATGAGTTCACGAAGTTCCACTAATTTTTTTTCACATGGTTTTTTAAATTTCCATATATTAATTAATACAATGTTTATTATGTTACATGTATTTCAGTAACAACTATTTTTTAATGATTTATTCGAAAATCACTCTCGGACTTATTTGATTTCACCGTGATTTCTAGTTTTATTTCCAGTGTTTACCTTAGGCGCTCCTGCGAATTTTTATAATTTTGTCACCTCTTTCCTCGTGATTTTTTAATACGATGTTATTACTACTTGCCTTTTTCACCTTAAAGTTAACTTTTTTTACGCACTTGATTCAGAGCGATTACCTTGTAAATTAATATTGTTTTCTGGCAGTTCTGACTCTTGTATTTCAGGTTTCAGTAATGACAATTTGTTAATGATTTATTCAAAATTCACTTTTAACGGTTCTATTGTGATTCCTCTTTTTTTTCCCTGAGAGTTTTTTTAACCATTTTTATTTTTTATACAAAGTTATTACATATGCATACTTCAAATTTAACCCCACATGTGTCGCACATATTTCCAATTTTGATACTTTTAATACGATATTGTTATTTTTTATCTCATTAATCACTTTTTGCCACATTCGTTTTGCACCGTTTCTATTGTAAAAGTACTTTTTTTTCTCCAATAATAGTTCTTAAAGGCTTTTTCAGTTATCCGCATCGTATTTAAAAACATATCGTTTTTTTACTCTTGAAGAGAAACACGTCTCAATAATTATGTGTTGACTTTACATGATAACAGCAATATTATTGTTGTATACTTTCATTGCTTCTTTAATATAATACTTTAAGCCATAGTTGCTAAAGTTAAACATGCAACTATTTTTTTAGTTGGGAAAAATTAAAAAATATTTATTATTTAATTTAAAAAAAAAAAGATTTCAATAGCAGTAAATTAAAGCAATATACAACAATAAATGATTCTAAACTAATTTTTTCACTTTAAGTTGTATATTTTTAAGGTTATTAGGATGTTGCCTGAATATTAACACTGTTTTTAATTAAGTCACTATTATTTATCACTTTTTAAAAACATTTAGTCACATTTTCTACAATGAGCCCTGATAACATCATTAATATTAGTTATATGCCTGTAAAGAATTAAGAAGTATTTAAATTACTTTGAAGTAGTACTAATTTAAATTTTTTTAAGGTTATATGTATTATTGATTACAAATAGCTAGTTTGGCAACTCAGATATTGTATTACTTCCATAACACTGAGTTTAAAATTTTAACAAAAGTTTTAAACTTTTGAAAGTTACTTAATATTAAAGCAAGTGTAAATGATTTCAAGACTTATTTTTCAAAAACTATTTGAACTGCTAGAATTTTTTCCTCTAAGTTATATGCTCTTTTTAAAGTCTGCAAATACAACATTTATAAATAAAAGAATTGTCTTATAGCAGGGCTCGAAAAACAGCCCGTCCGTCCGCCCTCGGCGATAAAAAATTCCCCGCAGACAACCAATTTCTCGAATCCGCCATCCATGCGGACGGCCATCTTCCCGTTTATGTTCGTGATACATTTTCAATTTTTGTTATCTTACAATAGTTTAGCGCCTCACCTCTAAAATGACCCACTAATCTAGTACTACAGCAACATTCTGCGCATGGTGGAATTGATGTTTTCTTTGTTTGGGAGTACTGCAGCGGTTGATAGGGGCTTTTCAGCAATGAACTTACAAAAAAATACATTACGTACTGGTCTTAAGCAGGAAGCGTTAAACGCAATTATGAACATCTACCTAAATGGAAAACCCCTTTCAAATTGCAAAAACCTCTGTAAATCATTGACTTGATTGTGGAACTGGCAAACGTCATATTTGATTCATTTAAAAAACGCGGTACTCTCGGATAAATTGACATTCCAGATAACTTGACCTTTGTCATTTAAATTATTTCATAAAAGAAATAAATTATTTCATAAAAGAAATACATACTAGGTTACTATTAGTAACCTAGTATTTCTTTTATTACTGTATAATGTAATCCTATTTGTAATCCTAGTAACTACTAATTCATTGTGCAATTTATATAAATGTTTGTAATAAATAAAAGAAAAATTATATTTTTATTTATTTAGAAGGTACGGGTTAATTTCAAAGGAGGACGGGTACATTGTTGGACAACGGGGACGGGTAAAATTTCTGAGTTTTTTCGAGCCCTGCCTTTTAGTTAATAATTCGTTGTTAACCTTGATTTTTATTGGACAATCTTTCCAATCAGATTTTTTTATTTATAATTTCAGAACATTATCCAGAATGTGAAAGTATCTAAAAATGCTCCTTCAGTTCTACAGTCTTTTCCTAAAGTCATGCACAAACATTCTATTTTCACTCTGCAAAAGTCTATTCCGGTCATTCCGGAAGGACAGGAAATTTTTCCAGATACTCGGAATCTCTTTTCTCTTAAGACTCATACGACTAGAAACAAATTAGCAGTACAAAGTTTAAGTAAGTAATTTTATGTTCAATCATTATTTTTCATTTCATTTGTTACAAACTAATGTTGTTACTCCTTTGCATTACATTCCTTACTGGACCATAGCCTATCTAGCAATTCAGTGTCTGTTACAAAAAGCTTGTTGAAAGTTATTTTTATCTTGAGCTCAACAGATTTCTGAACATGCATTTGTAGTCATTATTAAATATATATCATAATCTCACTTTAATGATGATATTTTGAGCATTAGTTTCAAAATAGATAATGTTAAGTATAATGCTTAGTGTTTCTTAAAAATAAATTGTGGCATTAAATTGAGAATAAATTGTCGCAAGCCCAAAAACTGTCTTCAAATGTCGCTGTGAGCGCAGAAGAAAATATTAACTCTTTGTTTTCAAAAACTTTGAAGTAGATGTTGTAATGTAACCCGAGAAGCAGCTTGCCGCTATTAACTTGCTTAATCCCTTCATCACCTTTTTAATTACCATAAATCATTCCATTCATTTATGTATGTTCATCTTTGTCACATTGTAGTTTTAAAATCAATAAATGTTTATTGATATTCAAAAAAGGCGGTCCATATAAGGTTCCACTTATATGGAAAGTTTCCACTTGAGTCCATATGGTGGTCCATATAAGTGTAAACTTTCCATTATTTCTATTTTATACTAAGAAAACAAGAATTAATTAGATTAAACAAACATAATTCTAAACTCGTATTCGAAATTATTATTAAATATGACTGCACTTAGGTACAAAACCCGAAGTCCTTACTTATTTTTTCCTTTAAGAAAAAGTCTTTTCTGCATATTAACATTCTCTTTTATTATCATTTTCAGCTTTCAAACTCAGAAGTCTTATGATGTGCATTTTGTACCTACTTTCAACCATAGTTTATTCCCTCATGATTAAATTGTTAAAAGCTTATGGTTATATAAGGTTTAACTTTTATATTTTTCTTCGTAGCTCTTATGTGTATTATTTGTTTTACAGAGTGTCTACCTGTCAGGAAAATCATGAAAGTAATTCTTTTGAAAAAAGATCACAAAAATTATGAAAAGTCNTTTCAGCCATAGTTTATTCCCTCATGATTAAATTGTTAAAAGCTTATGGTTATATAAGGTTTAACTTTTATATTTTTCTTCGTAGCTCTTATGTGTACTACCTGTCAGGAAAATCATGAAAGTAATTATTTTGAAAAAAAGATCACAAAAATTATGAAAAGTCCCGATTTTTTAAATGGAAATTTATCCTTTTCAAGCTCTTCAGGAAATGATAACTCAAATTCAGAATTAGTGTATCATAAGAAAATCTATTAATAATATCGAAATTCAAAAAACTCTTTGAAAATGGCAAAGAAGCAATGAATAACTACCGAATACGGACTTGGATCTATGATGGAATCATTACGAACTGAATGATTAAAACTGATAGCATTGCACATTGTTACGACATCATGTAAAGAACATTACATTAAAAAAAAATTTATCTGAGAATGACCGAAAAAATTATAATAACTGTAGAAAAACCTTTGAAAAAGATTGTGAATGTGTAATGGAATCGTTGCAAACCAAACTCACCAAAAAAGTGGTAATTCGCTTTCGAAATTAATTATTTAAATTTAAAATTTGAAATGCATGTTAATATATTCGAATTTAGAGGGGAAACAAGTGGGTATTGTTTTAAAAAAAAGGATAAATAACCAGTGAAACACAAAAGTTTATGACTGAATCGCTACCGATGGAGTGTGTCAAAATATAATTAATCAATTTTGAAATTCGCTAGTTGTAATATAATTGTAATAAAAATATCAGAAATCGGGGGAAGAAACAATAGATAGATGCTGAAAAAACTATTGGAAATCGATGGGGATTCACTGTGGATTATTCTCGAATTCAGAGCATCAAAAAGTGATTAATCAAACTTGCTCTTTGCTTTAACATATTAAAAATATTCGAACTTAAAAGAAAAGAAAAACACTTTTAAAAGGTTAAAAAACAATCAGAAAATGATGTCGTTAAGATAAAATCGTTGCAAATTGAACACATCAAAAAAGTGAAAACTCTAGTTCAAAATACCTGAGTCATAATAACGTTATATTAAAAACATCTAAATTTGAGAAGCATATTTGAATGGCTGAACAAATGATTGAAGCAGCTAAAAAGAATAAAAACTATTGAAAATTAACGGGTATTTACGATGGAACCGTCAGAAAAAAGGGATTACTCAAATTCAGGTGGAATAGCTGGAGAGGAAAACAATAAATAACTGTTGAATAGCAATCGTAAGTGTTGTGACATCGAAAATATTTAAAATCCATGTTTCAGAACACCATAATAAAAATATCAGAATTTGAAAAATTTCCTAGAAACGGCCCCAAAATTATTATAACTATCAAAAAACTGTGAGAAATTTGATTTGTAGAAATAGACCTATTTTATTTATTTACTTTGTTTTTCCCCCTTATTTTTAACTTATCCAACACGTAATCACAACTGAAAGGCATGTGAGGCATAAATTTTTTTTTCTTCCAAAAAACTGGCAAGCGGTATTCTTCTCAAAAAATTTGAATGTTTCATACTAATTTGAAGTTCAGAAAGAGTGGAAATTTAATTTCATATTACAAAGAAGTGGAAGAAACCAAACCTATTAAAATTTGTTGAAAAAGCAGAAAAGAAAGTGATTGATGTGCAGACTCATTTGAAAAACTATAAAGAGTAAATACTGGACAAAATGAAACTGAATGTTCTGATATTATTCCTCCAAACCTACAATCAGGAATGCTAATACTACCTGAGAAACAAAAAGAAAATTCGAAACTATTTTCAAAGTCACAAACAAAATATAAGAGTTTTGATAACTATAAATACATTTATATATTGTATGAAAATATGGATTCTGAACTAATACTTTTTATTTTAATTATCTTCTCATGACATATTTCTATTATGAGATAAACTGAAGAAGAGAGATGAATTTTTTTTCTTTCTGGGACTTGATTGGATCATAGGAGGAGAACATAATATTTTCTCTACCATCTTTTTAAAGCTGGATAGAGAATATGATATTTATCTAATCATAAAAGAAAAATTATAAGCTTGCGATGTACAATAACATTTTATTTATTAATGATATGAATATGCTTAAGATTAACAGTTCCAAATGAACTATTTTTGTTAATAAGTAAAGAACATTAGAGACTTGATATTGTGAAACTTCTTTCAGATTCTATGAATAAAAAACTATTAAAATAGACGATAGTGTATGTCTGCTGTTGTTACCTTTTTTTTAAAAATTATATTGCCTATTTTTTATTATTTTTTTTTTCAAACTCTAAAAATTTTAATATTTTTTTATAAATGCACTATTTACTATTTTTTTAAATTAATGTTTTGAATTGTAAATGAAGTCTTAGATTTTAAAATTTTTTTTATTTCCCAGTTTAAATTACAATTTTAAGGTAATAGTTTAAGAATTTAGTGTGGGGAATATAAAATAAAATAGAATTTTAATTTTTTTGTTACTTACTAAGTGTTTTTGTGATTGTTGGAATGCTTTAAAAACTTTATATACTATTTTTTACCTTTAGGAACCAGGCTGAAAGCTGAAGATTATATAACAAATTCAGTTTGGTGGCTTATACAGAATCATTATCTACCTATGAATCCACCTTGTACCTTATGTGGATCTAGGGATTTTCTAATAGAGCGTGACGATAAATTTCATGATAAATATTGTTGGATTTGTAGAAATGGAAAGTAAGTATATTTCAGTAAAAAGTCGAGTATTGTTATAAAAACTGATATGCAGTACAAATACTTAACAGTGTGCAAAAAATAAAATAATAAAAAAAATCTTATGTAAATTTTGATCTAATGATGAGATTGTCATACACTCGGGCTCAATCTCAATAGTTCAAGGATTTATTAAACTTGATTAAACATTTTAATTAAATATTGATCTGATAGAATATTAACAAATTGACAGCGTTTTGGATAAAGAAATTGTGCTATAAAAATTTTCTGTATATTAATCTCAAACTATTATGAATTGTTCAGTTCATAATTAATAAAATTATGTTGGAAACTTTTAAAAGTTCCTATTCTGAAGTTAAAATTAGTATATTTTATCTTTTTTTTTTCTCGATAAAATTTGCTCTTATTATACTTAAATAGAGCAAGTTATAACTTTTTTTGTTCATACATTTAAACTTTTTTAAAGTAGTCTGTTATTAAACAATTTCAAAAAATACCCTAACATTTTTGAAAAATGTTGTCCTGATTTTTTTTACTATGCCCAATATAAATCATTTATAGGTGTTTTTTTTTGTTGTTTTGTTTTGATAAAAAGGCTGATGGAATTTGAAAAGTATTGTTAGTCAGTAAAAATGTATTTTTATCACCTACCTAGTTTTTTTCATTTTTAAATTTGCAATTTTGTTTAATACATCCAAACATAAAAATCAAAAACTTACATTCAGAATGTTTTTTTTTTAAATGTAGGTTAACATAATAAAATATTATAAAATTTCAAAAGAAATAATAATAAGAATCTTGTAAGAAATAAATGATGAACATTTATGTATAATATCAAGTATTGTACTCTTACAATTAAATACATATTTTATTTGATATAATCAGTATATTAGCAAATCACTCTATAAGTCTCCAATCTAACAAATTGATGGCAACGTAGTTGACAGAGGATGATGATTTCTCGATAGTAGCAACCTTCAAACGATGTATGTCAAAATTTCATGACATTCTGATAATTTGTTTAGAGGTTATCAGTGGTTTTAGAGACACTAGTTTTGTAAGTCTTTAAGCAACAGATAAAGCATAAATTTTGTGGGTTGATTTGACATTGTTTTTTAATGGGAAAAAATACTGTTCAAATCAAACAGTGACTTGATATGCATTATGAAGACTCTGCACTAAAGAAATCTATTATTGACTGATAATGCTGATCTCTCTTGTCCAAAATCAGCAAATCCTCCTGTAAACATACACAAGTCCAAACAATAGTTTTGAAAGACTGTAAAGTGAAGTTGTGTGAGATAACTTTAAAGATTTCAGATGGTAGCGTCATGATTGCCACTTTTCAGTCCTAGGACTGAATCAGTCTTGAAAAAAAAAATTAGCTCAAAGTAGGCTATCTTTTATCAATTAATATCTTTTCCCCCTTTGCTGTTCAAATTAAATTTTTTTTTCTCTAAAAATGTAATAAATATTTTTTATTTAAAAAAAGTAAAATATTAAACATTGTTATTGTTCATAATTATTGCAAAATGATCGCGTAATAATGTGACAATGCAGTTAAAGAACAGGTTTAATGGAATCTCAGATCGTACTTCTTAAACCAAATTTTTACTATTGTTGAATCTAAATTTGCTTCAGTTTTCATTTTTTCCCCCCAACATTTTGAAATGCAATGCTAGCCAAAGTTAAATTGAGATTATTTTTTTGAAGAAAGAAAATTGTGATGGGACAAAAGATAAACAATGGTGGAATAAGTAGAGATATGAATAGCTTCATGAGAAAATTAGTGGTTTATTTAATGATTGTCCTGTTACTTATTTAACGATTGGTGTAAAAAATTGTATATACTTAGCTGTTATCTTTATTCTGTTTGCTATAAAAAAATTGACAAAATAAAAGTGTTTTAGAAAAAATAATTAAATATGATCATTGAGCTATTATTTTAGCTAGGTACATTTTGAAGGCTGTGAGCTATAAATCTCTGAAAATTCTGGTGAACAATGATAGACCTTGTTAATTGGTCAAAAAGTTTTTAGAGTGGCACTCATGAAAGTGTGTTTACAATTTGACACGAAAATTCGGCAGGCATAAACTGCTTTCGAAATGGAAGCAACATTTACTCACACTGGACCATAAATAACACATTGACAATTCAGGATGCTGTTTGGAGCTATTTTAAGGATTTCTGTTTCAGTATGGAACAAGGGATGAAACATGGATTCACTACTGCACAACTGTATTCAAAAGATCAGCTGAGTCAGTCGCAGCTAGTGAAAACCATCTAAACTCTTAAAAGTCTGCTGGCCAGGTTATAAAATGCATATTTCAGGAGGCACATTGTATTTTGCTCGTCAACTATCTCGAGAAAAGTGAATCTATCGATACCGAATATTACGTGGCATTATTGGGTCAACTGAGTCAAGAATAAACGGCCTCACATGTGAAGGGAAAAAGTTCTGTTTCATCAAGACAGTGCTCTCTGTTTCAAGTCAATGAAAATGATAGTTAAATTCAGTGAATTACACTTCAAGTTGTTTCCTCATGCACTGTGCTCTCCAGACCTGTCCCAGCGACTACTGGCTTTTTGTAAGCCTCAAAAAAATGCTCCACTGAAAGAAATTTTGCTCAAATGAAGAAATTATTGGGGAAGCTGAGGCCTATTATAAGCAAAAGGACTGTAAAATATTAGAGGACTGTATTTTTTAAAAAAGGCAGTAGCGTATTAGAGGAGCAGTGGAATAAATATATCACTCTTGAAGAAAAGCATGTTGACAAAAAAGTTAGAATTTCTAAAAGAAAAAAATCTTAGCTAGACCAGAGGATTTTTGAATGATATATTACGATAGAATTTCTGTCACTTCCTTCGGCTTTTATGTTGACATTTTCTTGCATTTTATGGATTACAAAATAGCAAAAATCCCCCTCTAATATAGTAGCTAAAAAAAATTACTCACGGCAGAGCAAAAATAAAGAAAAATAAAAAATAGTGTTTCCCTATTGATTATTGAAAACATAAGCGAGCATATAACATATTTGCAATGGATTTGTATTAATGTATTTAATGAAATTAACCAATACATTTAGTATAAAATTTTAAAATATTAAGTATAGTAAACTCTTAGAACTTATTACAAATGAAAATTATATCTGAAAAGTTTAATTTGTAGATGGTAGCATATAAAAGACTTGTATCGTTTACATTTATCAATTGTTAATGAATCCAGTAGTATTGAATTCAATTCGAACCAGTAACACGAATTGAGTTTTGACTAGCAGTTTTGAACCTAGTTCAAAAGGTAGCAGATGCTTTCTGAACCTACTTCAGAGTAACCTGACTCGTTCGGATGCATGAGTCATTTTTGAAACTGATTCAAGGAGTTGATATTGATACAAATTAAACTGATGTCTAAAGCAGCTTCTTTCAGATAAAAATGCAGCTCTATTCAAAATGAGTTTATTACACTTTTTTCTTGCATTTTCTCAATGCATTAAATTAGTCATGTAATATTTTAATGTTTTTCTTATGTTTACTTAATGTTTACTTGCAAAAATTAAAAGATATTTATTTATTATAGAACAGATTATTAATATTTTTTATTCTTTGAATTTTCTAACAATGAATGTATGTTAAATATTTTATTATTCTAAACTAACCATTTGTAGCTTAGTGTTAAATTTAAAGCACTTGGTGTTTTATTTAAGGACAAAATTTGAATTTTAATAGCATAAAAATTTATGCTTAGCAGTGTATGTTGGGCTTATAATTTTGTAACACTTTTATTAATGTATACCTAAATTTAAGATTGATCTGTATCAGCTGTATTGGTTTCAGTGGGAAACTGATAGCAAAATAAAATCGCTCTTTCCGTCGCATATGTGTATATATTATATATGGTTAACCTCAATTCTAGAACGATTTTTTTTCATCCAAAGATTAAAACTCGAAAAAAAATTCACATTCATGTTCAAGGATTTTTGTGAAATGTTAATTTAGTGTTTCGTTCTTCCAATATTCTTTGTTTTTGCCAAAAAAATATTTAAATTCAATTATTTTTATTATTAATTAAAAAAAATAATCTCTGAAGTGATGGAAAAGCCTTACCAAAGAAATGAAATACTCAATATACAATTATAAAGATAGTGATCTTGATTTTTTAAAATATTAATAATATTTATGTTGTTTTCAAATACAGTAGGGAACCGATTATCCGGAACGATCGGGACCATCGCTATTCCGGATAACTGATTTTTCCGGTTTTCTGAATCGCTACAAAAAGCCGTTTTTTTTATTGTTAAACCCAACTAAAAAAAAAAATTTTTTTAGAAATAATCTTAAAAAGAAGAAAAAACGATGAAGTAATACACTAATGATTATTTCCAAAATGATGGTAAGGTAAACATCTTTCAAAAAAGAAAGAAAAATCCTAAAATCTTATGAGGAAAAAAAATTTTTTTTTTAAATGGCGGGAAAATTTATCGAATTTCGTTCCGGTTTTTTGGTTTTCCGGTTTTCTGATTTCCGGATAACGGGTTCTGTACTGTATAATTGTTTTCTTTTTTTGCGACATTCTCTCTCTTTTTTGTCTGGATTTTAAATTTCATTTTCTTATTAATAAGAATTCTATAAGTATTGAAAAGCCTACAAAAAAAATAATAATTCTGAATGTACAATTTAATGATTATTTATAGATATTTGCAAAATATTAATAACAATAATATAGTTATTCCTTTCAAATGTAGATTTAGTGCTTTATTTTTGCATTAACCTTTTTTTTGTGATTTAATTTCTCTATATTTTTTTCCTTTTTTGCAGTTGCCTCGCAAGGGAACCTATTAAGAGGCCGAAATTCTTTGAGCGCTTCCAGCTCTTTACATTGGAAGATTTGTTACTGTTAACATTTCACTGGGCGTGCCAGTCCGATATCGAAGAAATATTGGCAGACGTGTCTTTAGACGTTGAAACTATCTGGAATTATTATAAAGCTCTTCAAGAACTTTGTCATAATGCTGTGATTAAGAGTGGCAAGATAGGGACTTGCCCCAAAGCTAGAATAGAGACATCTGTAGTGAAGTTGGGGAACTATTTTATATTGGGTGCTTTAGAAAGGTTCAATCGTTTCACACGACTTCAAGTAATTCCAGTCAACGAAGCATTTGAAACTGATAGGCACCTGAAACTGTTAGAAGAGTGGTTGAATTATAATTCAGTTCTCATAAGTGAATCGAAAATACCGGACGAGTTTTTAAGGAATGTGTATAAAGTCAGCTCTGATCCTACTTTTACGGATTCAAAAAGTAATGGTTACCATATAATGAACATTTCAAGGTATTTAGTGCGCAATATGATAGGTATATTTGGAAAAGTAAAAGTTCAGTTTTTGCACCAACAAATAGTACAAGGTTTTTTGAATGAACTGATGTGGAGAGACAGGAATGGAAAATTTTTTGATCAAGCATTCTGGAACATACTTATAGACATTGGGAAGTTAGATCGTGAGACGATGGTGCAACGTGAGTGTTTTTTTTCTTCTTCTTCCTATCATTGTTAATTGCATGCATGGTTAAATATTTTGTTGCAGCAATATTTATTGTAGAGATTATGCATTAGTGTCTATAATTCTCAAGTGTTTTGTTGCAATATCTATCCTCTTCAAAATGTTTTGAGCAAACAGTAATAAATTATAAATTGTGAAACTATTGAAATACAGTAGAACCTAGATTATCTGACACGGGTATGTCATAAAATCAAGAACATTGGATATTCAGGAACTTTTTTTTTTATATAACTGTCGTTGAACTGCCGACCCAATGTGTTTAGTGTTAATAATGTAATGTTTAGTGTTAATATGAATGCAGTTTATTAATTTCATTTTTGTTTATAACTATTTATATTAATCTTCCTCAAATGTTCTTAATGTTATTGGGCATGTATATATATATATTTGCCAGGAATAAATAGTTAAATGATTTTTGTCTTTTTTGTAATGTAATAAAGTCATTCTGTACTCAAAAAATATTATAAGCCTGTATTGTGTATGCAGATATTTGATTATTATTATTTATTTTTTTTTGAAGAATGCATAATTGCTTCTTATATTTGTATAAAGGACACATTTTTATTACACTAAATATTTACTGCATTTTCATTGTGTAAAAATAAGCTCATATTAGATGTAATTTTATACTTTGTTTATTCAGGTGAAGATTTTAATGTTATCTTAGATTTAGTTTTTAATAGATAGTTTTAGTTAGTTTTTTAATACATAAACATATTTTTAGATTTTCTTTCTTTTTATTTCTCTAATAAGTAAGATTTTTTTCCATATAAACTATATACTTGTGTATATTATGTTTTCTTTTTTTGAAAAATTTCTATTAAATATTTAAAAAATCCTTGTGCTATAAATTTCTAGCATAGCATTTTTTTAAATAGCATTTTCCCCCAAAATCCTCTCTAATTTTGTTTTTATGATGTTGGCAGCTATGCATTTGGCACCAGGGTATGCCAAGGCCCTCTGCTGAAGATTCCACCAGGAAGGCCTATTTTTTGACCCATTAAACCAATCCTATTATACTAGCCCAGTTCATTCTTTTAATTTTCTCGATGTTGAGGAGGTTGGGTTCTTTAAAAAAGAAATTCCCGAGTTAAAGTAGCTTTATCCAATGCCAATTTCTTCGATGTCACTGATAATAGAGAATTTAGATGAATAAATACCCCTTCAAAAATGAGGGGTAAATAACTGCAGGGGAAGGAAGCCATTTAAATTAGTAAAAAACTGGAAAAAAAATCTCACTCCATATATTTCAAATTCCTTTTCATGCTTTTTATAACGTAAGCAGAAATTAATTTAAGCTTGATTCTTCAATTTTGAATAAGTGACTTTTTACATATAACTGTTAACAATATTTATAACATAAATAATAATAATTATTATTATTACTTTTTTTTTAGCTAATCCTGTAATTGTAAATAGAGGGAGGACTTTGGACAATGATTGTGTAAGTCAAGCTATATTTATTTTTATATCAAGTATTCTTTTGCTATATTTATTTTTATATCAAGTATTCTTTTGCTGCTAACTTTATATTTAATTTATGATTGCAAAAGAAGTTAGAAAACAATTTCATGTCTGTTACTATCTACAGTTAAATGTATATCCATAAAATACATTATGATAATATTACTTTGTTGAACCCTTTGGGCAATCAGAGTCATTAGTTCTTTTTTTTTTTAATGAAATTACTGATAAATATAAAGTTTAGATTGTGGAGTACACCAATAATGCATGCTTATTTATTTAGTGTTTAACTACATCTTAAATTAATATTTTTGTTTTCTATTACAGAGTCATTTAAGCCCTGCGCTCGTTGCCCGATGGGGGAGGGTAAAAACAAGTAAGCTTTTTTCTACCAATATAAAAATATTTTTTTAAAAATGTTTATGATTTTATTTATTGATGCTATTCCTATCCACATAATTTGGCTATAATTTTAAATCAGACTCAGAACTTAAGAAAATTATTTGATTACCGAGGCAAAGTATAAAGTTAACAGAATATTTTTCAAAAGAAAAAAAAGTAGACCATAAAGACTTTGTAGGTTCCTGCTACCAAGAGTAGATGTGTGATTAACGGGGTAGATTTGTTTCAACTTTTAGTCATATCTTTTAAGTTTCAGCTCAAAGTTCAAACTTGGCAGAAGTTAATAAAATGTGTTCAAACTTGTTGTTTAAACCACAGATAGACAGATTACAAACATTTATGCTATCACTTTTTATATTTTCTCTGATTGTTAAAAACTATTGTTTAGTCTTCTAGATTTTACTGAGAAAACTGAAAGTTTTTATATCTAGGATTTATTATTTTTAATTCTTTTAACTTTTTCTTTATTTAATTCTTGTTTAGTTTATATCTCATAAAAAATTCCAATCTTTATAGCAGCAGCTGTTAAAGAAAATGAAGACATACCTTTCATTGATGTAAGTAATTTATTCAAATAGTTTAATATGAAATCTATAATTAATATGAATTGATGAATGCATATTTTTATAAATATGTCAGCAATGCTTGTATTATTTTGTTCTGAGTTGTAAAGTTTTGGTGCATATGAAATATATTTGATATTTTAAATAATATTTTTGGGAAATGTAGAGTAAATGCATTTTTTTTTCATCTTGGTAGTGTTTTGAAAGTATTTATTAATATTTGAAATTATGCATAATATACATAATTTTTAAGTAGAATTAATTTATTAGGGTGTTACCAAATTTGCAAAAATTTATGGAACGAAAAAGGGTAATGGATTTATGAGCTCTAGGATTTTATTTCTTATAAAACCTAAGAGATGATTTATAAAACAAATACCATTATTCAATACTTAATTATTCTTTATTATTAAGTTTATGTATTAGGTAAGGTTTTTCAAGGTGAAATTAAGATATGCTAGCAGTTACCCTAATAGCACCATTACCAGATTGCAATAAAAATGTGACAGTCACTGATACTCATTTATAAAATCATGTATAGTTTTTGCACCACTGATGCATAGGTAAAGAAAGGTAGCATTGTCTGTCTTTGGAGGTGTCCTATTTCGATGTAAACATGACAAAAACGAGCCCTTTAACGTCATAGTGAGTGCAACAAAGATTTGAAATATTTATGTCTCAACTTAGTCACATTGTGATCCTGTAGAGTCGTAAATATGTCACAGTTTCCTCACATAGTGACATCTCAAAAGGCGGACATTGAAACCTTTTTTGACCTATACACCAACACCGCAAAAACCATATGTGACTCTAATTTTGAGTATTTGTGACTGTTGCAGTTTTATTGCAATCTGATGACAGAGTTATCTTGGTTATACAAACAGCTAACCATTAAGGTATATATTTCAATAAATACATAATAATGAGCATAGTACCTTCTTAAGAATCAGTAATGATGATTGCTAAAAATTTATTTACAATAATATTCAATAGAAAAATTTCTGTAAATTGAACTAACTCATTCTGGTTTTCCCTATAAATCAAATTTCATTACCAACTAAAATTTTTTGACATCCATGATAAATCTCAAATGCTGATTAAACTGCACTACTCTTTTTAGTTTTGTTATTGACTTTTATACCTTCAATTGCACATCCTAATGAATTACATGTGTGTTCAAATAGTAAGTTTTATTGAATGGCTCGTTCCCAGAAAAAGGAAAAATTTCACTCACCTAATATTTTTTTATCAATTTTAATATTTCAAATTGGACCATAAAAATAATTTTGGAAGGAAGAGTTTTCAACTGCAATTAAGAAATCAATATTTTAAATTTAAATAAAGCTTCAAATATTTTAATTTCTTTCGAATATTTTAGTTTCTTAATCGTTCAAAAATTTATGAGAAATTTTTTTTTGTAAAGGGTGTTGAAAAAGACTGTTATCAACAACACCCTATTGGTAACAATTTTTTTTTATCCAGGTGCCGATGCTCACCTCCTTAGTAGGAGAAAACTTATCTAGACATTATCAAAGTCGTCAACAAACAAAAAAAAGATCCCCCTTTTCTGGCAGTTTTTTTTCTGAATTGAGCTTTTTTAGCTCCCTTACTACTGGATTCTTGTAAATCTGTCTCTAAAATTAGACAAAGCTGAACTTGGTAGCAAAAAAGCTTTTAAAGTAATTTCTTTCAATTTTGTTTGTTGTTGATTTTATAACATAGGGCAAACAGTATTTCTAGTATCAATACAGAAAAGTGAAAAACAATTATTGCACCCCCCGTGGCAGAATCACGGCGACATTGTCGCAGAACATTACAGAGTTCAAGCAGAAAGATTTTTCTTTTGAAAAGTAAAAATTTTTTGGATTTCTTGGCACGTAATATTTGAACCATGCATTTAGATAATCACTTTTTGACGCGCTTAATTTACGCCGAAGATATCATAAATCAATGATTCCATTGTATTTTCAGCAGTTTATTGATATTGATTTTCACGTGGTTTTTAAATACCACGATGTATTTCAAACAATATGGAAAATTGGAATCGTGCATTTGAGTTTTTACTTTTTAACGCAATGATTTTATCTAATTTTTGGCAGCTATTGATTTCTCAATATTTAAATCCGAAATTTTTATACAAATATTACAATTATTTATTATGCGTTTGAATAACCCCTTTTTGAGGAGTACAATTCGCTTGATTTCGTCGTTGATCTTTTTTTTTTTCGATAATGGATTACATGATTTTTAATTATTTTTTTATTTCAATGATTATTTACAAAGTGCGAAGAAGGAAATAATTTGTGCGTTACCAACCCACCGCAACAAAATGCAAGAATATCACACATAATATTAGAATACAAAAATTCTTGTATGTTCAATTAGAAAAAATTATAGTTTTTTTGTAAACGAAGCTATTATTATTTTAAATTAGTTACATGTATGTTTGTTATTATTAAAAAGTATCTTGCAGAAGGATATTAGTGCTCGACAGTTTTGTCACAGGAATTGCACCTTATTTCCTTCTAACAACTTTATCCCTTTTATGTTTATAAAGCAAACATGTGAATGATCACCGGCCAAGTTATCTTCCTTTTAAAAGAAAAATTCTATTTTTAAAATTCTGCTGCCCAGTTTTTAAAAAGTAACTTTTGTGGACTGCATATTTACCATACTCTCTGTATTTAAAATAAATCAAAATAATTGTTGTAATTAAATTAAAAGAGGTGTATATTTATTACATATTTTTGACATTTTTTATTGATTTAATTTTTTTAAACTCTTGCATTTGCATGACAATTTATTAACTCTTGCATGAAAATTTAGTGACTTTTACTACACGTTGTGTGAAATTTTGATTAAATATTGTTATTATAATTTATATTTTCACTCTCCTATCTGAATATTTTTTTTTTCCTTTGTGTTTTAGACTATTCCAAAGAGTCTAGTTACTGAGATAGAAATTGAAGAGAAAGTGCCTGAAAAAACCTATGAGAAAAGCTTCACACAAACTTCAAATGCAGTGAAGATATCTCGAATTTTACGAGATAATGGCTTTTTGAATATTTTATTTCAGGATTTGCCAGAGGTACCCGGTGGTGAACTTTTAGTAACTCCCAAAGTTTTATTGGGGATAAAAATTGTTTTAAATGACTCTCTAGACTTTCTTGAAAAATATAAGGCAGAATCCATAAGTTTGGGTAAGGATTTTTGTTTTCTTTTGCTGTTGTTTAAATGAAATGTTAATGTGTGTTAAATTTTATTTTATTGTGCAACATATAATTTGGTGTGTTATATAATTGTGTATATAATTTATTTCCCTATTTAAAGGAAGTTATTTATTACCTATTATGTTTTCTTTTTTCCTTATTTATTTCAAATTTATTGCAAAACTTTTAATGGTTTTTGCACCTGTTTATTATTATTTAATCTCTAAGATCTGTGTAATGTTTGTTTAAATCTTATTGTATATTTCAGCAAATTGCACTTATTTGTACTGGTGTTTAAATGAGGAAAACTTTTTTTTTTGAATAAAAGGCTCTTTAAATATTCCTTTTCCACACAAATAAGGACATTTATTATTGCCATTTATCTATATTCAATTCAATCAGTTTTTTTTTCTCCATCTGTTTATGTTAAAATATACAATATGTAATTCTTTTAAATGCGCATTTTTTTCATGCAATTTATTGCTGTGAAACAAGTATCTCAATACATCCTGTTAAGTTGTAAAATTGCATATACAATATCATGAATGAGTTGACAAAATTCAAATTATCGAAAAAGAAAATTGTAGTATTTTAACCATTTAAGCTAAATGAAAAAAGTTTTAAAGTTTAAAAATAATAAAGCATCTTGTGGGAAAAGGAAGTGAGAAACTGTAAATTTCAGAATAAAATTTGATTCAGCTATTTACAGATGATGTCCCCTCAATTTATTACCCATTTCTTCTTGCTGCTGAATTTCAATTTATTAAAGGAATGAAATTAATTCTAGTTAGCATTTAAATAATAACTTTGTAAACACTATAGCTTTTTTTTTTTTTTTTAAATTTAGATGTTGTTGGTTTTACTTCAGTGTATTTAAAGTGTTAGAGATACATTACATTTGATTTTTTTATTATTGATATTGTTTTGTTTTATTAAGTGAGAAATAAAGCAGTACTCTTAAGAAGACAAAAAATTATTCTCTAACCAATTTTATTTTATAACCATTATTGAGCAGTCAACCCAATTTTGGTTTTACTACTATGAATGTTCAACTTCGTAGCCTTGCAATTTTGAACCCAATCCAGAAAACAAGGGAACTCCCGAATCAAGTATTGGGAGGAATTTGCCTTTGTGGAGGACGTTTTTGATGAAACTAACCTGCATTTGTGTTACATGGGAAGGAAAACCTCCCACGCTTAGCCTGACGGCAAGGGGACTCTAACCCATGATCCGTCTGCAACTGAGGAAATTTTACGTCAGCATTGCTGTCTGTGCGAGGCAGTTGCGGAATTCGTATTGACCAGCCATCACTGGGATTCAATCCCAGTTCACATCATTCGCAGGCAAACATCCTATTCCCTGAGCCATCACGGCTCTCTCTAACCAATTATCAACACTCAAATAATAATATAATTTACATTTTTCAGGTCTTCGCCTGAGTGCTGAAGGTTTCATAAACAGTCCAGTCCGGTGGTTAGTAAAGAAAGGATTTATTCGAAGCAAGGCACCTTGTTATGTGTGTCATAACACATCATTTTTGAGGGATAACCCTAAATACGAAGATGGTTGTTCTTGGTTATGTCAGTGGCCAAGGTAACTATTTTTTTATTCTGTTAGCCATCATTTATTCAAATTGTTAGACATTTAAGAGTTTCAGAATTACTATTAGCCATATTATTAAATTAGTACTATTTTAAAACAATACGCTAGCTACTTTAGAAAGTAGTTTTAATTAATATGCTTTATAACACTTTTCTGTTATATCACATGTATATAATTTTAATGTGTCTTTTTATATGTTAGGAAAATGATATAATTTTATTCTGAAAACTCGGCTGCAATTATTTTAATTTAATTATATTTAATCTTATAATATTTTTATTATTATCATAAAAAATTTTAAAAATTAGGAGGGATTCTTTATATGTACCTGCCGAGTCTCCTGTTTTTTAACGAAGACTCCTGTATTTTACAACTTTCTCCTGTTTACCCGTATATTCTCGAATTTCTCCATGTTTGTTGAAAATATTTTTTTTTTTAAAATTTTGACAATAAAATATCCACTAATGACAAAAATACTTCTCTTATCCCTCAACAGATAGTGCTATGTTTAATAGGTAAATTTGTAGGTGTGTGAAATGATTTATGGAGAGCAAATATTTGTGTTTCAAGTTTTGTGCAATTAAGATTTTCTATGCAAATTAAAAACTCATTATTTTTGTTTTTACCTCCTTTAAGTTAGAGTTAATAGCATTTAGTTGATTCGACTAAGTGACTAAATTGACCAAAGTTATTTAAGCAGTTTTGTAAAACTAAATTTAATGATTCTGATTGATTTTCACCATTGATTTTTTTTTCAAGAATGCTGACCATGGATAATAATTTTATTTTTCATTATCATGCATTACATTGATGTGATTTAAAAAATTTCAATATTAATAATGAAAAAGTTTTGTACTTTATCAAGGTTACCACCCCAGGGAGAATAGGAAAAACCTGAAAGATACGAGGAATTTTAAAATCCCTTGAAATGCAAGAAATTTTGATTCCCCCCACCCCCTTTACAAATTGGGAAAATACAGGGAATTTTGATTTTTTCTTTCATTACAAACTGGAAAAGTACTGGAAATTTTGTTTCTTATTTTTGTTTTATAAAAAATGATGATATTTAAGGATGATATTTCAGCTAGACTAAACTATTTTATTTGCGATAGCATTATTTAAGTATGTTCAGCTATTCTTTTTTTCCCAGCAATTAAAACCAATATAGCTCACCGGTGGGTACAGTGATTTTGTGTATCCTCTTAATATATTGTGTATTTTTTCCAGATTTGAGTGGCAACCCTGTTTATTTATCTTTCTATCAATACCAAATAAAATTCTCTTAAATTAAGATATATTTATTTTTCTTCCAGTTGCAAGTTTGAGAACATCTTCAAACGACCACATTTTTACGCTCGTTTTCCTATGCTGCCTATAGCCCACATGAATGCTATGGTTTATCATTGGACAGTACATTCTGAGATCTCACGCATCACATCTGATGCACCCATGGAAATTTCTAAACTGCAGCACGTTTGGCGATCATTCCAAGTACTTTGTTCCACGTCTTTGAGGAGAAAAAAAGTGAGGCTTGGCGGTGAGGGTGAAATGGTAGAAGTGGCCATGGTGCAGTTTGGAAAATTGTACATTCTTGGTGCAATGGAAAGAAGAACAAAGTATACTTTATTGCGAACATTTTACGTTGATCTCGGTGGACAGATCCCAGTTTTCCTGAAAATATTGACCCAGTGGATACTACCTTTATCTTTTGTTATTATCAATGCCACCAAATATGTTCAAATGCCTCCTGAATACAACATAATGGTTGCTAATACTTCTATTACTGACCCTAATGATATTGGTTTCCATGTCTTGAACATAACAACATATTTGTTGCAACACGTAAGCTCCATGTTTGGACATTTGAAGGCTGAAGATGTCAGAGCAGAAGTTATGCAAATTTATTTAGATGAACTGATGTGGAGAGAACGTTACGGAAGAATGCCCAGTGAAACATTTTACAATATATTAGGAGATATTTTTGATTTGGAAACTAAAGGTGAGGTCATCAAAGCTCAAAGTCAGTTCTAAATAATATTTGCTTCTGATGTACTATACCAATCTACTGTTTTTTCTTTTGATATCTAATATGTTATTTCAGGTTTTTGCTGTAACTTAGGATAATTTTGTTTTCATATATGACATGTTTTCAAAACAACTCACTTCTAGGGAAAATAACTTATTTGTAGGCAAAGATAAAATTCAAAATGTATATCATAGGTTCATTAGAGTTTATCATAACCACTCTGCAAGGGCTGAAAATTCCCAAGTATCCATTATTAAGTCCTATGTATATTAATTTTATTGTTATTTATTTTGTTTTCTAATGCGAATTAGAAACTAACTTGAATTGAACATTGTTAGGCATTTTCATAATATCTGCAACTTCTTAAATTTTGTTACAACTGTCTTGACATGAAAAACAGCAGCTGGCATCAAATATTTTAATATTTTTAAAGTAAATAATCCTAAACCGAATTTTTGTATATCGTAATATCCATTCAAAGCATTCTTAAGATTAGCCTCTCTTATTAACCATTATAAAGTAATTGTTTACACTACCATCTATATTTGAGCCGTGGTGAGATCGCTCATCTCCCAATGAAGTGGGCCAGGATTTGAATCCCAGCGATACCTGGTCGATACAGATTCCGCACCCGTCTTGTACCGACCACAGTCCCAATAAAAAAATAACCTCGGTGGAAGACGGAACAAGGGTTAGAGCCCCCTTGCGATTAAGCTAATCGTGAGAGGTTTTCTCTCCATGCAATGCAAATGCAGATTAGTTCCGTCAAGAAAGTCGTCCACGAAAGCAAGTTTCTACCAATACTTGAACCAGGAGTTCCCTTGTCTACTGGACTGGGTTCTAACTTACAAGGCTTCAGCGTGGGACATTAGTAGTTATAAACTCAAAATTGGGTTGGCTTTTTTTTTTAACAGTTATAAAATAAAATAACAATTTTACAGAATTGCGATATTGCCTTAGCAAACAGCTGGATGTTTGTCCTAACAATAGTGGATTGATCTTGTGCTGTAGTTCAGCTTTAAAGCTGGAATACGTTGTGCTCATACTGGGCTAAAGCGAAGAAAGAAGGGCTAGTTAATTTCTTTTATAGAGCTGAAGCTACAATTTCCCTCCCTATGACGTCACACCGCACACAGATCTCTGAGATCGTAAGCAAAGATATATGAAAACTTTGCATCATTCTCTCTGTAAAAATAAGTTCGACTTTTTCTTGATATTATCTTTCAAACTTTATACAATTAACGTATTATTTAAGTTCAAAAACATGGTTTAAAAAAATTTTCTTGGCCATAATATTAAATTAAATACCATTTTAAAGTAATAAAAATATTTTACTAGGTGTCATAAATGAAGCTACAAATACTTTATTTTAAAATTTTTAGTTTTAATTTTTATTATTAAAAAAAATTAATGCATATATCGACACTTTTTTAGCTATATATTGTTCGATGACAATAATTTATAAAGTTGGATTAAATTTAGAATCCTGATTTTAAAATATGCTATTAATGACAATTTATTGATACTTAATCATTAGGAAACAACAATCTTCGCTAATTACTCAAACAAAATAATAATTTAGGTTCATAATAATGTTAGAAATTTTACAATTGCTTATAGATATTTAAATTTGATTTTTTTAATAATATTCTTTTTATAAAAAAGGAATATTATTAAAAAAGTCATAAATATTTAGAATAACTACATTAAAAACTATGTTATGAAATTAGGAGAATTTAAACTAATAATTACTTATGATTTTCATTTAAGTTCTTATTTTCTTTGAATTTTTTAATTTTTTGGTCTGCCTTTCTTTTTGAAGTAACATGGTGGTTTCAATTTAGATGGCGAATAAACAAACCAGGAATCGACACTTTGCATTTATACAATCCTTCTTGCCGAGAAGAAATTGTTCGTAAAGAAGAAAATTTACTCTCGGTATTGCAGTAGATTTTAAAATCATTCTAATCGGCAATTCAAGCAAACAATTTCTCATATCTTCATAATCTTCTTTTCAGTAATGCTTACTGCAATTATTATTTGTGCATATTTTATGTTAACTGAGTCATTTGGTTTGCAATGTTGAAGCCATTCTTTGCATAGTTGTTCATTTACTTTAGGGAACACATGGAAGATTATATTTTGTCCTTTTGCGTTTCTATCGGAATTTTTGCAAGTTGCAATAGCACAAGCTGGCATTTCGTTAATAATTTTAATTTTTTGTAATTCACTTAAAAAAACTGGGGTAAATCATTATAGAAAGCAACGAATGTTTTGGAATATGCCGCAAAAAGGAATGCTCCATTATTAGTTAGACCGAACACCCTGTTCTTGAGGTAAAAGTTCAAGCTTTGCACTGCCGTGACGTCACAGGCGAAAATCGGAGGTTTTGCGGCAAGAGATTCTTCAAAGTAGTGAACTAGCCCTTCTATTCTCTCTTTAGCCCTGGTGTTCCTAGTGCACTTTAGTACTGTAACAGGTCAAAAAAAAAAAAAAAACATGACTTATCAGACCCTTGTAGAAAAGTACTGCAGTTTCTTGATAGCAACTAGTTGATCACCCATCAAAACTAGATCATCACTTTTGGATCCAGTCATGCATATCGCACTGTTAGCAGATTGGATTTTCGCATAAGACTAGCAAAATTTGCCGATTCAAAGGTTATCTAATTATTTTTGAAATTTGTTAGATGAGAAGCAAAAATCAGTTATGGATGCTGAACTATTTATCTCCTATATTCTAAATGAACATAATATTCAAATACCACCTCTGACCATGCTGAAATATTATTTCTCCCGGTTCCAAAATAGCCTGAAAATATGGCTATGTGAAATATTTTAAAGTTCATCTTTGTTATATAGAAAAACTTCTATATATATTCATTATAATGTTATTTTAGTTATCCATTTTTTTTTTATTATTGCTATTAGAAACTAACTTAAATTTAATGTAATTTGTATTTTTCATCTCTACAGCTTTTTGAATTTCTGTTATTACAACTCCTAATGTTTATTTTTAAATATTTGAGTTTTTGCTTATGTTTCATAGATATAGAAATGTGTTCAAATGTTATTTAAAGCTTATTACATTAATTAAACACTAAAAAGGTACTTCAAGAAAAACGAATTTCCTATTTTAGCTTTCATTTAGCAAAGTTAAAATTCATTGAAAGGAATTTCTAAGTTTCAAATATGTTCTTTTTTTATTACCCAGAAAAAAATTATAAAAAAGGGTTATTAAAGGATTTTTTAAAGTTTAAGTACTTCAACGAAGAACATTTATGTTACAAGATCTTCCAATTTTTAGTGAAACCTTCCTATTTTGAAACTTTAATCTTCCTAATACCTACTTTCGGAGGTTGGCAGGTACTTTTTACACATTTTGTTTACTTACGTTTGGAAAATATTATACTAAAATTATATAATTTTAAATTAAAAATAATAATTGTCTGTGAAGTTTTATGAAACCAAAACACTGCTGTGTTATTTTCCATTACATAATACGCTGGCTCTTAGAAATTTTGACTTTTTGTAGTACTCTGTTTCCTTGCATAGCAGCATAGAGATGCCATTGTTCAATTCAGTTACCAAACATACCTTTTCATCTGGGTGTTACAACAGCTATGATCATGCCTTCAGTCGTTCAACAGAGATAATTGTACACAAAAATTTTCATTTTGCCCTTTGCAAAAAAGTCAAATAACTTAAGATCAGGGGATCTGAGTGCTTCAACAGGGTTGCCACTCCACAGGGAAAACCTGGAAAATACAGGGATTTTTTTCTTCTTATTTTCGTCTTTTAAAAAGTGATGATCACTCTATGCACATTCTATGAGATGTTTAAAGATGATATTTCTGCTATACTAAACTATTTCATTTACTATAGCATTATTTGTTTCAAGTAGGTTAAACTGTTTCTTATTTCTTAAAGTTTTCCTGCAATTAAAACTAGTATAGTTAGCCTAATATAGCTCAGACAAGAACTCAGTGATTGTATTTTTCCTTTTAATATATAGTGTATAATGTGTACAGGGAAAACACAAGGAGTTTTTTTCTCCGTATTTGAGTGGCAACCCTGTTAAATCAGGGGTAACCCTTATCATACCCATCAATCAGGAAAAGTCAGTTGAAGATTATCGGGCTCCGTGTGGCCAGAATGTGAACGTGGTCCTTCTTATTGAAATATCACTAGAAAGATTTGAAAGCAAAGTTGTTCGTCTTGTTACTTGAAATATTTTTTAAACTTGTTGTATTTTCTGTTTAAATCTTTTTTTGTTTAATTATTAATTTTTTAAGTAAATATAATTTATGAACATACTTACACTTATAACTAACTTTTCATCATTAACAAACTATATCAATTTTCCTATTTATTTTCAAAGGGGGCAAAATTTGTAATTGTTGAAGTGTTTAATGAACCACAAAAATGACAAGTTATAAGCGAACAGTTCTTTTAAACAAGCTTACTGTTCCATATTTTTTTATTTAATTATGTATTTCACTTTACATAGGTGGCATAATAATTTAGAGAAATTATTTTACTTTTAAGGATATTTAATATTTAACACTGGAGATAAATGCCTTTCATCTACAGAAATCGTACAAAAATACCTTTCTCGTTGATTCAACCTAATTTTTCCCCACTTTTTTACCTTTATTTTTCATTTTTATACAAGTATTATGTTTAAATAAAGGGCTTAAACTAAGGTCTCTAACCATTAAAATTTATAACTATGCATTTATTATCTTTTTGTTCCTAATGGAATTTCCAAGTAGCATTGAAATGTATATAAATCAAACAGTAACGTATATAAATTGAATGAAATGTTTATAAATTAAAGATTTTATGTTGAATATTTTTAAAACTTAATTTTAAAATGAGTTCCAGCATACATACAAAGCTAGACTAAAATGCATAAGTATCCAAAAAACAATTGCATAAGGTTTAGTTATAGGCAATGTTTAGGAGTTAGCAAGCACCGCTAACTGGGATTGGGGCCCCCAGTTATGATTTTAATATCTTTAAAATTGTTATAATGTGTGAAAATGCCTCATTATTTTCAGTCATTTATTGTACAATTTTAATATTGATATTTGAAATGGGATCTGTTGAGTTAGAAGTTAACTTATTAATCAACTTACTTGCAGATAAACCTGTGGATTTAAACATAAATAATCATTCTAGTTTGCAAAAGGAGAATGTTTGCATGTTTGACAAATTGGCAGTCCGGTCAGAAAAAAGTAGGTTTCCTATTATCAGCAGTAATTTTCAATGCATAAACTGTATGCACTTTCAACCTGCAATCTTTCAACTTCTCTGTTAACTTATTTTAAATTTTTATATGTTATTTTCTAGTCTTTTTTTTCTGTTTTGACTTAATTGCTTCCCATTACTGTTAAAACTCTTTATAAAATATCTTTATGGTAAAAAGAACTATTTTTGATTTATAATTTTGTTCTTCTTGACTTTTAAAACATATATTTGTACTTAATGTTTCTTATTTCCTTTTCTTAATGCAGGAGATGAAATTATAGTTTTGAAAGTACTAGCCAGACTAAACTTTTTGCCCCCATATATTTTCATGAAAAATGTGAACAAGTTTTAAAATTTTAACAGATGTAATTTACTTTTGCTTATTATTTTTAATGATTGTCTACAGCAAACTCTGGGGAAAGTATGTTAGTTTAAAGCCCAATAAAGTGACCGCCACTAGTAAAAATCGCTGGATTATAGAATCAACTGTTTTTTGAAATTATATCTGCATGAACAGAATTGTTGCAATAATAAAAGCATCCTTTTATAAAATTATGATAACTGTTTTGTAAACTCAACTGTGTTTAAAATAATTTAAAACACTGTCTTTTTTTCCTTTCTATTTTCTCAAGTATTAAAAGCGTGTAAATAACAAATTTCATTATGCCCCCAACAGACAAGTGTGGATAACACTATTTAGGAAAAATTGTGGGTAAGAGTTAGAACATTTTGAAACTAGGAGTATAAAAGAATCCGAATAAAAAATTATTTTTGGAATTAAGAAAGGTTATAGAATAGTCATTCAATGTAAATTTTTCATCACTCATTCAATAATATAAATATCTTCAATTGATGTCAGAAAAGTACTTCATATCTTAAGATCAAAAGGAAATATTGAAAATTGCAAGAACTTATATAAACTTTCAAAATGTCTTAAGTCTTTAATTTTAGAACTCTTTTGTAAATTTATATATATATGTAAATCATTATAGAAAGCAANATATATATATCATGTTTAAATAAAATATAAATGTATTTATTAATTTAGCTTTTAGCGTATTTGTGAACTTTGAAACATTTTCCCTAAGTACATACATTTCGGCTTATAAAATCAGCCGCTTAATAAAATCAAATGCTTTCAGAACGAGTGTGATTTTAATGGGTGGTGAGCATTGTGTTTAACAAGACTAAACTTACTTGTCAGCTCTAAATATTTAGTCCCTAATGGCAAGCTGGAGACTGGAAATGTTGCAGTCTGTTTTAACACTTTTAGATTTTACATACAACAGGTGTGCTATTTATTTAGGATGTTGAAATCACTACCCAATTATGAAGCTAATTTATTGCATTTGAGACTAATTTGAATTTCATTAAATGAACCTAGCAAATTATACACAATTAAGCTTTATTTGTTTGAAAACTAGAGTACTTATTAATTTAAAAGTGAAGTATGTCATAATTTTAAGAATATGTACCTAAATAACAACAACAACAAAAAAAAAAACTTTTGGTGTAGAAAATATAGAATAGATGATTAATAAAAAAAATTTGATTTAAGCAAATGAAAATGAAAGGGGCATAACTCTCCTGGGGATACAATTATATATTTTTTATTATGAAACTATTTTACAAATGAAATTTATTGGTCATCTGTTTTATTTTTCAAGTTCAGTGGAAATTTTTGAATCCTACTTAATTTTCCAAAACCGTTTTGTAGAATTTTTTTTCTAAATTGTATCTTTCTTTTTAAAAAAATAAATGACATGAGTAAAAATTGATTTGCTGTGGCTATAAGTAGAATAATTGAAATTTTTTTACACTCTTTCTTCTTAAAATGGTAAAAATGTATGAATGTATTTTTTGCCATCCATATTTGCCGATTTCACCTGCTTTTGGTCTTGATAGTTGATTCATTCTTTATAATGACTTGTTAAGCTTGATTTACAATTAGTTTAACCACTACTATATCTAAGCAACTTAAACCAACATATAAAACTGTATAATTGTGCTATGAAATTTTTGAGCTCGGATAAAATAACTTAAATTAAACTTATTTGTTATTTTGTTATCATTTTAAAGGGAGCTGGAACTTTCCTGGTTGGCATGTATGGATATCTTTTAAATGTGAAATCCAGTTAATATTAGTACACAATAAGATTATCATTCCTCACTTTTAACATCATTAGATGCCGATAATATCTTGTGTAAAATAATGCTTATATTTTTTTCAGAATGTATCCTGTACTTTTTTTTATATTTCACAAAGTAATGTCTATAGTGTAGTTACTTTTCTAGTTTGGGAATAGTCAAGGCAAAAATTACATTTATTTTAAAGTTAACAAAATATTGTTGCTAAAATTTAGAATGCCTGTAGAAAAGAATCATAAATTTTTGTTTTTAAAGTAAGAAATATTACATTACTTCTAGTTTAAACATTGAATCATGAGCTATTAAAACTATTTTTCGTTGTTTTATTTCCTTAGTAATTTGAATTAATAATAATTTCTTATTTTCATTCAGCTGGCTGTAAAATAATGAAAGCTTGTAAAAAATAAATTAGATTTGATTTTTTAACCAATTCAATGTTCACTCTTCCAAAGAAAATAAAGTTTTTGAACACCAGGTATTTTCTTGGCCAGACTATGACCAAATATATTCCGTTTGTAAAGCTTTTGATCTAGTTTACAGAAAATTGAGTTACTTCAGTAATTTAACTTTTTATAAATTTGATATAATAAATAACTTTTTTTTATTTTTTCAGATGGGCCTTCGCATGAAAGTAAAACTTGTGTAAATGATGTAAGTTTATTTTTATTCAAACAAATTTTTTTTTACTGTGAATATTTTGATGAAGTAAATGAAAACAAACATTATACATGACATTTTATGTGAAAGTTAATCAGTTGAGTTATCCAAACTTTTTAGTCTCTGCTTAACGTAAAAAATTATTTAGCTAAATAAAGTAGCTTTTTCCTACAAATTTTTTTAAGTTGTAAATAACTGTGGATAAAATGAATCATGTGAATTAAAATCGTAAAATCTGTGTACAAAATATTGGTTTGTTTCTTACTTGTTGTAAACATAAAAAATTTTAAAAATGCAGGAATTAGTTATACCATATTCTTTTGATTTGGCTCTTTGAAAAAAATCATAGCTTTTCGTAGTAAACCTTATATATCGTGTATAAGTCTGCATTTTAAACATCAAAAATTTTATGAGAATCTGAGAGTTGACTTATGCACCATTAATAAAATCGGACATCCGTTGATCATGAAATATTGATGCATCATAGACAATAAAGTAGATATGAGTAACTCTTTATCAATTTACCACTTTCAGAAATTATTTTTAATATGTCATATACAATTAATTTGGCATTTTCTCTCACATTTTCTTTACATGTAAAGGTTTTTTTAAAAAAAAATACTTTAAATTATATTAAAAGCTCTTGATTCCTTTAATCAAGAGTTTCGCACGATAAAAAATTTTAAAATATATCATAAAGTTTCAAATTTAAAGATTCCAAAACATCATCTGTGTCGAATTCAATAAGATTAGTAGTGTCGACAGAAGGATCAAGCTGTGCAATGGATTTTACATAATCCTCATCTGACTGTTACAAAAAATTGTCTTCACCTGTATCAGAAGAATTTGAAATTTCCCACTTTTTAAAAAGTTTTTATAACAATAACATTTGAAATTACATTTTGCCACCCTTCAAGTGTCATTTAACACATGATGTTTGTAAGAGCAGGGTGGAAATTTACAGTTTTTATTACGAAATATTTTTAACTTCAGACAATGTTGTAGACTTAATCATTTATATATTTTTTTTATCTTAGGAATTTCTATATTGGTTTTTCTAATTGCTTGGCTTAAATACTCAACTTATAAAAATTTGCTATCTTATTTATTACAGATATTTGCAAAAATTGAGGGTCAACTTAAATATTAGATTAATATAAGCATGAGAATTTTTTAAAATAAGGGTCTTATTCATTTCTTTTTATTCTATTCTAATTTTAAGGAATTAATGGTTTTAGAATTTTGCCAATACTGGCGTGTTTACATGTGTTATGAGTCTTCATTCCTTGAATTTAATGCACATAACATGCTATCTACTTATGCCTTGATTAATTTGCATATCTAACTCATAAACTAAAGAAGTTTGGTTCATTGTACTTGATTGAAATTCTGATCATTGGATAAAATGTTTTTCAGTGTGCTCATTTTTTTTACTTTTTATGTACGTTATTTTGTTTATCCATTTGCATAACTTTATAACAAATCTTAATTTCTTCCATTATTTGTGTTAAAATGTATTCCATGTTTTAGAAAACAACTGAAATCCAAATAGATTTAACAAAGCTTCCTGAGTGCCGGGTTGTCCTGAAGCGTCTATCAGAAGAAGTCTTAAAATATTATGATTGTTGGGGCTACTTGCGTAAGTACTTTTTTTTTCTTCATCTTTTTAATTTAAATTATTTTTAAATTATTTTCATTAACCATGTTACATAATCAAATTTTTCTAAGCTTCATACTGCATTTTAAAATTAATTAATATAATTATATCCATTATTACAGAAAAATATATATGTGGCCGCAAAAGAGCCTCACTATATGTATTATTATTATTATTTTTTTTTTTTTTCGGCACTGATTTAATTTTGTTTATTCTAAACAAGCTTCTAACACAATCATTGAAACCTGCAATTGTCGAAGAGGCAAATAAAAAAATTTAAAAAATCATGTAACTAGACTTGGAAAGTTCCTATCTTAAAATTAATGGTTAGAATAAGTGACCAATAAAGGTGAAAGAAAATAGTTTTTAGGTCTATTACAATGCCACTACGCAGGAAAATACAGAAAATTTAAAGTATCAGCGAAAATGCAGGGAATTTTGAGTTTTTCTTTTCAAACTGGGAAAATACAGGGAATTTTGTCTTTTAAAAAATGGTTACCATTCAAAGTGTAATCTATGGGATATTTAATGATGATATTTCAGCTATATTAAACTATTTCATTTACTATAGCATTATTTGCTTTAAGTATGTTCAGTTCCTTTTTTCCTTAAGTTTTTTCAGCAATTATAACTGGTATAATTAGCCTAATATAGCTCATTCAAGAGCACGGTGGTTGTGTTTTTTCTCTTACTATATTGTGTATAATATTTGCACGGGAAACACATTGAATTTTTTTTCTCCATATTTGAGTGGTAACCCTGAATTATTTCTTGTACAAATTCAGATGCACTTAGCTGTAATAAAATATTAATATAAATTGTACAAAATGCCTATTGTTCTTTCAAATTTTTTTTTCTCTGATGGCTGGAAATAAATTAGTTTAAAAATTAAGCTTTCTTTAAAAAATAATTTTTTTATTCTGAATTCCAAGTATGTTACAAGCTTATAATGGCTGTATCACTGATGTGACTCTGTAAGTAAGTTAAATTCCAAATCAAGTTTTAAATTCCTTCGAATATAAGCGCAAAATATTGCTTATATTTATTATTTTTATACTTATGTATAAAAATCTTACCCTAAAGAAATTTTATTTCTTAAAAATGTAATATTTAGCATATTTTGTGCTAAAAAATATGACTTGTTGCTTGTAGGATTAAATACGGTATATTTTTGATGCAATATTACTGTATAAATTCTGAAATTTTGTTCAAATTTTTCTAGAAAATGTGGAAATGTTATTTCTAGAGTGGGAAATCTGGATGCAATCACGATACTAGAACTCTCAGTGATTGTCTTGAATTTAACTTAACTTGAGTCACTTCTTAAACTTGTTCTGAAAAAGAAATGGAAGATTTTTTACCAGATTGATTTTTCAATGAATACTGTGTAATCCTGTTCTAACTCGTGCAGATGTGCGCAATGCAAATTAGTTTAAAAATTTGGAAAAGGCAATTGCTGATGACCATCACTAGTTAACCTTGTGGATTTCCATTGTGAAATATTATTGAAAAAATGAATGTTCAGCTCTGAAATATAAAAATAATAAATTATCTCATCAACTTCAGAAACACATTGAAATACAAAAAAAGAAAAGAGAAATAAAAAAGTTGAGTTAATGAGAATTTTAAAATATTGTTATTGGAGTAGTTTGCCTTACTTGAAAATATATTAATTATTTATCTAATTAATAATTCAGAAAAGGGATTAACCTGAAAGCTTTTTTAATCTCTCAAACCATACTAAAGTTATCATTTAAAATTTCTTTTTAAAAGAATCAAATCTTGATTTAGAGAAAAGCTAACAATCATTTATCAAAATGTGTTAGTGATGAATTGGTAATGTCACAACAGATTATTCTTGGTTCAATATTTATTCACTTGCTCCTCCCATTATACTTTTTCCTCTTTTTTTCCAGGTAATCGTTCATCTCTTGCTGCAAAAGAATTTGGTAGAACATCAAGCTATGAAAAATTTCGTCATGATCCCTCTAGAAAAGTATTTTACAAATTCTGTGAGTCTAAAGTAAGTTGCAAAAATCCAAAGACCTATGGTAAATGGCAAAACATTTTTGATGAATCTCAGCCAATGTCAGAACAGTCGCATTCAAGGCTTCAAAGTTTTTCTAAGTCAGAAAGCTCCAGAAAACGAAGACGACAATCCTCAAATGAAGATAGTGATGTGGATGGAGATCTTAGAGACGATGCATCATCACATTCAAATGACTCCCTATTTAGTATGTCTTCAAATTCCAGTGTTTGTGAAGTTAGTGAAATTCCTTACACTACAAGATCTCAAAAGTTAGCTCAACCAGATGTTGTAGTCAAAACAGAAAAAATAGAACCAGAAGAAACAAGAATAGAAAGTTTAGCTCAGAAAACTGTAAAGCAAAGGACTGTTTCACAGAGAAGTATGCCACCAAGAAATCTAAAACAAAGAACTGTAATACCAAGAACTATAACACCAAATCTAGTGCAAAAGACAGAAATTGTACCTAAAGAAGATACAGAAAAAGAATTAATCTGTGTTGAGTGTGGGAAAAATATATGTATGGATCATTTTATGTAAGTATAAATTGTTAGAATGTTTTTAATTTTTGATGAATAATTTTGTTTACTTAGACTTGTTAAAAATTCTAGATTTTAGAACTTTTTACAAATTAAAAACAACAGTTTTTTGAAAGCCAATTTAAAATATTAGGGAATATTTAAACAGGATATAGCTTGATTAGTAGAATGACGCACTTTTGCTCTTCAACAAGATTTGTTAAAACTGTTGCTCAAATTGACATTATTTAAGCAAATCTCACATTTTGATAATCATTAAAGCTTTAATGTTTGTGTGTGCTTTGTATATCATCTGAATGATTTATAACTAATAAATGAATAATGTAATGTTAAATGGTGATATCTCAATAACATGATTGGTTTAAATTTACTTAACTAATGTTGGAAACAAGGTTCAGGTAATGGATTTGTGCAGGCATGTGATTCTCCCGCTAATTCACAGAATTTTGGAATCTCAAGACAGTCGATTCGTGGCCTTCTCCTCACATGAACAATTTATATTCCGACAAAATTTTCTCAGAGTTCCACTAATCTAAGATTTACATTTCGTTGGTTAGCCATTCTTGTTAACGAGACATTTATTCTGCCTTTACCAGCGCCCTCTTTTTTTTCCTAGGTTCTTATTGACGAGCCAGGACTTTTTTTTACTCAGATTTGTTACAGAAAAATGAAATTTCAGATACACTTCGAGAACACTATATTTAAAAAGAAAAAAAAAATGTGTTGCAACTTTGGCTAGAATTAATGTACTACTGAGGCAAACACAAAGTATACAATTGATAATCTAAAATGTATTACCGAAATGACAAACATTTAAAAGATCCTTCGCTAGAAAAGGTACTAAGAAAACTACACATTGGGGGAAAAAATTCAGATAATTTCTTCTTTCATTAATGACATGTCTGTTTGTGGAACCTAGAAAAATTATAGCCGAATATTTTAGTTAAAAAATCATTTAGACATATATTGGGATGCAACATGATTGAAAAAAAATTGAGAACTCTATTATGGCAGTCAAATGACACGAATCCTAGTTTTCAAAAATCCAAACCAAGAGTGGCCCTAATTATTTATAGTTAGATCTGAATCTGCTGTAATAGTAATACCTTTAGTGTGCAGGTGTTTTATAAAGTTTAATTTCTTTTCAGCTTAATTTTTAACTATTTATAAAATCAGTCCCTTTTTTAAAACATAGGTCTTCAAAACTAAAGTTCTTTTAATAGATAGTAGCCACCTTTTTGGCGAGTATTTCATGAAATGTGATATGCACAGTAAAACTCTATTATCCAAAATCGTCAAATAATCAAACAGCCTTTTCCCTTAATTTTTTAATTGTTAAAACATTAAACAACAAGTAAAAGTGCTCATAACTACCAGAATAAAATAAGGAAAGCACTTATTTTATTTTTCTGTCACAAATAACATGTCATGAAGAAAAAAATCACCAATTGCTGCATTTTTGTTTATTGTTATTTTTTAGTCTCTGAATTTTTAACACCAAATCTAATAATCGTGAAATGCATGTCAAACACAGGGTGCGTAGCGTTTGTAAAAAGTGCTTAAAGGTGCTTTTTGGGGGATTTCGTTTTTAAAAGCTTTTAAAGGTGCTTTTTTCAGCTGGTGTTTTTAAAAAGTGCTTTTTTTCCACAAAAATGTTTTTTTTCTTCAGTGATATCTGGTGGATCCCATGCATTTCACGAAAAATGGGGTGTTTGCTACGTAATCATTCGCGCGGACTTCATGTCGTACCCACGTTATGACTTGCGCATGCGCGCACACTTAAAAACCGAAACCCGAGTGCTCCAATTCGGATCGAGAATATCAGATCCTTATGATATGTTTTTCTTTTTAATTTAATTTTATTCTTGTTTATTTTATTTTACTTCTAACACTTTTTTGACGTAGGGGGTAAGGGTACTTTTGTTCTGAGTTCAGGGTGAAGTTGAATTCACTCGGTGATGTGGGAAAGTACTGATTGTTTTGATTTACGTCCGTTTCTTTTTGGGTTTTTTTTAACGCTAAAACTCTTTATAAAAAGTTTTTGTTTTTCAATAATATCATTGATTGAATATGAATTTTTTGAGTGCTTGAAAAGTTTTGTAAAGTGCTTGAAAAGTTTTTAAAAAGTGCTTATTTTTGATTCAAAGATTTGGCTACGCACCCTGCAAACACTTTTAAAACGCATTGGATGTTGCAGTATTCAACTGATGTTTTGTATGATCAGGATTCTACAATATTGTGTATTTATAAAGCTGCATAAATGATCATACAATGATTGTCTTTCGATATGTGTTGTAAAGCTGACATATATTTTTTTTCAGGAAGCAATTTCTTTGTATGGACTGTAAAAGATCTGTGTATACTACATCTTGTTGCAATTCATTCATGGAACATAGGGGATATTTATTATTTGGTAAGCGGATGCCTCGTAGGAACCAGACTGATAAGGAGCAATATGGGCTGCACAAAGTCATCACATTGCAAGACTCTTATTACTGTGCATGTGGCTTTCACTCTAATATAGGTAACAAATTAGGTAAGTCATATATTCTAAATATTATCTTTGGCATCACTTTACATACTTGCTTTCCAAGTCTCCTGTTCACCCATATATTCTAAAATTTCTCCCGACTTGTCGAAGAAATTTTTTTTTTTTTAAATTATCGATAAAATATCCGCTGCTGGCTAAAATACTTCTCTTATTCCTCAACAGATAGTGTTATTGCCAGTACTGCAGTATGTTGAGTGTTAATAGTTTAAGTAATTGTAAATAATAGTTCTTTAGACTAAGATTAATATACATATTTTTTACTTCGCTAAATGTAAGTGCTTATATTATTTCCGATTTTGAATTTCTCTTTTTGACTTACATGATGTATCAAAACTTTACTCGTAGCCTAAAACATTTCGCCAGTAAAATTTCCGTTATTTTTTTCCTCCAATGTTGGCAGGTATGACTTTAAATAATATTTATTCTTTGTCGCAAAAGTAATATGATTTATTTACTGTGGTTACCCCCAAACTACCAGAGGTTAAAGGATTGTAGTGTACTCTACAGGAACGAATCAAATAACACATAAAAACTATTTATTCGCAAAAAATGTGCATCTTTATTAATATGTCAGAAATAAGAGAATATAGGTACCGCATCTGTTAGCATCTAGTTACAGTATAGCTTTGATCTCGTCGACTGCAAAAGCAGAGTTCATTGAGGCATGTACCAGTTCGCTCACAGTCTGCCCTTCCAAGATGTATTTCCAATTTTTTAAATCTTTGCCTGCTAACATCCACTAACTGATAATAAATAAGTCTTACTGCGGGTCTCCGTAATCCTATTTGGTCATTCTCTAGGCTCCCAGGCTGAGATACTTTTGACCTGTGTCAGTTCTTGGGTCACATTTTCTTTATTCCAAGAGGGGAAAATGGCAGACAACGGTTTCCAGTTCTTTTCTACTCCTTTGGTCTTCAACCACTTCCATGTTGAGTCATGTGGGATGGACTCAACATGGAAGTGGTGTAGTTTCTATTCGCTACAAGGAAGAGTTAAAACACCAAACACCTGTCTTATGACTTCAAACTAACCTACATTAAGTTAATGTCAAATACTAACTCATAAAATTAAACTTTGTACTTAAAAATAAAAATGAGTGTTAATTTTTCTTTTGATACAACAGCTCTATTGCCTATTATCGAAAGGCATATAAACGGAAACCTTCGAAGTAATCAAATTGTGACAACTAACGTTAGTCTATCTTTTTTTTTCCCTTCTACTTTTTCAACCTATCAATGCTTTGTAGTATGTCGATCGACAAAATGTTACAAGACTCTAAAAAAAAATTTTTGGTGCAGAAAATTTCATAAGTTGCTCTGTTATGTAAATTGCCATTTGAGACTGATGTGATTATTACCAAGACAAATTTCTTTTTTTGAGATTGAAATTTTTATTTATTTTATGTTTGAGCCAGTTAATATATATTGTTGTATGTTGAAACGTTATCACATTAATGTTAGTTTAAATTTAAAGAAAAAACATAATTTTTCTTTAAAAAAATTTTTTTTGCACACTTTTATGAATTACACACTAAAAAAGTTTATGAAAATATGGTTATTGGTTATGAAATAGTATCTCTAAAAATAGGTGTCATAGAGAAAAATTCTTTGTTTGATTATTTTTTTCCAAGTGTTATTTTATAAATTTAAGCAACTTTACTTATTTTTAAAATTCTACCTGTTAGACTTTGTAAGTTTTTCTTAGTTGTTGTATTAGAAATAGTAATTAAAATCACATTTTAAACTTGCCCTAAATTATTTAAACCATAACATTTTTAAATTAGCAAAAAATCTAAACAGTTATTAAAAGTTCATTCTCTTTAACTTAAAGGTGTAAATTTTTGTTGAATTTTTTTTTTTTTAATTTGTTATGTTTCTCTTATGTTTAATTGCATTAATTTTAAACTAAAAATAATTAAACAAAAAGAAACTAAATACTTTTTATGTATGAAGGTTATATATTATCTAAGGGATTTTTCTTTTTATTACTCTGGCTTGCAATTGTTGGGGAATCGATTACAATGCTTAGTTCATATGAGATGGTTAAAAAAAAAATCAGAGATAAAAATCATAACAGAAGTCTTTCGATAAAAATGTTCAAATCATCAGTTTCTACTAAGTTTATAACAATTGTTTTAATTCAAAAAAAGAAAATATAAAATGCAGAGATATACATTTGTTTTGACTTATAAAATTATTTTTTATTATCATAGTACATTTTTAAATGAAATATTTTATTTCTCTTTTTTTTTTCTAGCAACACACATGGTGCACTGTGGGAAATCAACTTGTTTTTATCATGCTGAAATATCTTAGCATTTATTTAATACAGTATTAGGGTACAATTTTGTAATATATGTAAAAAGTCTTTTGTAAAAAAAAAAAAAAATGTATATTATGCTGGGAACAGCTTCACACATTTCAATATTTAATATTACATCATTATTTGTTAAAGGCAAATAAAATATTTATTATTTATTCTTAATTTGCATATTTATTTCTTGTTGATCTTCAATACTACGTGGTTTTAGTTACAGATCATGCATTCTCTGTTGTCTCTTCGTCATTGTTAACTCTTAGGTCTTTGGGAATAAATAGATGCTCAAATGTTAAAATATTGAATTAATTGTGTTAGAAATGGAGCTAACTATCTTGTTATCATTATTTCTGAATTTAAATTTTTCTTTATCTTGTTGCTTTGATATTGTTTATTTGATAGAAATATGTGGATGAAAACAAAATCAATTCAGGATCAGTACAAGCTCTTTGGAAAGTCATAACTATTCAAACTGTTTTTAACGCCATTAAAAAGTACTTTTATTTTTGTCTCTCCATGTTTGCATGTTTGGCATCCTTCAAACTTAGTTTCTTAGATTTGATGTAAATTAAAATATATGCAGTGCAAAAAAAGAAGAAAAAAAAACACCCTAAATAACTTTTGATCTAATTATTAAATTTTCTTGTACTTGAACTAAATTTTTATAGTTCAAGGGAAGTGATCTCATATTTGTTAATTAATGTGTGCAGACAATATTTTAAGATTGAGTGCTAGTACATGAAAACCCTATCATTGGATTAAAAGTTATTCAGGGTGTTTCGTTCATTTCGTTGCACACTGCCCATGTTTCTGTATCCTTATAGTTTTGTTTTCTTGCAATTTGAAAACCCATTAATTTTAATTTTTTTCTTATGCGATAGCGCACAATTAGTTATACAAGCAAAACAATTTCAATTTGGGGAGATCTCATTTCCATTAGATTTTTGGAACATGCATAAAACTCATTGAATGGATTCTTTCTGTTATGTATCATCTATATTTCATTCCACCATATGTTTAAAACGCATGCCAGCATTAACTAGGAATTGAAGAAAAATAATAATAATATTTTATTTTAAATAAAGTGAAATTTTTAAAAATTAAAGATAACATGAGAAAAAAGAGGTTAAGGAGGCCTCTTTTTGAGAGGTTGAAAAGATGTTAAAGTTCTTAACTGTATATTTATCTCTTTAATGCAGCATAACCTGATATGAATTATATGATCTCTGTTTCTTTCATCCCTGCTATTCGCCCGAGCAACGGATGTGTATTAATGTGATTCTGAAACGTGTATAAGTTTTAATTAAAATTCTTACTATTTGTGATTTATAAAAGTTTTTAATCAAATTATGTTCCTATCATCTCTAGTATTATGTCATAAAATTCTGTGTAAAAACATACGCTTCTCCCCCTTAACCCCCACGCTAGTGGAAGGTCACAGAAATGAGATTTTAGTAACATCTCATGTTCATGTAGTTATGAAAACACAACATAATTTGCTTAAACAAATTGGAGCATCAAGAACAGATATAATGAAATCAAATGATTTCTAGTAATACATTTATTTGTTTAGTCAAAATAAAACATATTTTTCCACAGAATAATGTAACAAATAAAAGCAAAATGATTATTTATAATATAGATGCATTTCATATATCAAGATAAGTAACTTGAGTAGCTGCCACAGCTCCGCAAGCACTAAGTATAGCTGCAGCACAAACAGGAACAACTGTAGATCCGAGGGCTTCTACAATACTTCCCATGGATAGAGAGAGAATGAATTGTGAGAGGAAGACCATGCTGCTAACTGCTGCCACATCTGTACCTATACCTCGAGTGTTGCTGTCACTTCCTTTTTTACCATCTGAAAACTAAAATTTGACATTTTCATACGAAGAAGCATTTGAAAAGTGATAAGAATATATATGAACCCTTTCATTTCGACAGTCCCTTTCCTCTAAAAGTGACGCCACTGAATGGTGCACCGTGTCACGAAAAGTACGCATATCATGCCGGTACGCTGAAGTTCGGATTGCAGGGCTTCTATCTACTACTTTGACCTACTCTGTAGCATTCTTACAAGGATGTAAAAGTATTTTATAAAACAAACTAAACGAGGCTCGAAATAAAATTTTACAAATAAATGATTCAAACCTTGAAATATTATAACTTTTTTCCAGTTTCTTATAATACTTCAAAGTAGATTTCTTGTTATATTTTACTTTTATACCTAACAAATACTTCACTCATAAATGTAACACACAGAAGAAACTTTTTTCGACTTACTATACATATTAAGCACATTCAAATTATACTTCTAGTCAATTAATAGCCAGGGCAGTTATCAAACGATATCATGCTGTCACCGGTTAAATATGAGCTAGAAACGAAAGGGTTAAATGAGCAATCGGCTGTCATCACTACGTTTTAATTAACTTTTTTTTTTTTTTTTGTTCTTTTTTGGTAGCCCCAATGGTAAGGGGATTCTGAACCAATAATTCGTCCACCACTGAGGATATTTTAGGTCAGTACTGTTGAATTCGAACAAACCTAGGTCACCTTATTGAGGTAGGCGCTCTAATCAATCGAAATTGAAACTAATCGCCGATTAACTTTAATGTTCAAACCTCAAGCCCTACACTTATTGAAAAAAGAATTTATATCGCCGTTTTACTTCTATACAGAATTTATCGTCAGTGGAAATTTCGATCACCTTTAATCAAGCTAGCTGCTCAAATTCTAAACTCGGTCAAAGGTGCCAATACAAATTACAATTGTTTCATAAGTGATAAATAAAAAAATTTATCGTTGATTGAAATTCTTTCATTACTTTCAAAGAAATATTTCACGAAACTAAAAAATCGAAAATAAAATAAATATTATAAACTGCATTTTCTAAAACGGAGAAAAAATTTTTTTTGTCGCACCTGAAACGTATGACGCATCCCTTAAAAAATAAGCATCTATCATTATTCGCGAATGCAACGACCTACAGGGGGCGTTTTATTTGAGACGAATTCCTCCTAGCAGAACAGGATCATCAGTTGCACTGGAGATTTAAGTGTAGCATGGTAATGTTCCTTTTTTATTGTGGCTTATTAAATTTAAACAAGAAAAATGTGTGATATTCTTTCGTATGCAAGTGAAAACAAAATGGAATATCTTTTTTTTTAAAGAAAGAACATCAAAAATGCATCGGAAAATATTTGTAAAAAATCTTGTAACTAGAGTTAAAACCTAGTGCCTGAGAAATCGTTCTATTAATTAAATTTAATGATCTAATACGAAAGGTCTACTTAAACTTTACATTCCATACTTTTCTGAATCATATTACTACAAACATTAAAATATGCAAAAAGTATACAGAAGCACATGTTATACGATTTAATTTTGAAGAAAAAGTTTTTTGACAACAATTTTTATCAAAAATTAAAAAAAAAAACGATTATAACAATTCCTTATATTGAAATAAAAACTTTCATATTGTTTTTTTTTTTTTTTTTTTTTTTTTTTTTTTTTTTTTTTTTTTTTTTTTNTTTTTTTTTTTTTTTTTTTTTAAGTCTTAAAGTTCGTAATCAGACGTAGAAAACCATTCTGTAAAGAACTATCATCAAATTAGAGAAAAAAAACTATTTACAAGTAAATTTTTTATTATAAAAATCATAACACTTATACTTGCTTTATAAATCCGGAGAATTCCAAATGAAATGTTCTTCGTTTGAAATTTTTATTCTCAAATAATATATACATAGATTATCCCTTCATTACTTTTAGATAACGTGCCACACTACAAAATTTTATAATTGTACGATCTCGATATGAATTTTGTAGCTTAAAAACAGAATAGCTGAATTCTAGTTGAAATTATTCTTTCAAAACTGAAAAACACTTATCAAGAAAACGATAAAAAAATTTTATAAATCAGCACAAAACCCACTAATTCGGGTGATTCTTTGTTGTTGTTTTCCGAATTATATAGATACAGAAATATATACTATTCTATAAAGGAGAAGAATATTTTATAACTATTACAGTTCTGTGTTCACATTATTCATTGGAGTGACGAAAGCAATGTTGACTTCACTTTAATTTGTAATGAATTGAAGACAGAAAAAATTATTTTACCGTAATACACACATGCGTAACAGCAAGTGAGCATGAAATGGGAAGTTATGTTGTTGATAATAGAAAGGTAAAAATTATTGAAAAATTGTTCTTCAAATGCTTGGCGTGTTCTGGTTAGTTTTTTCAAGTTCTTCTATCTTTACCTTAGGGAAATTTTGCTTCTTATTTGCTGCTAAGAAAATGGCGTCCGTCATTGCCAATGGTTATGATGCAACTAATGCCCGATATTTTCAGTCTCCCGCTAGAGGGCGTACTCGAGCGTTGCGAACGCGAATTTTATTTTTTTTATTTTATAAATAATGATTTTTTATTGAGACTAAATTTTTTGATAAAAAGTATAGTTAAAAACTTTTTTTGCGAAATTGAATGTTTTAACTTCTGTATACTTTTTGCATATTTTAATGTTTGAAGTAATATGATTCAGAAAAGTATGAAATATAAAGTTTAAACAGACCTTTTATATTATCAAATCTAATATAGCAATTTTACAGGCAATAGGTTTTAATTCTAACAAGATAAGATATTTTTTTTCTGTTTATTTACAACTATTCTTCCGATGTGTTTAGATGTTCCTTCTCTAAGAAAGAGCGATTCTATTTTGTGTTCGCTTGCATAAGGAAGAATATCAAAGGGTTGGTATTAAAGTTGCTGACTTCAGATCATTCGTTTGCATATTTGAAAGTTCCAGTGCGTTTTTTGAATTCTACTGAAATGGATGGATGCGTAATTAATTAACCATAATTGTTGCGAAAACGTAAACTTGCTTAAAGCTTAAAAGAGCTAGATAACATTTCGTTGTCAAATTATTTTAAAAGTTATCAGCTGCTTATAGATTAACGTTTTCTTAAAGAAATCTTTGTACAGAAGAAAGCTGGTGTTGCTTACTGAAAGAAATGCTGATATAGTACTTTGGAACTTAAATTTTGAAAGCCCTTTTTCTACTGATGAGTATTTGTTGTCTTAATTTTTCACTTTTAAAGTCCATAAGCAATATTAAATAGTGTGTCTTTCTTAAACTAATAACGAAAACGCCCGGGAAAATTCTATTGAACTTCACTTCACTCAATTCCCTTATAATTTTATTGCAAATATTCTTGTTCAATCTGTTAGTTTTTATTTTTATACAACATCTTTTAATATTTAACCACTAGCACTTTCATTTGCTTTTCTTATCGTCACAGTGATATTCTAACAATTCAATTAAAAATTAATCAATAATATCATTTTCCTGAGCATTTAATTAGATTAGGATTATAAACATTTTTATGATACCAATTTCTATCTATCTAAAGCCTGTGATAAAACTAATACGACAATTTTTTGTTAGATAGAAATAAGAAGAAAGAAAATGTAATTTAATACTGAGAAAATTTTAGGTATGAAACATTGACTTACTTTTTTAATTAATGTGTGTAAATACATATGTAAGTTTAAAATTGTAGTTAGAAGTAAGTTAATTTGAGTTCCGGCAACCTCTAATTTTACTATAGAAATCTCAGAATATTCGAGAAATTTCTCCAATTTTACTAAGGAAACAACAGAGAAAGTGAGAAAATTCTCTAGATGTTCTTCTGGAAAGCTCAGAGAATTTGGTTTTGTCTGGAAAGTGGCCGCCCTGTAAGTATATATCGTTTAGTTTAAAACTACACACTTGAAATGTTAACTCCTCACCAACCTTAAGTATTTGATCGCCAAAAGAGAGTGGAAATTCTGTACACTCTATTAACATGATGTAAAGAATGTGATATAAAATCAAATATATTGCAAATAATTTCACCTGTGTTACTAACCTGATTGTTGCAATGATAGTGTGCTATTAAAAGGTATGGCATGGTGAAAAGCGTTGAGTACATAATTCCAGCTGTCGGTGATAGCAGAATAACTGCAACTTTATGTCTGGTTAAAGCCATTATCACCATTCCAAATGAATAGACTAATTGGCCTCCTATGTAAACTGGTTTTGCACCTACAATACAAAGAAAGTCTTTTTTTTACACACAGAGGACATAAATATTAATGAAGTCATATGAGTTGATTAGAGGCATATTTGATGAGCAACCTATTTATGTTGTGACACATTTATGAATAGTTTAAGAAAGAATGAAAAAAATAGTAATAGTTGAGAAAAATATAGTAGTGAATGGTCCCGATAAATCCTGCCAGATTGAAGCTGAAAAATAAAATAGTTTAAAATAGGAAATTTAAAATAGTCCAGATATTCCAAATAATATTTATTTTTTAAATTATAAGAGTCCTTTTAGCAAATGGCTATCGCTTTGGACCGACGGTCAACTTCTAACTTTTAATCTTTGATTCTACCGGGTATTGTTTGTATGCCGCATAAAAGGAATGAGTTAAAAAAAAAAAAAATTTAACCTGCACTTTATCAATTTTTAAAATTCAGTATAAGGAATTAAATTGCAAGGAATTTTTTTAATTATCCTAAATTGCAGTCTTATTAATAATACTTTTTATTACCGTCGTTGAACAACCAACCCAATTTTATGGGTTTACGACTACTAATATTCAACTCCGTAGCTTTGTAGTTTTGAACCCAATCCAGGGGACAAAGGAACTCCTGGATCGAGTAATAGGAGAAATTTGCCTTCGCGGAGAACTTTTCTGATGGAGCTAATCTGCATTTGCGTTACATGGAGAAGAAGACAACGAAAACCTTCCACGGTTAGCCTGACGGCAAGGGGACTCTAACCCGTGATCCGTCTACTACTGAGGATATTTCGCGTCAGCACTGTGGTCGGTGCAAGCCGGATGCGGAATTAGTATCGACTGGGATTCGAACCCGGTTCGCCTCAAGGCGAACGCTCTATCCCCTGAGCCATCGCTGAGCATTACTTAATAATACTTGAAAAATATATATTGCCATATGTAACACTTAAAGTAAAGAAATCCGAACGTCATCCTGCCGACATGCGATTGGCTGTAGGTCATATTGTTCAGTAATGTCACTTCAGCGGAACGGACTGCAGTAACATAAGTTTAATCCAGTAGAATGAGAAAGGGCTGCATCCTTGTTACGCTTAAATTTTAACGCAACAAAGACACATTTTGAAGAAATGTTCCAAAATGAGCTTCTGGACTAACTTCATTTCACTTCAACAAATTTTAATTGTGATGTTGAATATGTATATAAGACAATCTAGTTTAAATCGATGCTCTAATGAGTGAAAAATTATAATTAAAACAAAAAAGGAAAAGTGTGCTTTTTTTTTCTTTCAAATTGAGTTTTTTTCTAAATCATCCCTATAATTTTTTTTCTCGAATTGCTGCCTTCTTATCGCCTAATTTTTAAAATATGTCTGTATAAATTATAGGGCTCCGGCAATAACTACTGAGGAAAATGACCAATGATTCTGTCATTGATAACTCAGTAAACTACCGAACTTTCACGGTGTTCCCCCAGAGGTATAATTTGTCTTGGGAACGTGGAGGACTTTGGGACCCGACAAATTATACGTGCCCCAGTCACCATTTATGACGGGGAGTCTTCGGCCGGCTGGATTCGAACTCCCGCTCTTAGGAACATGAATCCAGCTCTCCACAGACCAGGCTATACCGGCTCTAAGTATATTAAATATATTTATAAAATGTGGGGATTGCAGAACCTCCCATGTATATACGAATCGACAGTATACATTTAATGTCGCGTCGGATGCGCAAACTTTGCAGTATGTATACTGTCGTTGCACTTGTATCAAATTACGTCTTTGTTATTATTTTTCCAATAACTTGTGAAGCTAATGTTAAGATTTAAAGGTCGTACGTTAAAGGGATAAGTTTTTTGAAGCCATCTTTCCTAACATTACTTATACGAAATTATTAAACTTTAAAACCATTGTTTCTCATTTTTTACTCAGCTTTGCATATACGACGTCAGTTACGTCATAAAAGTATCTATTCTCTTTCTATCTATAAGTGATTTTCCGCTGTAAGCACTCTTAATATATATCTTTAGAATCTTTGAAAACTAATGTTTATTTGAGAAAGAAAAATACACGGTGATAAGATATTCCGAAATCAAAATATTCCTTAACCAAAATATGTTCTCGAATTTTTAATATTTTTTTATTTATTTATTTATTGAGAAAATATTCTTATCTACATTCCTTAGAAAATATTGTAAAGATATTATTTTTTTTTTTAAAAAGAAATCTCTGGCTTTTAGTACATAACATCAATCTTACCCACTTTCTTGACTAATGACTCGATGAAAAGTGAATAAATGGAACATGAAATGGAATACAAAGCCATTCCCCAACATCCAAACTGAACACCATTTTTATATGACAAAAAACTTTCCGAGTCCTCTGGTGCTTTGGGGTCCCCTCCGAAAACACTTTCACCCACAAAATCAGTAAAGTACAATGAATAGCACACCAGTGACATCCAGCAAAATAGATTCGTCAAGCACAGAACACGTAGGGAGTTAGGCATGTGAATAATGGATTTGAGGTATTCTTTTAGTGTCGGACGTTCATTGGCACGACCTAGTTCATCCACCACATCAATCTCTATGCCTGAAAAAAAATGTATGGACGGTTTTATTCAATATTCAAGCAATATTTGTTTCAACTTATATATTAATATAAATATTCAATTCACAAATTAATATAAATATTCAACTGACAAATTAATATAAATAGTATTCAACTGACAAATTAATATAAATATTCAATTCACAAATTAATATAAATATTCAACTCACAAATTAATATAAATATTCAACTCACAAATTAATAGTATTTAAAAAGAATTCAGCCATCAAGTCCGGAAGTATTATATTATTTGAAAGGGTTAGATAACGATAATCTTGACCAAAAAATAAATATATAAAATAAAATAAAAATAAATAAAAATTTCCGTTTAAAAATCATATTGTCGAGGTAAAATTTGTTACTAAAATTTGCTTACGAATTTTCATTCTACTGAGAAGGAAATTAATCAAATATATCAGCCTATTAAGTTTTTCACAGCTTCTCCTCAATGCAAGTAAATTTTATTTCAATTTTCATGAACCTATTACTATTTTTATAAAAGAAAATTGTAATTAACATGCTTGCTATTGCGGCCTGTTATTACTTGTGTGCTACCTCAAGTAATTTTTCTGTCGCAAGTAGTTATACCTAGCAAAGTTATTTCTTAAATTACTGCAATGGCATTTTGACCATTCTTTCTTGATCTCGTACTTCCAGAAAAGAGTTGAAAGTGCTTCTTTTATGATGAGTTGTCGTGCATGAAAAAAATTATTTCCATGGGAGTATAATTCAAGGTTCCGCAATACTTGTTAATTATATAGTTACTTGTTGATTATATAGTAATATACTACTTCCTAATTATATAGTCAAAACTAGAACTTAAAATTAAATTTAAAAAATAAAAAGCTTTTTGAAAGAAAAAAAAAGTCGTACTAAATTAATTTTTGAACAAGTATCGCATGATAATAATTTTTCTTTTTCTTTTATCAACAGTATAGCTAATGCATTAAAATAAGATTTTAATTATTCGAATTTATAAAAGCAAAATAAGGAAACCTTAAGAATTAATTCCTGACCATGTATTTTGTGCAATACATGTAGAGAAGATTATTTGAATGATAGTATTATTCAAAATTCTGTAATTACTTACATCTTTTATAACCAAAACTAAATTTCAAAAAAAAAAAAATTAGATTTTTTAAAAAAAAGCAGTAATAAAATAATAATAACTTCGACTCATGTATAATGTGATAACAGTCTCTTTATCGACAGTATTACACATACCTTAAAATAAGATTTGTATTTGGTTTTATGAAAACAAAATAGAAATTCTGCAGAATGAATCCCAGACCATGTATCTCTAAAAGTTCTCTAATGTAACGACGAGACGTTAGCAATCAAATCAAGTTAAATATTTTCCTGTTACTTATTATTTGTTTACTTATTTAGCTCATTTCTTCTTATTTCGAAAAGAATAACGACAAAAACCAGAAGTCTTAAAACTTTTGTGTCATTTTAAAAAAATCTAAAAACAAAAGTAAAAAACATTTTTTTTTCTAGTTTTCTAGCAATAAATTTTTATAAGAATATTTCTCTCGAAGAAATTATTTCCTATAAATAAATTCTTCTAGAAATAATTTTTCCTACTAGCAATAATGTTTGAGTTGAGTTTAATTTATTTTATTAATCAATTTTAATTTATTAATTGTTTTTATTATTATAATTTTAAATTATTATTGTAAATTAATTATAAATTAATTTTAACTTAATTCAATTGTTCCTTTTTTTCATTAATCAATATTTTAAGTTTAACAATTTAATTACATTTTTATTTTTATCAAAATAAAATTAAAAATCTTATGGTGATACTTTATCAAAATGTTTTGATTTTTTACCTAGAATAATTTTAATATTTTTTCAATTTTAAGCAAAATACATTTGCGTTGGGAAGAAAAAAGGAGATTAAAACTACTATTTTCTATTTAAAAAAAAGCGAGTTTTTGCTTAAAATACTCTTGTTAAAGATAAAAAAGCTATTAAAATCAGATGTAGACTATGATCTCTAGCAGTTTTATAAAAAGATAAAAGTTTTATGTATTCGAGGCGTGAAAGTAAACACAAGTTTGTTTATATCACAACAAAGTCGAGAGATTACCACTTATAAACTTTTATCTAAACACGGAACTATAAATGATAAAGATGTAACTCACTTTTTGACACTGCTATCTCCCTATTGTCGACCCCATCAGGAATATTTTCAAACAAATCTTTTTCTTTTGATTTGACGTTATGTTCTGTTGACTTATTTTCAATCGTCAATTCATTGTTTTGAACTTCATCCCCGTCACTTTTTACTTCTTGAGCCCTATCCGTCTTAAGATCTTCATCCGTTGATCCATAGCGTTTCGGTTTAGTATTTATGCGCTCCAATTCATCGCCACTAACAGGACTAAAATTCAGCTGAAATTTTTCTTTGTACTCTTTGTACATTTTCGGATCCTTTAGCGCGCATAAAGGTATTTCTGGAAAACTAGTCACTGTTGTCACTAGACATATTATGAATATCACAGTGACAATCATAAAAACAGCATTCACCTGCCCACCGAGTAGCTGACCGATGTATGTTGCTTCCCAGTTTAGTGCTCCCATTGTGTATCCTATTGCTCCTCCGAAACCAGCCATTACTGTGAATGTGCTCAATCCAGCTGCATGATCCGAAGGTATTGTTACATCCAAGAGATATGTCCTGGATGGTGACTGACAGGCATCTGAGCAAAAATCTAATAAAACGGTACCTATGACTGTAAACACGACACTCCAAGTTTGTATGTGACTTGAAGTTTTATCGGTTTCATCAGGAAAAAATGGACCATTTCGGTCACTGGCAGTGGGTTGTTCTAATTCATTTTGATTTTTGTCGATTTCATTTTCTGAACTTCTTTTACTTTTTGGTGATAATGTAAAATCTGATTTTTCCGGCGTTGCTCTATTTCCGTACTGAAGCTCATTGAGAGTAGGTTTATTGTTATGGCCATGCAAAAAACTCGGATATACATCACCTCCATCTATTTCTCGAGAATAAGTATATCTCAGCGCGCTTTTCCTCTGCCTAATGCTAGGATTTGCTTCGAATGACAACTCATCGCTATAAATTTTTTTATTATTTACTAGTTTTGAAAAATCATCTGTAAGAACACTAAGCTTTTCTGTTTTTGTATATTTGTCATCTTTTTCTGATTCTGGGTCTAAGTTTCTCATATTCATTTTGCCAAAATGAAGACTCGGATATACATCTGCGTCATCGATCCCTCGAGAATATTTATTTTTATTGCTTAAAGATTCGATGCCATTTTGTTTTTCGTAAGAAACATCACTTGCATCGACTAACTTAGAAAACTCATCCATCATTTCCGCTTCATCTTCATTAATTATAGCATCACTATTTTGATAGTCATCTTTTTTTCTCGGAATAGCTAAAGGAACATTTTCTCCCGATAGAGTTCTTTTTTTAATATTTAAATTTATACCATTTTGAGAAGTCATGCCATTTTTGCTAACTTCATCAATGTCATCTGAATAAACATTTTTCAAAAATCCCTTGTTTAAGTCGCCTACTTGGTTCAATTTCACATTATCACCACTTAAACTAGTCCCATTTAAGATAACCGCAGTATGTTCACTAGATAAAATATTCTCAAATCCCTTGTCTCCAAGGGCTAAGCCTATATGTTGGCCATTCGGTACAAGAATAAGTCCTAATAATATTCCAATCGAATACATAATAATAAACGGTCTTCTTCTCCCAAATTTAGATTCACAACTGTCACTCATAGATCCTAATATCGGAGTTAGAAAAAGTCCAATCAAGGGGCTCAAGCACCAAATCATTGTAACAAACTTGATACTTAATCCAAGACTAAGAAGTATAGGCGTCACAAAAGCTGTCTCTGCTGCATAACAGAATTCAATGCCACACACAGTACCACTTAAGAGTATCAATTCCCAACGACTCTTGGGGCGAAATATATAGTTGTATTTTTCAGGGATGTATTCACAACGTGCATCTTCTGGATGATTGAAGAAGCTCTTAGTTTTGGTGGCAACTGTTCGACTAGTGTTGTTCCATCCGTCTTGAAGTCTGTCGGAGAGGCCTCGCTCTTGCCACGATTCTGCTGTTTCTCTGGCTCGATCTCTGAAGTTATGGAAAGCAACAATAGTGCGGAAGTAGGTTGACGTCTTCTGCATGTCTGCAGGAGAATTTTCTGAAAAGAAAAATGTGTATTTTTTAAAATTAAGTATGATACAGCAATGCGGCTCTTAAAACGATCAGAAATAAATTTGGCCTTCTAGCAGAAATGACCAATTCTAAATGTGCCCTCTTTTTTAACTAATAAAGTAAAAATTTCAATAAAAAAAAAAACAACGATATTTTATCTATGATTCAGTAACTTAATTTTTCTTGTAAGTATGCATATTTTTGATCGTATGTTTTTTTTTTTAAATTCTTTATCAATTTTATGAATTTAAAAAACAGCTTGACTTCAAGTAACAAATAAATAAAACAAAAAATCTAAAAGGGAGCTTTTTAAAACCTAATTTAGACAACATATCACAATCCGCTTGATTCAAATGAATTTTTATGCATAAAAATTAATATGTCATGACATTAAAAATAATCATTTCGTCATGGATTTATTTATAATCGTTGACTTGAATAATGTTATACATTTTTATTTTGTTTCTTTTGTAAGTATTTTAGAAACAGGTTAACCTCATCTTGAAATAAACTGTTTCATACAAAAGAAATTTCATTGCATATAGTTTGATGACATTTTTTTAAAATTGTCCCCAACGGATGTTAGTGATGAGCATTTATAAGTTACCTTCAATAAACAATTTAATTTGATTAAATTAATACCACCTTTACTGTGATTGACCTCGATAATGGTTCGTTAAGACTTCCTAGCATTTATTTATTTTATTTTCACTTAAATAGTAGTAAACGGTCCGTAATGTGTAGAATGTTATTGCTTCATTTTTAGGAAGGATACAAAAAATATAGTTTTAAGGTGGGGTTTAGATATATTTAATGTATTTAAATAAAATAGTAGAAAAAAATAATAATTGCCCTTATGATTTCTTTTAAGTCATCACTCACGAAACTAATCATAATTAATTTAAGAACTAATGAATTTTCTTTTGCATTAATACAAAGTTACTAAGTTGAAGACTTTCATAATCATAAGCGTATAAATTTAAACGACTTAAAGGTTTATTTTAAATTGAAAAGTGAAATTTATTTAACTATTTTTAAGGCGAAATTCATTAGCTTTTTACTTGTATAATAGTCCCACGTGATTATAAAGATACGGGCCCAGTAGAACACCGATGTCACGCATAACTGTTTGCGGTCAGTAAGCGGATGGGTGACAACTTTGATCTGCCTAAGTAGGGATCGAGAGAGCGCAGTATCGGTCTTCGTCAAACTGTTCTACCGTAAAGAATTCGACATCGAGCGCAGGTCGCCGAGCTACCAAAGCAAGGGGGCCGTCCCCTTTGCAGAGGATCAAAATCATGATGGCATGTCTTCGGATTATCCTCGGGGATGTATTCCAGACCGTTGCCAATAGCTCATCGTGCAGCTCTCGTGCGACGTAAATAAAATACCTACCTACTTGTATAATATTTGATAATAATTTTGACACAAAAATTGGTGTTATGAGATTTTTTCGAATGGTCTAAATTCTTTTTTAAAAAATTTCATTTTTAAGTTCACTAATCTATTTCCAGTATAATTGCAATGTATTTATTTGATATCATCTATATTTCAGAAATTTCTAATAAGAGTTTGTTGCTGTATTGTCAACCTTATTGCTTCCAGTTGCCCAAAAAAAATGTTAAAAATTCTAAAATTTCTTGACATTAAATTTATGCTTTTGGACGTTATGCAATTGGATTAAGTGTCTTTCAGAATAGAACACAAAATACTTTTGTCAAAATATGCCTTTTCCCTATGAAAGAATAACGATCTTATAGCATGAATTTAAATATCTTTAATGCGTTTCTTTTTACGTCTAAAATTTTTGTATATTTAAGAATGACAACTGTTCTCAACAAAAATAGTCAACTCTTTTAAAATAATTTTAGAGGCTTTAAACAGAACACCGGAATTATGCTACAAGCTCAATATTTTCAAATGCTAATAATCTATCCATAAGTAAAAAGTAAAAATAAATCAATAAAATGGATAAAAAATTAACAAAATTGCATAAAAAAGTCCTAAATATATTTAAAAATTGCTTCAAATATGCAAGTCAAGTAACTGCTAGTTTATTGTGTCCCAAATATGTTAAAAACGTGTGAATTAAAACATACAAATACAGTATCTAGTTTTTTTTTTATATGTATATTAAAAAAAAGCATTTTTTTCAAATGCCACAATTGCAGTTAGTAAAAGAACTCATTCAAATGCATCAAATATTATGCAAAAGTTATCTAAAAATCATTTATTTTAAGTTTTTATTAAAAGCATAAAATTAAAAAATTCTAATAAAAGAAGTAAAATATAGGAAATACGAAGACAGCAAAATAGTAAAGCATGGGAAAATCGTATACGAATTTATTAACCCTTTTATGCAGAATTTTTAAGAAACATATTTTTTTATACTTTTTCCATTATTTAATATTTATTATTTTGTAATATAGTTCATTTTTTAAGCAATATAAGCGAATAGTATTGTATTTAGAATTTTAATAATTTATGGTTATAAAATATAGCATCATACATGTTTATATTTTCATTTTATATTTTTGCTTTTAATGATTACCATTTAAAAAATTGAAAAATATTTCAAATTTAATTTCTCTTTTACCATAGAACAAATTTAAAATGTGACTTACCTTTATTTTCACTCATGATAAACGATTTGGACGTAAACTTCAAATTTTTTTTTTTTAATTTGGCTTGAGATTTGTATTCAATATTTGGCATTTACAGAACAACTTCCCCAATTCAAAAACTCGAAGAACAAAAACATTCGAAATCATCTGACTCGAATTGCAACAATAATGTGTTCGTAATCTTTTATTTTTAAGATAATACCAAAATGATTAAAGATCAAAATCAAACTCTACTAATAATTTTGTTTGTTTGTCAAACTTTACCACGAACCAATTATTATGAATGATTTAACTCTTTTTTAAAAATGGAATGGAAGAGGTATCTGGTTATAAACTGCAATGTTACGAAATAATAACATAAATTGTTATGTTATTATTAAAGGAAATAATATAAATTGTCGTGATTTGATCATTTCACTAACAATTCCTACAACAAAATGCCCGTTTATTTGTTCACATTTTGAATGGCACTTCATTCGTGTTTCGCTGTGGATTAGTATTTAGTTTCTTCTGTCTTTTGCGTCAGGCATATTTTTCTTTAAACCACAGAGTAAGTGTTCAATAGTAATAAACTTACGTCAAAGTTAGAAATTGGAATTTGTATGAAGCAGAATATTTTTTTTTACCTCTTCTATCAAGAATGGAAAGGTAAATAATGTAATGTTGTAAATGGCTTTATGAATTTAATCTTTTTTTTAGTGGGGCACTTTCAAAAGTTTTATCAATTTAATACATTTTATGTTCTGTATAGATAATCTGTAGATTAAAACAAATCAACTGCTGTCAATATGTTAATGGGTTAAGAGTAAAAGCTTATCCCCTTTATATTCTTTTCTATATTTGGCGGATTAAATGCTAAATGGAGAGATATTAATTATAAAACTGATTTAACAAGCTTAAGTTTGAGTGATTATCTGATTAACAACTGTTCCCCTTCTTCGACAATGTATTCTATGCTTTAAAAAATTATTTAAATTGAAATTTTCTTTTAAAAAAAAGTCATTTTAATTCCCGTCCATATTCCAGTTCTTGCACTGTAAAAAAAAGGTTTTCTCAAAATAGAGCAAAAATGCGTCAAAATAACTCCGAAAACAAATATAGTAGAATTTCAAAAGCCATATGTACTTATTGAGTACAGTGGTATCCTCAAAATTAAATCGTCTCAAAAATAACACATACTCCTTAAATGAGACAAGTTAAAATTTTATTAGTTTATAAATATCAAATATTCGAAAAGAAAATCTAATTCGATAATAGTTTATGGCACTTACCTTCATTCTAAATACGTTTCTCTTCTACATACGTTTCACGAATAAAGATGTCTTCATGTCGGTAATCAACACTTTTCTATCTGGTCATATGTTATATGTCAAGATATATGTTGTTATGTTATGATGTGTCGTATGTTTAAGATATGTCGTATGTTATATGTCACATGTCATTATATACGTTATTAAGATCTTTTTATCTGAAATTAGTTTGATGAATACAATTTATTTGCAAATGAAGACGGTATCTCAAAACTGTTTGAATTTTGAGCATGTTACTATACTCAGTGATGGGTACGTGGGGATTTTAAATTCAACTATAACTGTTTCGGAGCTATTTTGACACATCGCTCAATTTGGAGAAACCCTTTTTTACAGTGTGAAATTGTGGTAATGGTCGAATAGCTGATTGTAATTCATTTTCTACAATTTGTAATTTGTACACTGCAATCAAACTTGCGTAGAGGAGCTATATATATATATATATATATATATATATATATATATATATATATGTGTCTATATATATATATATATATATATATATATATATATATATATATATATATATATATATATATANTTCATTAATTTTTCTTTGTTTTATTCTTCATTTTGAACTATATATATATATATATATATATATGAGAAACAGGCTTATTTATAAGCATTGCAATAGTGATTCCCCTACAGTTGCTTTTACTTTTTCTTTCTTAAACTAAAATTGTCAGAAAATGTATTTTCTTATGATTCCCATAATAGGAAATAAAGTTAAAGTTATAAGTTATGCATTTATGAAACATATTTACCTTCAAAGGCGGCAAATGCTTTCAAATTTTTCTTATTCAAACTAAGATAACGAGAAATTATTTTTACTTTTAACTCTCAAAATAGAAATTAAAATCAGAGTTATCATTAGTTTATGATCCACCTAAGAGACAAAATTCTCTTAGGCCTTCATATGTTGTTCCTTTCACAAGCATAAGTTTATCTCTTCAAATGGCGTGCGATCTTAAAGAAACGAAATAAGAGAATCCTTACAAGATTTAATGCTAGAAGTGAATAATAAGGACATGGCCGTAAATACGAGGGGATTATTATTTTTTTCTTTTCACGAAAATTTCTTTTCCGAAAGAATAAGAAAGTAAGACTAGAAAAAAATTATAAGGAAGTATGTATTTTTACTTAAATAATATTTTTTTTTTAACTTATAAAAGTTAAAGCTGGAAAAGTTTCTTTTCCAAAATAATAATAATAATAAATTTAAAAAAAACGAGTTTTGAATCTTAGAAAAGCAATATTGGGGGGAAAAAAAAAGGAAACACATAAAAGTATTTTTCTTTTTATTGTAGCATGTTTTTCTTTTTTTTAAAAAAGTTATAGCAGGTAGTTTTTTTTTCGAATGCTTTGCTAGCAGTAAAACAATCGAACTCTGAAAAATATGTTAATGTTACTATAAAATAGTATTAAATTACTGAATAGTATTATTATTTATGGAGGTATAACGAAAATAAGTATGTCGGTTTATCTCCCAATAATTATGAAAAAAATGTGTGTACAAATCATTATTTTTTTTATTTGGAACATGCGATTTCAGTAAAATTAATTTCTAAAAGAAGGTAATTTTTTCTAAATTTTTTTAATTCCATTTTTATTAATATTTGAGGCAATATATCTTTATTATTATTAAGAAGATGCTTATAAATTATTATTTTTTAATAAAGAATATGCGATATTAGTAAAATTAATTGCTAAAAAAGGTACCATTTTTTTCTCAATTTATTTATTTTTATTTTTATCTATATTTAAATCAATAATAATCGAATAAGAGAAAAATCAAGCATTTAAAATAAGTTTTAAAAAAGCACGTAAGTTTTATAAAAAATAGTTTTGCCAACTTGGCTTGAAAAAAAAGAAAAGAAAAGAAAACAGCAATTTAAGTTTTATTTAGGCTACATTCATTCAATAAACAATGCATTAAAAAATATCATTAGCTCATTATTATCGAATCAAGTTTTTTTTTTAAAGTTTTTTAAATTTTTTTTGTAATGTGTGTTAGGGTATAGAAATTTTCTGAAAATCTACATTTTTCAAAAAAATTCAGCATTAAAAAATATCTCCCCAAAAAAATTAATAATTCGAAAATAAATTTTTGAAAAAGAATTTTATTTGTCCAAAAAATATAATTCATTCAAATAAATAAAGGTTCAAATACTCAAAGTAAAACAAAAAACATTATAGTTTCGTTTTCGTGGGTTTATTTCCGGTTTCGGTTTCATCTGTCAGTATACGGAAAAACAACTGTAACTTCATTTCTAAAAATCGGTGATAAAAATTTTAAAGGGTTTTGAAAAGCTAATGAACTAAAGCTTAAATATAGATAATAATAATTCTTTTTTTTAAAAATCAAAATTGTCCATTTTTACCCAGTCGGTTACTATCGATTTAAAACAAGTAATACATAATAAATAACTTCAAATGTAATGAAAATACCTTTACGAAATGGTTTATTCTTCCTCAGAGTAGGATTAAATAAAAAAGTTGTTTTACGTTACATAAGTATTAGTAAAACACAATTACTTGATCAAATGTTTTTGAGTGTCGGACTTTTATATTGCAACCCTTTATCTATTCCGCCTTACCATATTACGAATACCCAATCAAATGGAAGGGAATGGAGTACGAATTGCCAAACTCATATATAGGTTACAAATCCTTTCGAAAAAATTTAAGGGTTAATATGATTCTTTGATCTATCTTACATATTTCAAATAGTCAATTTTAGTTAAACATAAACAAAAAATATCCTAAGGGTTTTTATACATTTTATAATTCGTAATAATCTTTTTTATATAAAAAACAAACAAACTTACAACTATATGAGTTAGGTACACATAAAATTTTTTGAAGAAGGTAACAATTAGTTTCACATGAATTTTAGTGATTTAATTTGCGTAATAGATATTTTAAAAAGTTCAATGCATAATTTTTTTTTCTAAGAAATTTTTAAAAATCTGATGAAAAATATATTTCCAGTTACATGAGAGAACTCACTAACCACGTTTGTAACATGAAGTCATCTGGCATAGATTTGAAAGCGACGAAATGAAGTTAAAAATAGTGTGTAATTTAGGGAAAGTGGGAACTTTTTTTATAATTTTTATAATTTTTGCTTTAAAACATTATTAACAAATTAAAACTAAAAATAATAATTATCGTTTGCTTTTATGTTTTTAGTCAAATGAGCATTTTTTCCTCTGCTTCATGACGTTTTTATTTACTTCTTTTAAATCATTTTTTACATAATTGACAAACAAATAAAAGTCTCTCTAATAAAAAGGAAACTTAATTATAATCAGTCATGTTGTTTAATGGAATTGCCCAATTGCGAGCTTGATCACAATCAACTGATACAAATAATAATGATCTACTATTATATGGTTTTGTGATTACATGAGGTTGCCTTGGTTACAAGTTTTAATTGATTTCTCATAATGGATTATATATTCTGCCCAGTTTTGGTTCTGAGTGAATCAATTCTCATTATGGAGGTGGGTTCTAACGACGCTTACGCCCATCTCACGTTATCGCGAATTGTTAAATTGTTCATTTGATGGTGAACCTATAAATTAATTATTAGAATTGGAATATTATGCAAGAATAAGTTGATAATATCTCACCAAAGGAAGCTATTATCCATTGAGTCATTCATTAAATGATAAAATTATACAAACAAGTTAAATACCCCATTGGAATTGTAATACTTCAAATACCGTTTTAAAATAAAAGTGCTACAAAATAAACAGAACATTTAGACCAGTGGTTCCCAACCTGGGGGCGATCGCCCGAAAGGGGGTGATAATCCTTAGGGGGGTGATCAGGGGGCGAGGAGTATTCAAAAGATAAAAATTGCTAATAATATTAATAATAGAAGCTATTTGAGATTGAAATTGAAAATATATATGAAACCTATGGTTCTAGTGTAATAAAAAGAATTATGATAGTTAAAAATTTAAAAAAATTCAAGTGCAGGATCGTTTTCGTCATACGTTTTGGTATCGCAGGCGGAAATCTGATAAGTCACTCTGTTCCTCTGAGCAATAATACTGTTTCCAGGCGTATTGATGAGATGGCCGCCGACGTTGAATCAAAACTCATCAAATTTCTGAAAGAAGGTAAATTTGCGTTGCAGATTGATGAATCAACTGTGATAGATAACAAAGCTGTTTT